ATAGCCTTAATGAAGAAGGCGAATCAAATATTTGACGAAAACAAAGTGGAACAGGAGCGTCTGGCGTGTTAGATAACACTGGCAATACGAGACCAATAGCGGTGGGTCGAAATTATAGCGGGAACAATAGTCAGTTGTAAAAAAATATTAGCTAGATAAATGTGCTACCTAATAGAGAGGACGGTCGTAGAGTTCCATACACACTGATAAATTATATTAATCTAATATAGAGCGACAGTAAAATACATCTGCAGCTCTGCATTGTGTGGTAGATTATATCATTTGCGACAGGAGATCTACCTCGTCCATACGAAGGCTTTGGTAAGCTAAATATCTGTTGTCAGTGTCTGCGTATCGCCCTATGGGAGAGACCTGGAAAGGAATACGTAGTCCTCCTAGGGAATAATATTTATGCTTTACTGAACTTCTTTTACCAACTAGAACTTCATTTGAATGTATGCTGTGTACGCCGCTTCCACTGAATGACTAAGTTGAAGGTTGCTGCGACAAAAGCATTTAGATCCTGTATCGTACATGGCGTAATTTCGTCAGTGTCATCAATTGCACTGATCGTTTGATCAGCATTTCTTTGAACGGTTCATTCTATTTAGATTAGTATTCTATTGTGTGCCTGCTAAGTCTGTGCAATTAAAAAAAGTCGGAAATCACATTCACATGTTCTGGAACACCTCTCCAGGCCCGAACAATTATAAATGATTACCTAGCAATGCTGTCAGGGTGCTTTTTGATAGAGGTCATCATCTGGCAGATATCTGAAATGTAAGAGGAACGATAATTTCGAAATAAAATAGTTGCTTTTAATACACTGAAGGCTATGATGAACACTGTTCCTATAAATTGGCCAGTTCTTCTAGTCGCAATGTTTCTACGTAGCTATATTGGGGAAGTCGCCACATATGCGGGCTCTCGCTGTCGTCGTTCTAATGCTTACCGTTGGAAAACAAAATTGATTTCCGGTAACTCTTCATTCTGTGATAGAAAACCTGTAATAGCCTTAACCTCACTCATACATATTAATTGAAACGACGAACATTTCCTCCAGCTCTTTACAATTCAGTATCTCATAATCAAACAGATAATAAATTGCGAAGGCCTAATAGTGTGAATAAACTTTCTAGCTAAATTTTTGGATGCGTATATGCGAAAACTTAGATTTTGCTCTATATAAACAGTTCCTATATGAAGTTGCGTCACAGCTTACCGTTCTAAACGATATGAAAAGCGGCCTACAGTCTTAATTTCTCGAAAGTCCTATAAATTTCTTTAGAAATGCAAAATTCGACAACCTTAGTTCTGATCTGTCCACGTAATTGCTTAACGAATCTTTCTGCTGTAATTTAATGTAATCAAATGATGTGCGCAATGTAAAGGCTTTTCCCCGGTCAGTCTTGTACTGTTGAAATAGTTACTTTATTATGTGAAGTTGCGCCTGCGTGTTGTTTCTTGTAGCTGAAATCAATGCCGACGATACAACACTGTTAAACTATTAGACTTATGAAAAGAGCATTATTAACGGTAAGGTATGCTAACCCAAATCATAGAAACTCTATGGAACTAGAAATGCAGTCTGAAATAGACACGATCTCTCCGATTTTCGGCTGTAACTAGAAAACGTTTTCGCTTACTTTGATTAACAGTCCTTTCAGCTTCGTCGCCGTCAATGTTTCTATTAACGGTAAAAGGTAAACAGACACATGTTGTTCCCAGACAGACGTCGCTAAAGAACACAGTCATTTATTTCATATGCAACTAATACAAAGCGCGCTAGAGTAATGGCATTGAAGAACATAGTAAACTTCAGGCTATAGTCATGGGTCACTTATCGTGTCCTTTTCGGTGACACACTTGTAAGTCGGCTAACAACGCGCTTTAAACGTGCCTCAAGAAGGCCCAATCAGTAAATCAAAAATACCTTAAACGTAAGTATAAACCAAAATGACAGATACAGTTCTCATATCTCCCAATATCTAGCATGGAAATTACAAAGTAAAATGTGCTTGAAGCGCCAGAGCACGAGAGATCCTTCCTCATTATTGCAAAAAAAAAATTATAATCACTACCTATTTAATCAAGAAACTCAAAACGCCGTCAGAAGCCAGATACTCAACTAATTTTAAAATACTCTCAGATCTGTTGACCGTTTATTATCTTCAAGTATTTGCACACATGAGTATGTTTTTACACATTGAGGAAAATCTTAAACGATCATACCTGAAATGTATGCGGTAATCAATCGAGGTTCACCCCAAAAAACGTAGGTGATTATTATAGCTAAATGAAACGTTCTTTTCAGGCAGATGGGTAATTCGCTAACTAATTTGCATTTGCATAAAACTATATAAGGTTTTAAATGTTTTGAACGTCTTTTTGGATAAAAAATGCCCTTACCTTTCGTTCCCATATAGATATTCTGTTAATTTATTTTAAGTCGACATGTTTGCTGTTTTTTCCTGTTTAATAATAATAATTGTTTTCTCCAAACTGTGCCTATCAACAAAAAGCTAAGGCCTCTTTCGAACTTGTTACAGATACGAGTAGATCAATTACTTATAAAAGAAATGGTTTATAGGTACATCCAGGTGGAGACCCGGCTAAGGCTAGTAAAAGAATTCGTCACTTCGCTTACACCCGTTGTAAGAAAATTTTCTGACTGCTGTTTGAATACGATACAATTGAATTACCATGAGCGAGACTGGGTATTGTAAAACGTTGAAAGCATACATTAAAAAATAAAAAATCGACTTTTGTATAATATTTTCGAAAGTATTTTTGATTTGCTCTTTTTATCAGTTTTCAAAGTGTCTATTATTTTTCATGACGCACTTTTTGCTAATGCACCTAAAACGCTGATAGAACTATCAAATCCTGAATCAAATTATTCGGACGTATCTGGAAAGTACCATATAGTTCTAGGAAGAAATTGATTAGAATATTAAAATTCTATTTAAATGTAGCTATCCTGTAGACTCTTCAAAAATGTACAGAAGCTTTCCATCGCATGCTTTTTTTCTTCTACCACGGTGTGCATATTTGCCAAAAGACAGACCGACACAGGCTTTACGGTTGCGTCTGTAGCTCACGAAGGGAAACGTGTTGTGACGCATACATTCAACAGCATGTACAAATTATTTCTCTTAGAATAAATATTGATAATATTTTAAGTACCCGAGCATTATCATTTCCTAAATTATAATAATTAAGTTAAGTCCTAATTGCTCCAATTGCACCGATCTAATCAGCAAGACATTGTAACCGAAATAGTTGTACTAATGCAAATAAGCGATCTGACCGTTCTAGTGGGAGGGAACTAAGCGTTTTTTTTTTTGCCTGTTTTGCGCAACTTGCGCCTTCCCTCCACCACACGTTAATGGTGACCAGCTTCTAAGCATGAAATACGCAGCAAAACGCGACACAATTTCTGATTTTTAAAATGGCGAATCAAAGTAAATTAGACCATAGTAAAATGGCTGCGAAAGTAAGTTAGATTACTGGGAAAAAATTTTGGCAAAATGTCCGTGGTGCAATCGAGTGCAGGGCCCACGGCTCGAAAGCCGCAGTGTTATCGGAGCTTGGTTGAGGGAATAATGCTGGTCCCGGCAGAGTTCTCTCCTCTCCATATGCGTGCGAGTGTTTTGTGTATGTAGATGGCTAAACCTGGATAAGGAGTGGGGTTAGCAGTGAAGGTCTGTTTGTTTGCCGATCAGTGGCCTGAGTTCGAGAACCACGATAAAAAGAGAGACGCAACTAGGTTGGGGTCAGTGAGGGCACAACCGCGACTTAGTTCGTGGCTACGTGACTTACTGAAAAATCATAAAATCACTAAAATCAACTCTGGTGGACAGTGGTTGTAACAACGAGAAACGCAACAACATTTGGATAAAGCCCGGGTGGAGCCCGCGTCGATTCGAGGTTCCACGACCTGGAACACGCCTCGAACTCTTTTCTATTTGTTGCGGCATATTTTATTGGAGTTTCGCAATAGATAACAAAAGGTCACAAAGATTTAAGCGACTGCTATCTAAAAACTTATCTGTTGTGTGCATGTTTGTCATACAAGCCATGAGTTGACAGAGCTGCGCCATACATACAAATGGAATATTGCTAATTAACTTTATTCCAGAGACACCTTGTTGAAGTAATGTTAATCTCGAGAACCTGAAATTGGACGTTTTTTGTGGTAATTGTTGGAAGTTTCAATATGAAACACTTACGGACGACACCTTTCGTGATAAGCTGAAAAACCTCGATCCTAACAAGGTTTAGATTTATGAACCGAGTCCTTGACCTATATGTGGCACAAGGTCGCAAAGCCGTCCAAATGCCTCATAAAGAAAATCCACTATCAACATTTACATTTTAATTTAATGAACTAGCAAATTGCAAAGAATAGCGCGCATACCCCGTTCAAGTTGTACCCTTGCAAGTATACTACTTATGCATTACTATAGCGTTGGCTACTCTATAGCATATTCTATTGCAATACTCCACTATTGCAAACAATTAGTGCTAGAGTGAGAATCGTTTTCCCTTAAAAAGCCTGCGTTTTAGCATAAAATCGTTTTTATTACGTAACACCCTGACCTTATTAGCGTTAATCTAGAATAGGTCAAATAATTATTCATCATAGAGTAGCTGTTGTGACCGATTAGATATACCTAAATAAGTGCAGATCTGGCACGTATCTAAAAAATTTTTAAACACCTAGCTTTGACACTTACATAGTAACACGGACGTATATACGAGCTTTCACTTACTACTCCATATGCAAGCTTCAGTAATGATAGAGTACTTCAATAGAATTAGTAATTTTTTTCCTCTGATGAGAAAATGATACCTAACGGTGCATCAAAAATACAAATTCATCCGTAGAGACAACATTGTTTATTAACTATAAAAAAATTGTGCGTTTTCTAAACATGTAATGTTCTGTAATGCAATACCATAACAAGTCTGTGTGGTACTATTACATTATATATACCAAAAAAACGCTTATAAAGGAGATCTATTAACACCTATTGGTGTTATGCGATACATTGTCTATATGAATAGCACATGCTTCCAGTTAACCGTTGAGTCACTTCACTTGAGTTATTATTGTTTTCTATATGAATTCAAATTGCGACTGAATTTAAACAGATGGAAATTAAACTTTATGGAAAAAACTTGTCGAACATAGAAAATAGAGCCAACGTAATCACATTCTTATGCCGAAATCAAAGGTCGTTACTTAAACTCGATTCTATACTTTCTATAAGGCTGATGCGTATACATGTTCCCTTGTTTAATCATATCGTATTGGAAAATTGTCAAGGCCAATTCTAACTAGTGTGCTGTATACAATTGATGCAAATATTCTACCTACACTAAAAATAGTGTAGCTTTACAAGTTCGTCATGTTTAACTGTACGATACTCGATCTGAGTTCCTTACACTCTCTGATGTTAGCCAGAATTTCCTTTTTCATCCTCGCGATTTCGGCCTCAATTTCTTTTTTGACGCTCTTTATTTTAGCAATTGTCCTTTCTCGGGGCAGTTCGTATGGGCATTCAGGACCAATCGTTACATTTCCGCGATAAGCACGCCCAATAGCATCTCGCTGCTCTGGCGTAGGGGAAGTAACAACAATTTCGTCGTAATATTCTGTTTGAATAAATGGCACGACAATGTAATTTTGTGCTCGATCTTCTAAGCCCTCCTGAGTGGCCGGACTTGCATTCTTTTGGGATAGACTTTGGACTAAGATAATTGTATGGTAAAGAACTAATGGCCTTTTCGTCGAGAAAGGCTTATTGAAGAATAGCTGGACAGAAGCGTTGTACTCGCCCCAGCCAATATGAGTAACTTGATACGGGGCCTGCGTCAGTCTAGTACTCGGGTACACCGGATCCGTTACGAACACTACCTTGATACACAAATAGATAAATTAACTTGATTTCATTTCTTTGTCCTAAAATGTTATAAAGGCGACAATCAAGTCACTGCTGATGACAGACAAACAGCAAATCCAATAGTCATGTGGCAAACAGATCTGGAGAAGTATCATAATAGAATAGGCAAAATAGAGCCAGTGAACGATATACTGTATTGAGTAGTCTAGAAGGTCAAATTAGCCGCTGATACTTATTTAGAGTAATCGCTACACTCTAACAGTGTAAAATATCTGCGCTAGAAGCACGTTCAGTTGCTGTCAAGACGTCGTAGAAACTAATATTATGGGAGTCTATAATAAGATCTTTTTTCTTTCCACTAACCTATTATAGGACCCCCAAATACAACATAGTTTAGGATTCTAGGATGTTATCATACCGAACATATATAAAAAACGATACTTCGTACTTTTATTAAATTGTATCTGTGAGGGTTACAACTATCATTCTCAAAATTAAATAAAAGTATTGCATTGTGTATATTATTGAATTTTAGACAGAATGGTAACCGCCTGTGGAAACAACAAACTACAATGACAAAAAAGCTTGTCAAATAATAAATTGGATTGAACATGTTTGCTGGAAACTATGCTACCACATCTTTCTTTTTTTATTTTACTTATTACATTTTACATATTATTGATTAATTCGAGCCATTTAATGTATAGCAACTGTAGTTGCGGGCGCTTCTGGGCAGCCTCGAGTTAAATGAGTGATGAAAATAACCGAGATATAGAATACTCTACACGGTTCTAGGCAATTGATATGCTGTAAATTAGACCAAGTATTGTTTTAAAGTTCGATTATTAGTTATTAAACAAGTGTCTTTTATCTCCATCTCATATCAAAATCCGTGACGGTGTGTGAAGCTCAATTTGAAATTAGTTAATATTTTAACTTATCGATTCTGTACGAATTTTTCTTCGAAAAATTGTAGCCACTAGGCTAGATGGACTTAATGACTTCATATATATATATATATAGGAGATGCTTCAATATTAAAAATCGCATCGAAAAATCTGCTAATATTATTCGAGAACGGTTTACCTCACGAAGAAGAGCTGACATATCCCAGCTGTCGTTGTATGGTTTCACATAGAAGGTCCATTCGTGGGTGTATTTTGAACCGTTCTTGACAATTTGTTCGTTTTCTTTCAAGAGTCTGGCGCTATTTCCGTATACGATACCTAAGGAGCACTCACGCAGCGAATTAGAGGGTCCTGGTATTATAGCGGAACGCATAGTCAATGTCCTCAAAGCAAAAACCGCGTCACTGTCCTTTAATGTGATGGCTTCGTTAGGCATTTTATTATCATCCTCGGAAATTAACTCTACGTCCCGTTCGACCCCGCGTATGTAGACTGGGCGCATTTTTCTTTGTGATAGGTCTTACGTTTGACTAACCCGTGTTGGTCAACGATACCCACAATAATGATGCACTCACCAATGATTTTTTTGCGCTTAATGAAATGGTACGAACAGAGCGTAAAACAAAGGGACAGAACTACCATCCAGTTTACAATGAAACTCTGCGCTCATCTGAGATGATGCGCGCTCTGCTTCTTGCCCACAATACCTACTTCCTATGGAGCTTTCTATGGAAATCAAGTGGCAAGTTGTTGTGCCGACGATGTCGCTGATGCATTGAATGTGCGCGGAGTGCACACTAATTTATCTAATTTATGTATGCATCCACCCAGTCTACCAACCATTGAAAAGTTGTGCCGGCTCAGATTTAAAGTAAGAGCTATGCTGAAGCCAGCTCATTATATCCTCCTATATATTACCTGCTAGAGAGTGTCGATTGTTCAGAGATGGGAGTATCGCGATACTAAGAAAACGACACCGCTCTAGAAAGGTTTGCACTTTATTTGCTAACACTCAGAGCATCCTATTCACGTCACAGGCGTGCTTAGTGTGCCTACATCTAAACAGATGCCTGCAGGTAAGACCTTCTTGTCGTCTCTCGATATTCATTTCAAAGTTCGCGTTAAATTGTATTTACGCATGGCGCGACAGTCAGGATTGAAATATTAAGGCGATATGAACAGTTGTTTCCGCCACAGTAGATCACAAGTACAGACAGCTAATCCAAAGCTCATCAGTCAGGGATCTCGAGTATCACTAGAACTCTAGAAATAAATAATATGGTCCACGGTATCAGCTTACTAACGGCAGGAACCTAAATAAACTGACAGCAGTAGAGTATTATAAATGATTAGTAAATTGAAAATCATGCTAACACTCTACGGGGTAGCGAACGCGTGATACGATCTTGCATTTAATGTTAATAGCGACACTTAGTGATGTGTTACTAATAGTTAAACGATGTTAAAACGCTGAACATTTATTTCCATAACATAGCAACGTAATGTTATATATATATATATATATATATATATATCATTCGGATGAGTTCGGATCTATTGTTGTTTTAAAAATTTTAACCAAACAAACATAAATAATTTATCCAAATTTTTATATGCACTAAGATCGTTCTTTTTGACGGTCATTTTTGTTCAACATAACCATCATGCATCGTGATTATACCTTCCATTCAAAATGTAAACGATATACTAACCGTTTTCAAAATATTTCTTCTCGCTTTACACGTAACAGATGTGCAGGTATGTCTGAACACTAGTATTAAGCTGAACATTTTTAACAAATATCTGCCATCGATGATGCGTATTTCCGGAAATACTTATTTTTCCAAACACTACTTTTCTGTAAATAGGAATCAATTTAGCTTAAAAAAAACGCTTAATTTTTCTTGTAGTCCCGAATAAACGGCTTATTTGTGGAAGTACAACTATTTAGAGTCTATCTATCTGCAAAGGGTACTACACTAGGCCGAAGCGACTGATCTATTAGAAATTGCTATAATCGCTGCCGTTACGACAGTGTGTTACGTAATTCTAATTACTACAAGCACGCTGCAACAGTCGCCGGTTTTGCAGTCCGAGTTAGCGTCATAGCTTTTATAGCTTCAGAAGCAAAATTTAGAGCTTCTTCAATCTCTCATCGGACAAATCATTCCGGGCGGGTATTCTACGCCTTTAAAATATGGCAAATTACTTCCCAGACGGACCTGCTTTTCAATATTGCCAAAAAAGCAAAGTCTTGTGTCTCGCAACACCCTCCGTATAGGCTGCGCCTACACGACGACGGCGACTTTCTAATTTTGATGGGGAGGCGTGATGGAAATCAATTAGTAAGTGTAATTAAATTAAGGTGACGGTTAGCGATCGGTGTAGACGACTAAGTCTGAGAGCTTCTGTGTTTTAATTTAAAAATAAAGCTGGTTACTTGCTTCATGGACGCCACGGGCTTTACTAAGTATGAAAACGACATTTCACGTTAATGATTACACCTTGTTATTTCTGGGCTCCGTCAGAAAATAATTTGCAGCCTATTCTTTAGCCCAATATAAGACAATTTTTTTTTATCAGTATTCGGTTCACGGAGACCTATTCACATATCCGTTGTTAGTAACACGTAGTAAAGCAATAAATTGCTTCGTACTGTATTTCATAATCAGTGTGAAGATAATTAGAAGTTTAAAGCTAACCCAACATAGAACAATAAAATAAAAGAACAGATCACTAGTATGTGCTGCAGAAAATATTAGATTTAAATAAGTGAAATTTAGTTACTTAAATATTGATTCTATTTCTTTGAAAACTTGTACAAAGCGTACCAGATAAAGTTCGTACAAAAGCAGTGATGGAAAAATGGTAAGTGGCATTGGTGCTCGACACATGTTTTCTCCACAATCCGCTACCTAATAGATGGCAAGCAACTCGTATCCACGATCAGTCTGTTCACAGAGTTACAGTTGACACACAGAGAATAAGAGTATCAACTTTCAGCGTAAATAACAGTGCGGGACAGCAGACTGCCGTCTTCTCTATATTGCAGTCTAATCAATTTGTTTAATTCAAATTCGTCTCGTGTAACATACGACCGACAGAAAACAATGGAACGTACTAAACCAGTGTGACTATTAGAATTTGTCTCTGCACAACTCACACTGCAAAGGTATAGATGGTGCGCGCTTTGACTCCGAATGGCTCGTTTTAGTTATGAGCGCACGAAGATCCCGGTCGAATGTAAGTATCGTCATAACATTAGCCTACGGCTTACGCTGGCTGGACTTCATACGTTAGATAATTGTTTAGTATAGCCTATTCCGCTGTTCTAATGCATTCATATTAGACGTACGTAACTTGTGTTGTGATTGCCTCTTCAAGCATGTACATAGAATTTCTATACATTTTCTGGTTTGGCAATTTGTTAGATACACTATTATATATGACGTATTCGCCTCACAGGAATATCTTGCATATGCATAAGTTACAGTTTTCGAAAGATTATCAGCCTTGTCGTGTCAGTACTCATACAGATTTCCTCTAACCAGGTCAGGTTGACACTAAGACGCCAGGGTGCGCGCCCACTTTGAATCTATAAAAGAAATGGGCATTAAAGTAATTGTTTCATGTTGTTTGGTATTCACAATGGGAACACTCGAATGGTTAAAGTTTCACAAATGATCAAGGTTTCGAACACATATAATTCATGCCGACTTCGCACGTGTTCTCTTGATTTATTATAGTATGTCTACAATCGATCGATCGAAAATATAGTCTAGTACAAGTTCGACGATCCCAAGTGCGTATAACCGCTATTTATTTTATCGATGTAATTTCAAGCTCATGCTTTTGTTTTCCTCGACGACGATTTTATGAACACATGGGTATTAGCGTCAGGAATTGCTTTGCGCATGAATATGGTACTTCCATAGAGCGCTCTTTTGTTGTAACCGATGTCGACAGCCTTTGCCGTAGATCTTCATACAAGGCTGCGCTGTTTATGTCAGCTTTACATTCAGTCAGTGTAACAAACTTTTCCTTTGCAGTGTAAATCGGATTCTGACTCAGTCCTAAAGGATACTCGAACCGAACAAAAACTTTTTTACTTGTGAGTAATGCGATAATTCAACAATGAAATAATATATAATAAATTGATGTCGATGTTAAAAGGTGTATGTAAAGTGACGTGTAGTATTAATCCGCACACGAGTAAAGCCATCGAAATACCAGCCAATACTCTCTGCTGTATTAGAGTGTATATCACGTTAAAAGCGGGCTTTGTAACAGTAATATCGCACTTCCAAGACCAATACGCAAAGCAACAGGCAAACGATTTTCTAACAAGAATATTTTTCAGACACTTTTGGAATTTAGTTGTACGTGGTGCAACGCTACCCCAAATCATGTGACGAAAAATCCCTATAGCTTCAGGTCAATTGATAGCTATGAATTCACTATTCTACAGCGGTAGGCGTAAAACGCTCGCAAAGAACTTGCAATTTGTTGACGCGCCTTCAAGACTACGGCATGACAGGGCCGACAGGCTTCAAGTTAACGAAAGATTGCACAAAGCGGATATCTGGATAGAGGCTGTAGAGCAAGCAAAACGAATTCGTTCTATGAAGCTTTCTCAGTTTGGTATGTTCTTACTCTGCACTATTTATGCTAATGTCACAAATTAGAAATACCTGGTTACAAAAAAGCGTTAATTTCTCTAAAGTTATAGTAGAGTTGTAACTCATAATGTCATCTCAACTCTGAGGAAAATATAAGCTGTAATGATGAAAGGGTCTTTAAAGCCATCTTTTAGGTGAAAATAACAACTGTAATATACAAATACAACAATGACAAACACGATATGCCAATGATGTTTTTTGCTTGTACATTCCAATTTACCTGTTATATTCGAGACTGACTATGTATACTCATATTATGCCGGTCTCCTCTGTTATATGCATTACTGACGTTTAATTTTTCAAATTTTCAGATCCTATTCACAAATTGCAAGAGACCTTGAGGGCCTCAATGTAAGTGAGTACGGGATTTTACAAACACACTATTTGAATAATGTTGGCTACATTATATCGGTAGTTGTACCCGAACCCATTGTAGCAAATTCGCTACATTCATTGACGCCACTTTATATTCCGCAATCATTGTAATAGTGTTTTGTAGTGTAGTTTGATAATAGAGCATAGGAATGGCTTTTCAAGCACAAGTTCATGAGCAAAAGAAACCATGCCAAGCTATTGGAAAATCTTCAGTTAGTAATACGGATTGATTGCCTTCATTTTTATTTGGCTGTTATTTCTGTTCTAATTGAACTAACTTTGCCTAATTACAGATCTATCTACCGAAAAGAGTTTCGCTCACCTTTGCCTAGTAGAGAAGTAGCCTTATTGCTACGGCCACTTCCGGTGATATACAATCTAAAAGGCGAAACGATGCTTCAGGTAGGCACTGGCGCAGTGGCGAGTCTTCCACTTAAAACCCATCTCGCAACCGCTCAAGTAGGAAGATTTTATTTGCAGCATAATCCAGCGACTTCAAACTCTACTTATGAGACCATTCGAAATATCGATGTTCCAGTGTCACAGCACAGTGAATTCCCATATGATTCGTCTCAGTTTTCACGGACTACTCATTATCAGTCTAGCACCTTCAAAGCTAGAGATGTTTTATGCGAAAAAAAGCACTCATTCATAACGAAGCTATATACCACTATACCATCACACTCGACCCGCTGCGTCCCTCAGAAAACAGTACCTCTTTCTTTTTCGATGGGATCGGACGACCGAGCACCTCAGAACTCTACACATTTCGAAGACATTTTTTTGTCATCAAACTTATGGATTATGACACCTCGTACGATCGAGGATTCAGAGCCCTCTAACTATTTTGATTCCCAAGATGGAGTTGAAGACATGAAAGGCACGCCGTGGAATGACTTGTTAAGAGAGAAAGTGACAGAGCAGGGCAAAAATAATCTTGCATCAATCCGACAACGAGCTTTTTCCGAGGCGCCTTCCATGGGTTCAAGCTTCAGCGCCGGAGATTCAACGGAGGCAAAGCCGCCCCAGATGTCACCTAATACTGACGAAGTTCAGAATACTCAGTCTACAAAGGATGAATTTTTTTCTTTCAGAGCAGGTAGTCCCGATTCGGATTTTCAATCCAGTCGTCTGTTCTGATAGCTTTAGTGGCCTAACTGAAGAGAAATTATATTAGCCAAGAGCTTTGACAGTGTGAGGAAACGAGAAGTGCAGGATTTACTCATCTAGAAAATGCACTATGAACTAGAATAGGCTAAGTAAAGTATTTTGTAAAATAAAAAGGTATCTTTAATTATATTAAATGTGTTTTGAATTGGAGGAACGTAAAAACACAAATGCATTGAAAAATGGCTGCTAGTGATCCGACAGAGAGGAATTATTTGCCATATACAGTGTGATTATTTCTCATTTGATCACACTCGTCGTGAGTATAAATACATTATGTATGACACTGATACGACATAGCTAACTTATTACAGGGCTCTGATGTATTTTTATTTATTACAAAATCACCTAATTTCTCTGTAAACCAACTCTGGTTTGATTTGGTATGTAACTTAGCGGCAAAGCCAATTGAATTGTAATCCTAGCTACATACATTGATGCCCCTTTATTTCTCTATGTCCCTTTTTTAATCCTATCTACATGAACGCCATGTAAGTTTTCCTTTGTATAATAATAATAATTTAACTTATTTTTTAGTACCATCGAAATAAAAAATAAAAGTGAGTGATTAATTTGACATATAACATAACTGATCATTATTTTATTAATTCTTGAGGTGACTAAACGTTTTAATAACTAACTACATCTGTAACTGCGAATTACACGTAGACCGCTTGCATGTATATTTTTCGAGTGTTTTTCACTTACAATTTGGAATAAATTAGGAACAAGCTAGTAGGTTGTATGCGTCTTTTGCAAATCCTCAGTATGAGTCCTCGTGAGACCTCTGTTTCATCGAATGGCTCCTTTTTAGCGGCCGTTATCTTCCAAACTAAAATGCGTTCATACGCTCTGTTTACATCGTATGAAAACGCACTGCGCTAAATTCGTATAGTTGCTACCGTGCGATGTGATCAGAGCCACTCTACAGTGTTTGGTCTTTAGTTTTTGCGCAAGAAGAAGCGTCATTGCATTTATGGTGCGCGAAACCCATGAGTTCGCGCAATGTCCGGTTTTTTTGTGAGGATATGTCCCTTGCGACCGCTGTTACTCTCTTTCCAAAATTCATCAAGGACTCTTTGCTCAGTTCAACCAGCACCTCCATCAACTCCAACCAACATAGGCAGGTGTTAACAATAAAAAACACTCGTCGGCTTTTCTGTAAAATTTTTTTTTATATTTCGTCGATATGGCATAATTAATGTCAGTCCGCTTTGTTTAGTAGATTTAAAAACACATAATGATAGTTGAATTTTTTAGTGTCACAGAAACTATATTTGCAAGCTCTAACACGGAAGTTAACATATCTATTACCTAGTTGTTAATTCATTACATTTTTACATCGGCTAGGCCAGCCCGAATAGACCTGCAATCACTTGAACTTAAATTAAGGGCAATTACTTATACAGATTATACATCTGTAGAATGATGCCATGCTGGTTAAAAGTTTGCAAAGGTAACTGTGTTGCATAATGTGCTCGATTTTTGGTCAACGAATTCCGCAAACTAAGTGTTGAAGATCGGTTCTCACAGTATTATGCACAACTATTCATCCTTTCAATATTTTACCTCAACATATATATATATATATATATATATGTTATGCGTAAATGCTGCTTCTGTTTTTCAGATGAAGCCTACCTTTCCTCTTCCAAAATAGATATTGAAAATATCTTTTTGTCAAAGCGGGTCCAGCAGCTTCTTTGCGATTTAACGTGTAAAGATGTCAACCAGGTTTTTGCATCTCGCATGAAAGAGTATAGTCCGCCTCAATATAAACTTCTCACCGATAAACAGTTTGAGGAAGAGGTATGGTCAACTTTTTAATGTCTGGATATACGTGCAAGCATTTAATATTCATAGGATCTTAAATGTTATCAAACTTTAAGAAACTCTGAAATCTCAATCTAGCCTAGCGATACATTTAATAATTCCTTTTAACCTCACAAGCACTTTGCCTTCGTAATTACAGGTGGAAAAAATACTGAAATGGATTTTGACCAGAATACCGAAGCGGATATTAATTTTTTAGCATCTTTATGGTTTAAAAGTAACATGTTATGAGCATGTGTAAATTTAATTGTGATTTTTGTTTATAAAACCGACATCTAACAATAACATAGATACAATGTTCTTTTGTTTGCAATCTGAAGATCATAAAATTCGATGCAAAAAAATAAGTATCTGCTTATTGGTATATATACGCACAAGGGTTCAATTTTACAAATGCAACACAGAGTAAAAGGCGGAAATGAGAAAAAAAGCCAAATAACATGAAAGATATGATAAGCGATGATAACGCTGTATGACTAGTGTACTGGTGTTGTTCACTTTTATATATACATATATCTATACATCTGGCTAGCTCATTTAATTTGATATAATCGTTATTAATCTGCTGCGCATTGGTACACTTTTTTTTTTAGATGGAAAAGGCTATGCGGAAGGTGGATGAATTGACACAAATGCCGCCGGTGCTTCGTAAACGAAAGCCCTGCCAACGCATCCTTCGACGGGATCCTGAACTGCAGGGACTCCATACGACGAATTTCGTCTTTACCGATGTTTCATTCGGTTATCACGAGCATGTATGTGATAACTGTGCTAACAATGAAAGCATCATAATGTTGTCAGAGAAGCATACAGATCTGTTAATATTTTCATCATTATATTGTGCAGGGTGATTTGTAAGTGCAAAACCTTGGCAATGATTCTCGGGACTTGTCTTCGATTTTAAATTGATGTATTGTATCAAATAGTTTCGATACGATAAAGGCACCAATAGGACTTTGTAATAATTTCAATTTTAACAACATTTAAGCTTTCTTATCAACTTACATGCACGTAAAGCCTGTTAAAATACACCTTTGGCTGAATATTTGTTGGACTCCTGCTGAAAACGCAACTAGATTGTGGTATTTGAGAACGAAAGTAAATAATCACAGCACTTTTGAAATAAACTGAACGCTGTTTTGTGTGCAATTGATTTAAAATGAAATATTCAAATAATAAATAGTAAAGTTGATAACAAATTATAGAGTGAATTTATAATAAAATCATAAAATTTTAATAAACTTGTAAACTCGCGTGTTTGTAGGATCGACCGATTGTGGTCCGTGAACCTGATGGAACCCTTCGTACGGCATCTTGGGAAGAGCGGGAACGAATGCTGCAAACGTATTTAGCGACACCCGGTCGCGAAATTGAACTTCCGAAGATGTTTACGGAGCCGCACTTAACCAGCGTACTAGATGACGGAAAGTACGCATTTTTATTATTGCCCATGATTCTCAGTTATGTATTTGATTTAGAAATTAATCCTGTAAGATGTCGTGGCATATTGCAGAAGGAAAGGTTCCACTAGCAGATTTTTAATGTGTCTTGATTAGACATATACGATACAATTCGATCGTGATCAGTGCTCAATAAAAATGTTTATTCATTAAATGCTTACGGAGGTTCAACAGGATCCTTCATAATAAAAATAATACGCAGCAACAAGGATATTAGCTACTGCGGATTACAAATGCCAAGCTGCCGACATTGTACTAAACAATGACGTTTGTCTTTATGCGTAAATTGTCCTACTAGCGTAATAATCATATACACTTGCGCAATTAATTAGGTATGCCAACCTTGTCTGACTAATTGCTTAAGGACCACATTTAAGCGTGTTGAAGCTTTAATGTTTCCGAACTAGGACAGTTTTGGTACACTCGCCAGTGTCTTTTGTGCATAGGTACGTTTTTGTCTTGGATCGAGCATGTCTGCAGTTCGAGCCGAACAGTGAACAGTATCTTGGAGTCACACAACGTGTGTACGCGCACCTTATGGAAACAGGAAAGTTCGATGAGCTTCGTTCAACGAGACATTTTGGCCCCATGTGCTTCTATTACGCGGTCACTCATCAATGCGATCCGCTCATCCTTAGCCTCCTCAAGTCTGGAAGGTAAGGCAGGTAATCAAGACTATGATTTCCAGATTAGGTGGCTGTAGTAGCAGCAACTAATTCGTGAGCATAAGATTTCGTTCGCATAGATTGTTTGAATTTTTGGTAATCCCATAGCTACAGTTGACTGGTATCGTTTCACTCCCCAGCCAAAATATTATATATTAAATCCAAATCAAACCTCAATAGGTTAGCAGCAACACCTACCTAACAAGAATGTTGTTGACCAAAAAATCAAACCTTTCAAGTGTTTTTTCGATGCACTTCGGAGTGTTGATGGTTGTATTTTACATTGAACTTGTGACTAATGACAATCATGCTGCGTTCTAAAGCCAGCCATAACCGCACTTCTCTATATTATTTATGATATCCATTTTATGTATAATCGTTGGCCTTAGTCGGTCTGTTGTTGGTATCTTTAACCAAATAAGTATTAAAATGCCAGCTTATGATGTGCTTCGCTATTACGTCACTGAGAGGAGTGGTTACATTGATGCAAGCTTTTGTAAATTAATGCCTAAATCGCCACATCAGGTTGGCATAGCCACGTGACCTCCGTTAGAGAAAATCATACAAAAATTAGCAAGAGCCCTCCTGTGCCGACCTTAAGGCACTGTTTAACTGATAAAAATGAAGGCCTTTCGTGGACATATTATTATAGAAGAGCAGCTTGGAAAAATGACCCGAAATATAGCATAATAATCGATGAGCTAAATTATATAATTTGTGCTAATATTTCAGCGAATTTAAATGACACATAATCACCCTTTTTGGCTTGGCGAATTATTATTTCACCTGTTACAGCTTGGAACGCGCAGCAAAAGTTGTTGAGCTTCTCCACGTGATACACCCGAAACTTGAAAGCGCGCGCAAGATTAACAATGGAAATATTCCAGAACTCTATGTTGAGGTAACCCGGTGAAACATGTACGCTAGACAGTTAACGACTATAGTCTACTTCAACAAATTGTGCATACTATCTTCAAAATAGGCTCTTCATATTTAAATTTTCTTAAATAGAGAAGTAATTCAGAATCAGCGTACTAACGTTGTTTTAGTAGTGACGTAAATAAATGATGTGAAGACATAAAGACAGATCATTCCCTTTTGTTTTGTCAATACAATTAGTACTAAGAAAATTTTGAAAAACTAAGGCAGAAAAGATAGGTAAGATACTAACTGGTTTGGTACTGTTAACTCAATCCCTGTGGAGGATTTCGTAGAGTGCAACGCGGTCAGTTAGCTCATGTGGATGAATATTCCTAGAAGCTTCGCATGAATGAAAAGGTTGTTTGCACATTACTCAAGTAGTTTATTAACACTTTGGCTAGAAAAATGGTGAAATAGATATAATCATGAAATATTAATTAATAATAATTAATTTAATGAAATATAAAATTTATTGATCGCAGGAACTAATCACATAATAACTAGCATCCAACACGAAATTCGAAATAGTCCTTTTGCTCTTACTGAGATATAGAAGTACAAGAGAATGGCTTAAGCCATTTCAGGATTCTTACAGGCACGCTTTAACAAATTATAACGTTATCAGAATTTACAAAACTATTTCATTAGAACACAATATGACATAAAATTTACTTATTTCATATAAGTAAGAAGTAAGGTCTTTTGCACGAACTGTCTACACCTTGATCAGCTCAGAAATACAATATGAAATTCTAACTTTACGTTCATCAACCGTTTGATTTCAATCTCGGTCTGCTGCACGGAGTTAGATTTACCTCAATGGGGCATAAGTGCTTTAAATCGGTAATCAAGAAAATCTAGCACAAACATCATGAAAAATCTCTGATTGATAAAGCAACGGTTGAACCACCAGAAAAAACCTAGTCAAGTAATTCCGACTGCATGGTAGAGAGTTGCCAAAAAACAAAATGCTAACACATATGTTAAAAATTAAAAAGTGTTATACGTATCTTAAAAATAGTAGGCATTTTAAGAATAGTAAAAGGTTCGATGTCGTTTTTCGCATTCAGCCGGCCGTTTCTAGCTTCGAAGTCAACTTCCCATTACATATGTTATAGGTATATTCGCACTAGAACCAGGTCATACCAATATGTATAAGATCGTCTAGAATGATCATCGTAGTCTATTTCTAGCTGTTTCTTTAAGTCTTTCAGACAAAAAAAAAAGATATCTGTAACCACCCCTGGAGGAAACGATAAGAAGAAAACGTAAAAAGGTCAAAAGATGCTAATTTAAATGTGGCCCAACTTCAAGGTGAAAAAAGAAAAATTGCTGCGGAGATTTTGCCTTCAGTTGTCCGTAACGAATAACAATCGTATTTGTGTATTTTCATGCATAAACCTCTCATGATGACTTGTTTATTATTGTGTTTGTAAAATTTCAGGCTTACATCAAATGGGACTCTCAAAATAAGGCCGCCCTTGAGTTAGCCCTTCAATCAATTCGCGAAGCCAATCAAGATGATAAAATAGAACACGAAAAAGAATAGGAAAATGAAGGGACTGAAACGGGAAAAAGAAAGAATTAATGGATGAACCGAAATCGACTTTGGAAGTCTAACGGTTTTAGAATAAGCTCATAAATACCAGTGATGTATATTGCTGAATGTTTTATATTGGGGATATAATAAATTACTATAGCAAAGAGGCCAGGCGTTGTCTTAAAGGTTTCACCTAGATTTATTTTTAGGCATACCACGCATCGGAAAGCATGTATTTAAACCACCCATCATTTGTACTAGAGACCTTAGAAGATGCAGTTGCTTGAATTAGCCTACGTATTGAGGCCAGGAGTAGGTTAGGTTATGTTAATTAAACTTTGATGCAGAAACTACTGGCTTTTTTTAAGTGGAACATATATGTTGGTAACTGAGTTTTTCAGATAGGTCTTTTTAGACTTTTTGCACTTCTTGGACTCCTTGGACTTCCAGATTTCGAAGGCTCTCAGCTTATAATTAGTCCAACATTTGAATCTGTTTCAGTTATCTTATATCTGATGTCTTTGAGTGAGACTTTAGGGAATCTACACACGTTAAAGTTATTCGCGAGTTCACGGGAAACTTTCAAAAATGATTTGTGAGCAGTCTAAGTCCGAATTGAAATTTCTGTGAAATCCAACCAATGACAGTTACAGTGAACAAACACGTTTGCGACATATTTTGCTACCGAAGCACGGAAAACATTTCATTTTTTACAGATCAGATGTGTGTTCATCTCTTATAGAACCAGCTTATAAATTGTGTATGTTATGTCACAATGTCTGTATGATTACTTAAGTCAATTTTTACATGATCTCGAAATTAAAAGGGTTCCGGAAAAAATCGTGAGAATATGTGTCAGCAATCTCAAACCGCTATAATTGCTGTAATAAGATACTTCAGTTGCTAATGGTTTCCATATCTTAATACAAATGTATTGTGAGGCTAAAAGGATATTAAATAGTTAGAATACTATATATCTAGGTTTGTAACATAAATTAACGACTTATAAAAAATAATGCTTTCGGAGTCTTATCGGTAAACTTAACAATAATTGTAAGAAAACAGAACTGAAAAAATTACACTTAAGAAAAAACCTCGTATCCGTGTTCCCGCTACCGCCTGACTAGGTGATGATAGTCGATTTTGAGCCAAATCGTTTGCAATTTAAGAAAACAACTAAAAAACAATTTTAGAAAAAGAGTGAAAAAGCCTTTGAAAACGATAACGAGGGCAAAATAAACTAAAGACCCTAAAAGTATTCGTTGTTTTATAGTCTTTTTTATAGTTTTTCATAAAAAATGTCGCTTCGTTTTGCTAAGAACGGTTCTTAAAATCCATTTTTCATTTCATATTATCGTATTCTTAATCTTAGATATGGTTTCTATTTAACAGAATATCAAAATACTCATAGTTTGAAAACTACATCCACTTCTAGGAACTAATCCGATGTGGAGGCTTGTATGTATATGAAAATGTCCTATGCAAAATATTAATAAATGAAAAGAGACTTATGCCACTCCATTATATATATAGCGATTTCCCACTTAAAATTTCGTATTTATTTTGAGGATCGGAATAAAGCGTGAGAAATGTGTGGGTAAGGCGTGTTAGTTATAATATGATATCTTCTAGGTACTACAGTTTTCAACACATTGAGATAAACCATTGCACGCTACGGAAATAAGCTTTGAAACTCATCTCAATCAATAGACATTTCATCTGAGGAGAGAAAGTGGGTTTACTTGCATCGTTTATCTTGAAATGTGCTGCGCAGCATTCGCCATAACTGCGTTCAACCACTCTTTCCATACATAACTCAGATTAAAATCGATAGATACCAGGACAATTGTGATCTATGCCACACAGTTCTTCGGTAAATGTATATAGTTTAGATATATAGACATATACTGTAACGTCTTTTAGTGCATACTGCGCTTATTGACTATACAGTATTTACTGCGTGCAAAATTTATTTTTAAAATCAAGTCAGCAAGCCATAAAGTACATATGTGACGCAAAAATCCGGAGGACAGTAAAAATAATAGAAGGTTTGGGGCAGTTTTCTGGGAAGCTTTCTGTTACCAGGAAGACTGGTTGGTTACCAGAAATAATAGTAGCTAGTAGAAAGAAACTGGGAAATAGTTTGTGCGATAATCAACCAAAAGCTAAAATTAAAGCTTCATTGAGCGGATAATTCGTGATTTATGATATTTACTTATTATAACAGTTGCGCAAAAGTTTGTCGTCATCGAACGTATTTGAACCGATGCTGCAGTAGAAATCGCCAAAGCAATTAAGTCAAAAGCGGGGTTTCACTGTAAACACTCGTGAGTACAATTGGTAAAATGAATATATTTATCGTACTCCCTCTTCAAAAAGCTTTTTGCAGCATGCGATTAGCAGAGTATTTAGAAGCAAACGTTCGTATACGACAAAGCAATTCTATGAAACTGAGAAAATGAACCGCAAGATCGGCCGCTGAACAGCTTTTTCTTTTGTTGTATCGACATTCGTTTTCGCTAGAAAATAGTGAACCAGTAAAGATACACCGCAGCGAATAATGGAATGCGTTAGAGACTGAGGTGAAAGGCACGATAGTTAGAGCTATGGAGCATAATAGAGTAGGTTACAGACAGGTAAGCTGGAGGAAACAAATATATTATTGAAAGCAAAGGCGAGGGTAACAGGAGGCGTGCGCCAAATCCCTAATATAGAACGAATTACACTATACGAAGAAGGTGTGTCTGGATCTAAACTGTTCGTTTAATTAACCACAAGTCTACATCAATATGAAATACGTAAACTCATGAATCAACTAATATTAGTTTTTCACCGTATTAAACAGTTATTTCTATGTTTCCATGGGCCAATTTGATACCCACATGAGATAAAATTATTATGTGCGTAAAATGTTGGTACGATTCTGCTGTATGTTTGCCTAAATGCTATCTGTTTTGCTGTTTCTACACACAATATTTTCGACGCAGTTTATCTACGGACGCTACGATGTTTTCTTTGGTATCACAGGATCAACTTGCTACGCAGCACCACAAATCCAATTCGATACGTTTTGTGCTTACATCCAACAATCACTCTTTTTCGAGTTGTCATTTCTGCATTTTCTTCTGTAGTTTATTCAACGCATAGGTTCTGCCCGTTCCTCTAAGATATTGACTTTATACTGTGAATAAGATATCGTTCTCATAGTGCGAAGATGGTGTTTCATTCACTGGATTTTATAAATTCTCAGCGCCTCACACAAACTGTCGGTTAAGGTTGATCGGCTTGCACTCAAATAAAACAGCCACCAAATATGGGACTGTGTTTTCCAAATTTAACAATAGTCATTTCAGTCAATTTTACAAAACAAATGTCTTGTTTTGTAGATGTTTGTTTACAGACATACTAGCGACCAAAAGAAAACAGTTATTATTTATTAAGCAGAATACAATTCATTCAGGAAATTATGGACCTCAAACAAATTGGGTAATGAAGGGTTAAAGTGTAAAACACGGAAGCCATTTCAATTGTATGGCCATTAAAAAATGTAAACTGTCCGCCGATTATCGTGTATCATTATGTTGTCAAAACACTCCATTTAAATAGATAGCAAATACCATTTTAACGGTTTTAAACTACAGTTCTCATAACTGTATAACTCTTACTTGTAAGCATTTATTTATTTGAGTTCGTTGATTGAAACAACCCAACAATAACTATGTTGTTTGTTGAAAGTAAGCGTATTTTCTCATTTTTGCATTGTAAATCTAATGGCTAATATATTTCTAGTCTCAAAGTTGTGCATGAAAACCTGTTAATCAAGAAGTATATTATTTCGTTAATCAATTTTTGGGTATCGAGTTTTTTTTACTCAAGTCAATCGTATTTTGACATAGGGTGGAACAGCAAAGCAAACAAATAGCTAACCCTGTCACCGCACACCGTACCACTGCTCAAACGAAAATACCAATTGCTGCCCCTAGATACTCTTAATATACAGGGTGCGGTTATCGAAAATACGCTAATATATCAAGTATTTGACCCGCAGCAGTTTGCGCCTAGATATTATATCAGATGGGACGAAATCCCGAGTGAGATCTATCAAATAAGCGCGATGCTGGCGAAAGGATTGAATGTATTGCTTATTCCAGCAGCGGTTAGTAAAGACGTCTCGATCGCTTTTTTCGAGTGTCAAGAGCAGCGCTAAGAATCTCTCGCCTGATTGCAAATGGAGGGAAAAGATGGGGCGGGAGCCGGACTCAAGTGGCTTATCGAGGGACGAAACTCATTGGACGAATACTCGGCGATATAGTGTCTCCCATGAGGAATGGCTTGAAATACGCAACAGCCCATAAACCATCGAACTGAAAACATTTCAAAGTGATTTTAATATTTAAACGAACAAAACCAACATTGCTCTTCAAGCGTGAATTTGTTCAGACTAGATCAAAATGTGGATATCGGCTGAAATTTGCCCAGCTACCCCATTCCGAAGATACGCACGAGGTCAACTTAAACTGCCGTTTTTGCTTGCTAGAGTAGTTATTATCGGTTTACTAAAGTGCATGAATGTGTCTGGCCAACATCTAGGTGATAATTACGACAATGAGGACTATTTGCAACCGGAGCAGATTCATCTCAGTCTCGGAGGTTTGTTTTTTGTTTTCATTTGAAGGTAGTGTATAAACAGTTACTTCATTCATAATATGAAATCTTTTTAAAGTTCTCAAGGATATCCTAAAGCGATATTCTATACATATAAGAGGTCTACATTAACGACAATGGCATCACAGTCAAAGGAGAAATTTACGCTTCGATATTCTAGAGAGCTTTCGTTTGAAAAGATGCCGTTCTGCATGCAGAGACTAATATTCTTTACGGTAGATTTTATAAATTGAGACAAGATCGCTATATAACTGTATAACATGCATTTGAATATGCCGCTTCCAACGTATCATAAATACCATTAATACAGTAATATTTATGCCGCGCTCCTGCGAAGATAACACAGCTAGTCGTCTCAAAATCGCAGAAATAAACGATTGCTTCTTAGCTCTGAACTCGAGGATCGGTTTCCGCCAGATAAGCAGACTTCTGAATCGTAGCAGATGTAGTATTTGATTTTTTTCTAAACATTAACTGGCCTTAGAGTTAAGGTATCTTTTCAGTAGAACAATACAGATAAGTCGAAGTGATATAAATAGCTTCCAATTTTCAATTATAGCTTGAGCACATTTTCCGAAGATAAAGCCATAAAGTGGAGTTAGATTTATTTATATAGCATCTATATCTCATAATAGCGAGATGTGTTACGATAGAAGGCCTAAATCTGTTTTGGAGTTGATGTACATCATGCGTAACTTACTACTGACAGTTAGTCAGAGAAAACAAATTTGCCAAAAAGTATTGGCATTTCAATATATAACAACCAAATCCAGCCGACTACAATTAACATAGGTAAATAATGAACTAACCTTAAGCATTTATTTTTTTTTTTTACTTAATAGTGAACAGATACGGCATAACAGGTTTTGCTCATAACATAATGTATTGACAATGCCTATCAAATGTTTTTGCATACATAACATATATTGTAGTCAAAGCATAAGCTAATGATTGAAAACAGAGATTTAATTGACAAAATCTGTTTCAAAATGAAATTTCGTGTCTTTAATAATGCTATGCGTTATTTTGCAGCGGACGAAACTGAGATGACAGTAACTTGGCTAACCCTGAATGCAACAAATTTAACTGCAGTCGAATTCGGACCAAAGTCGGGTTATGGGGTACGATTTACGCGACGAATACTGGGCAGTATGAGTTTGTTCACGGACGGCGGCAGTGAACGAAGGAACCTGTACATCCACAGAGTTACATTGAAGAATCTTAAACCGGGGTTTGTTTACTGTTAGTATCTAATCCAATGAGTCCCCGTGATAGGTCAGTGGGTAACATTATTTGTTGCTTGTTTCAGAGACACCTAGTGGTCTAAGTTCGAATCTGGGCGACCATACACTTCGTTGCGTACTGAAAATCAGCCGTCGAATGGAATACTTAAGAATGGCGCCGCACATAAGCCTCGAAATATTTAGTTTAACTCACTCAATAATGTTAAACAAATCTCCATTTAAATGCATGTATTAGTGTAAGCGCTAACATATCATTACTTTTAACCACATTCAATTGCTACACTTAAACAACATAATGTATTTTTGTTCATTATAATAATCAATTTGGGTGTTAAGACTATCACTGCGGCGACCCGGATTGGGGCTGGAGTGCCGTTTACTGGTTCCAAGCGACACGTAACGACGCAACTTTCGACCCGCGGTTCCTCATATATGGTGATATGGGCAACAAAAATGGGCGCGCGTTATCCACGCTTCAAGAGGAAGTCCAAAAAACGCAAGTGGATGCCGTATTGCATGTGGGAGACCTCGCATACGATCTGGCTGACGTATGTAGTTTTCTACTTGCATATCTGGCTTTTCACCTACTTATTGTCCTGTGCCGTGTGGAGTTTCTCAGCGTTATATTCAATGGCGACAATATTAACAATTTAAAAATGAAAAAGATGAAGATTGCATATAATTCCAAAAGAATGATATAGCTTCCGTTTTGTCTTTCATTTGTTGTAATTTGTAGAAGCTTTCTTAGAAAGCTCTTTAGAAGAAATAAAATAGAAAATATTAAGCAAACACTGAAATTAGGCAGGGTATTACACAACACCTTGTTGCCTAGTAATTGGCTCAATAAAGGCTTTTCTCTAAGATGAGCATATGCTGGCATAAATATCAACTACAGGTATATTATAGAGGGCTTCTATATACCTGTACACCTCATAATGTGTAATTAGAATTAAATGAGAACATTGGCTTGTATTTAGATTCAATTTTGACTAGGTTTAGTGTTTAAAGGCAAGGCCCTGTTTAATATTGACGTCTAATTTCCCGGCTATATTTGTACACATGGCCATTGCTTAACGCCGTGCAGACTGTTATGGTGATAAGTCAACAGATACACGTAAAATTATTTTTATTAAGAGCAATTTTAGACGGCCATCATAAAGTGAAGATAGCCATTACGATTATTCATATAATTAGCTTCAGATACCGGTTTCAGTAGATGCTACATAAAAATACTTTATTATAAAAATCCACTTTGCACGAGTCCTCTGCATTTTTGAAAAATTTTGTCCATTAGTTTATTTGTAGACGTTCAGTTTACAAATGTGTTTTAGAGCTTTCATATGTCACACATAGCCATGTTAATTAGCATATATATATTTATATTTGAATCGTTACGGCTTTTTTAGTTATTAGAATTGAGAGCAAAAGTGCCCAGAATGTAAAAGCTGCCCGCCTGCTAGCATTCGGATACTGCAATTCAAAAAATGGTTTTCACGTAGATTTGTATTAATAGCAGCCGCTAAGTAAGCAATTCTCGAGCTCGGCATAGTCAATGCCTAATTTTCTCCTACACGATCCTGTTAGAGTCAGGAAACTGTTTCGTGTTTTGTTCACAGTTGATACATTATCGTGTTATTAGACAGTCTCTGTTGGCCGACGGTTATCTCGATTCTAAGAACTTGCACAATTAAAAACGGCCAATTGATTTGACGCGAGCAAATGCCTCTACCTCACATATGTTTATTATTTGAGTGAGTTGCAAATGGAACCTGTTCTTCATCAACAGTGTCTTTTACGAATATCGATGATGCTATTTTTTTAATATATTGACAGTTTATTTTCAAGATAACAGCTGTTTATGAGCGTTTAAGCTTAAGAAGAAATATGGCATTAAGGGCGTCATTTGTGAACTTCACCTTTGATCGACGCATCAAGTTATAGTCATTGTGCTGTTTAGGTAGGCAACCGTTTAAAATATAATTTACAGTGAAAATAAGTTGTGTAAAATGCATCGCAGGTCATTGCCCAATAAAATGCTCAAGGAATACTAAGACAACGAAAGCTCCGAAAAGTATTGAAAGCTGTAAGAGGGTTACAAAAACACAAACAGAAATTGTGTGTGAACAGAAAATTACCCACTTGCGGCTTGACCTTAGTGCTCTCTCATTCGTTATTTATCCTTTTTCAAAAACTTTAATTTCACTATCTGAGCTCGAGGTTATGAGAGGTTCTGATAATGCCTGTAAATTCTAAAATCTTGTTGACTATTTAAGACAAATCTTATTTTGTCTCATCTTCGATCGGGTTACACCAATTTTAGATATATTCAACAAATTTGAGTTATGAGCGATAAAATTAACGCTAGGCCGTCTGTCGTTCCCTACATCAGAGAGGTATTTTCTATATTTGGCGTACCTTAGGAAACGCCATGTTATTTGCAACGGATAAGCTTGGACAAAGCTCACAAAAAAAGGCTCTCGTTTCTTCAGTTTATAACTTTTAAAAAGGTATAACTTATTGCTGTTTCTTCACTACGTCATCGACTTCTACGTGTAAAGTGCACACTATTTCACAATAGCGATAATTTCATCATCATTTTGTTTGACATTAGATGTATCTCTTGTTAATCTAATCTCTAAAGTCCAACGTCTTTTTTCGTTTACTCCAAAATCCATACTCCAGTAATTGTGTTACTTAAAGCTGCCATCGGTTAGCCGGAAATGGTAATATATTATCCTGGTTCACATGAGGATTCTTAGTAAATGTTTCACGAGGCTATATTTTTCAGGGACTATGTTTGGTTACACGATTCGATTCTAATCAGCAAAGGCAGCTCCAAAAGACGTCATATGCTGAAAGAACTCTATCCGTTGCTGCTGACAAATTGACTGTATAAATTTTTACCGTATTTTATAAGCAAGTCGTACAAAATACAAAACGTTTAATTTTCTGATTGAAAGCATCTGTTGTACATATAGTCTGTTTAATAACCATGAATAGGTAACTGAAAAGCTGGCATTATATACCAATGTTTGATGTGCCTTTCTGCAGGACAACGCTCGTCGCGGTGACCAGTTTATGCGCCAGATTGAAACTATCGCGGCTTATGTTCCATACCAAGTTACTCCTGGTAATCATGAATATCACTAGTAAGTGACGACTCCAGTAAAATTCTTCATACGTATAACGTACGACAACTATGAAATACTAATACAAATTACCCCCCTCCCGTTTAATCTTATTTGTACGGAAACGAACGACCTGTCTGCGAAAAGCTTTCAATAAATAGAGCAACATTTGCACAGGGACGACTATCTGATTGAGAGCAACTCCAAAATGCACTTGTATACAATTTTTATTATTACAAATTTTATATCTTTTAGATTTTTACTTAAATTATTGCAAAAGATAGATCTACCTAGTGTTTTTTTTTTATGACACATAGTCGCTTCATAGTTGTTGGCTGCTGATTCGCATACATCTCTGAAATTGTATTACAGATATTTACCTTGAACTTGTCTATGGTTCGCTGATTATGATAGTACACCTTGCTTTCTGGGTACACCCACAAAAAGGAATAGAGCGAAGTTACGTCACATGACGTGGGGGCCACTCGACATTACCCTGCCTGGACACAAGCCGCTCATCAAAGTAATAACGTTAGTTACCTGTAAGGGTAGACTATTCTGCTATAGGTCCGAAGATTATCGGTGTACGGCAATCTATGCACGATGGGGAAATTCGAAGAAAATGTCCATCAGGCCATTTCGGGGAAAAGGCTAGGTAAATGACAAAAGGTGGCCAAAAATTGGATGAAGCGAATAACTGGCATGAAGAAGGTTAAGGGGGCTCACCTTATTGATATTGTATTTGAGTGTGTACGAGCTTTGTAATAACTTTAGTTGTCTATTGGTGTCATTTCGAAGTTGCTCCCGACAGGATGGTCGATCCTGTATCAATGCAGTAAAATGTAATAGTCAATGCCAGCTGATCTTAGTCATTTTAGAGCTAATGTACTAACTTTCACCTTTACGATATTTTCATATGATCCACATTGTACTCGTCGACTGCTTTGAAGCAATTTCTCAAATTATGACGCTCGCTTCTCGATGTACAACAAACAAGAGCGGCGTATCAATAATCACTTTTACTCGTTCAATATTGGCCCAGTACATATCGTCTCAATATCTACCGAATTTTACTACCTTCTTCAGTTTGGCTATCGGCAGATTAAATCTCAGTACGACTGGTTGGTACGAGATCTGACGGAAGCCAACAAACAGGAGAACAGAATTCAGACACCCTGGATTTTTCTCTTAGGCCACCGACCTATGTATTGCACTAATGCTGGTAAGTAGACTTCTAAATATTTCTAAAGTATTTCCACTGTTTAACTCTACAGCGTAATTTACAAAGTAGTCTAATATGATGATAGCAGAATATTGTCAATGCGTGCGTGTGAGCTTCCCTTTATTTATGCGTACCCCGGTTGCAGATATTTATCAAATAAATTACACGCCTGATTGAGTCACTTGCTGCACGCGCATGGATATTTGTAATTGTTCTAATATGCTGATTGTGTAATTTGACTTTGACGAGCTCAAAATAGGGCTAGTCTTAAAACAAAATCAGACAACATCTTTTTAACGAACTATGGACCCCTAGATCGTAAGTGCGGTAAGTCACAAAATGAAAAGGTACTGAGCAGTACTTTGACGAACGACAGCATGCACAACCTTGATTCTAGTGCACAGATGTTGAGGATTTTGAATGATGAAAAATAAGCTATATAAAATATTATTTTTTCTAACATTTTTTATGTACCAACGACGAATTATGAGTTTACGGTTTCAGCTTACGCTATGTTCTGAAATATGTTTGGTAGATTACGATCCAGTGGTTTTTAAACTATTTTTTTTTAAATCGCACGAATTTTTATGTTCTGGCTCAGCCTAATGGTACGCGGCTATGTTGTGCACATGCTGCCTTGACCCCATTACGCATTCAGTTTCATATAAAGTCATTCCACCGGCAGGTAATTCGGAATGTGCTGACCTAAACAACATTGTTAGGGCCGGAATGCCCTTTAGTCGAGCATTTGCTCTCGAGCCGCTTCTCAAGAAGTTTGGAGTAGACGTCATGTGGGCTGGACATCAGCACTCGTATGAACGAATATGGCCTATATTTAACGGAACCGTATTAAATAGAACCAAAGAAGCCTACAACGAACCCCAGGGACCAGTTCACATAATTACGGGATCGCCTGTAAGATACAACAACAAGCATCTTTCTTAATTATAACTCTTGTGCATTTTGAGGGAAAACAAGAATTTCATGAAGAAACGTAAACAGCAAATCAAAGTAGAAGTATGCACTACTATAAAAGGAGTGTTTAAAAGTAGCTTTTAAGACATACGTGGGTATAATATCTCTGTCGTTGATCTTGCTGGCAGCCATTGCTTTGAGAGATTTGTCACTTTCCCTTACCTTTTCTGCAGGGCTGCGAAGAAGGCTTAAGCCCATATGGACCTGACCCTTTGAGCATGAGTGCTTTCCATACTGACCACGATTACACGTTTAGCCGAGTCCATATAGTTGATAAGTCACACATCGATATCGAGCAGGTTTCCGTTCCAACTGTAAGTAATGAGAAGTCAGGTATAATGTATACTAATAGTCGTCATGTAGGTACTTCGGCCTTCGTCTGCGCTATGCACGAAATTCTGCCAAAGCTGTATTATCCATATGTAATCTATCCATAATTCGAAGAGGACTTAGTCTGTACGACGCTGACATGACATCTAAATGCGCAAGCTATTCCTACGTCCAACCGCTAATAAAATTTAGTTTTTTGCAGCGTATCCAAGATAGTTTGTAAAGCAAGTAGCATATAATTATAATGCTGCAGAAGCTAATAGCGCAATATTAAGTATCAGAAGTTTCCTAATGATGCTAGATCTGATAGTTCTCAAACCTATATATTCTATCTGAAGGCCTAACCTTTCAGAAACCTATATATTTTATCTGAAGGCCTAACCTTTCAGAAACCTATATATTTTATCTGAAGGCCTAACCTTTCAGACTTTCGAGTTTGATACTTGTAGTGTTGCCCTTAAATTTCTCTTTGAATACAAGCGATCTGTAAAAGTTTCAATATTTAATTTGATAGATTAACATTTCTTTTGCTAATCCACGCATTTCACCTATTAGCACACCAATTCGCCTTTACCCGTGGTACTTTATATCACACAAAACCGTTTTTTTATTTATTTATATATATAACGTATTTGAGTTATTTGTAATATCGTAAGATGACCCAAATTAAATAACAGTATTGAAATAATGCAACATGCAATTATTGTTTTATCTTCGTTCAGTCGAATTTCGTTAGGTTTGACTTTGCCATTAGAAAATAATAAACCTGTTTGATTTATATTCACACTACATTTATGATTCTAAACGATAATATAATTCATAAATACTATTCTCTGAATACATGTGCACTTTTCTCTACAAAAATAGCTAGTTTCTTTTGTTTGGATGTTCCAGGGTGCCGTCGTCGACAAAATCTCCATCAAGAAGGCTTTGTCTTTCCCAAAGTGGCAAGAACCAGATTTACCCCTGGATACAGGCGTTTATCGTATTTAAAAAATGACTTCAGAACCTTTTATGAGAGCTACAGGAACGCGACTGCAAGCTATTTATATGAAACAAGTGACAGTAATCAGTTTTATAAAATAAAAGCCTTTTCATGTAAGTTTCAATTAGAATGATAATCATTAATAAAAAAAAAAAAATGATCTTCGAGATTTCCAGAGAACACTGGGCTTACATATCTATATAAAAAAATCTTGCTATTAAAAGTTTAGGTCCATTGGTTAGTCCTGTCCAAAACGACCCTCATAGCCCACAAATTGAGCTAATTTTGTGTGTCGGTAAAGTTCCCTGCCAAGAAAGTTTGAGTGTAAGATATAACCAATTGAGCCAACTCTTTTGCCCCTAGAAGGCAAAGTTTGTCTTTGCATGTAGCATATTTAATTGTAATGCTGCAGGAGCAATATTGATTTGATTGGTCGTAAAGGCCAAAACACATTTGAAAACAACGCCGCTCTATAGTTTAAAAATACTAAAATGGCTACCAGCACGGTCCGCACTGACATACTACCATTCAATGTACAAATGCATATTTCTGTGAAAATTGTGTTGAGTGAACAAGTACTCAACGCATATTTCATGGAAAATTGTGGTTAAAGTATATTCTAGCTATTAGGGACAAATTAGTTACTATTACACGTCACTTATATGGTAAATGTAATAATCACAACTTTTATTCAGAGGCTTTATTACAATGCTCCTAGAGAAAATATTGTTCCACTGTTTTATGATTGTTCGCGTAGCCCATGGGAAACTCTCTATAGAAATAAATCTTTTACAACTGCTTTTATCTGTAACTCAATATTAAAAAGTTAAATAATGTTGTGGGATCACGTATTTGTCCGATCTTCTCAATCATTACTGTTTTCAGGTTAAGAGGCCGCTTGCTGATACGTCAAGCGTTTGATACCCAATGACGCTGAATCTATCAATAATTGTTAAAATTTCTCTTTTTTCTTATATTGACGTTTGAAATCAGTGCGTTTTGCTTATACACTCCCTTAGCCTTTTAGTGCGTTATATCGAAATTAAATACCACATACATTCTGCGTATATTATGAGTAGTGTAGTATATATCTTGAAGAGCCTGACATATAAAGTTGAGTCTTTTAGAAAAAATAAGCGAAAGATTTAATTAGGCCGGCCCATTCCGCGAAAAAACTACGTCTGTCACATGTTTTATGTATTTTAATAAAACTGCAATGACTATTCCTAAATCGTAGATGGTTTATCGGTTGGATCTACCAATTAACATGCATGATTGGGATTTTCATGTCCAAAAAGTGGAGGGGCGCATTTCTCAACCAACAGTTTTAAATCTAGACTATTGGCCAATTTTAGTAGGTGTGTTATGTATGGTGCGGCAATCCACTACCGTCTTTATCGATTCTTACAGTTTTACAGTCTTACGACTTACAGAGACAAATAGGGGCAATATGTACATTATAGAAATGACGAAATATAGATGGTAAATCCCATTATTGTATCTTAAGGGCAACCCCACGAACTTTGCCCATTCAAACTGTTTCCAGTCTTGCTCCTTAGGCTATCTGAGCAACAGGTATCGTCTTTGTATATTACTGTACGAATGGCGCATTGTACCAACTCGCATGCCGCTGCAATTAGCCATACCCGTCTTTTGTTGATAGGCTCAACCTTCGATCCTCTCTTATGCACTCGACACATCGTTCGGCTGTTCGAAACATGTATGGCGCTTGAACACTCTCGACAGGTTTCTTAAAAATTTGTGAGAGGTAAATACAGATTGAGATTTCGAACCCCTTTAAGTACGTTCAACGGAAGTCTGTCAAGCGTGGTATCTTTATTGGGCTAATAACGAATAGGTAGGTTTGAAGAAGGCACTGGGTGCTTTTGCACTTTTCACAACCGACCGTTCCTAGTGTTCCATTCGGGCTTCTTATAAAATTCAATACACCTTGCGCAACTATTGTTTTATAAATATAATTTTAAATCGCTTTTGGATCATTCCTTCGCGGAATGTTGCATTCTCTGATTAGTCGTCGTAATCATCAGTCTCGTAGCTTAATCAATTTCTTCTATAGGTACGTCATTTTTCAATATTTTTTTTAGATTTTTTATAAATTTCTTATAGATATAGGTGGGCGTTAATTTGCGACCATATTTTCCCTTTTTTCCCCATTTTGTTCCCTTGTGCGCTCACAGGTAAATTGTTAAACTTACGTTTTCGCATATACCGTTCATATCCTCGCAGTAGTTAAATAAAATGCTGTAATAATATACGGTCCAGACTAGATTTTACTGCAGCATAATTTTTGTTTACATAACTGAGCTTTTGGGGTGAGCTTTGCTCATCTAGAGGTCCTGAGACGAAGAATTTCGCTAAAGATTGATCCGAGCTGATCGTGCAACGATGACCTCTGTTTTACACTGGGGTGTCGTTGTATAGGACATATCGAGGAGAGATGACATGTTTGTGGCAGGCTGGAATACGTAACTAATGGTGCCAATTCATTATCGGCATAGAAGCTGACGAATCTCGTTCCCTTGGATCTCTTCGCACTTGCTTCAGGTACGCTTAGCATGTTGCACTGTATAGGCGACAAATCACCCTAAACACCAATAGTATTTGGACATGTTTTTATTATAGTATATGTTCCTAGCTATTTTATTCGTACCTTAGCTGAGCATGTAGGCAAGAAGTCGGCTAACACGAGCTGTATCAACGAGTAGTGTGATGCTACAAGCATTTAATTGGCCTTTTACCTCTATACAAAATGTGTTTAATAGTAAAACAAAGGTGGAGCGAAACCCGCATTTCTATCTATAACTACTAAAATTTTGTCTCTTTGTTCGTTAATTTGCCTAAGGTACTCGAATTGATTTCGTGACGTTCTTGAATTGTGCTGGTTTTTCTGATCCGCAAAATTTCATCTGCGCTTCAAATGTAGCCGACCAACTAAGTACTTTCTTTCAATGGAATTTGTTTTTCTTATATCATAAAACATAATGTTAAATTAGGCAAGTTAGGTCTTTTCTGCGAATTTCTCAATAACTGTTGAAAATTGAACCGTTGAAAGGCTAAAAGTTGTTTGTTTTCCAAGCTCTACAAAAAACTGCTAGGATTGCAGGGAAATTATTTTTTAACTTTGTGATTATATCATTTTTGGCCGAATAATTTATAATGAACTATACTAGTTTATTTCTTCAAGTGCGCCATTACTTTTTTTTGGGAAAAGGCAGTTACTTGTCCTACAGAGAGGTGTAATGCTAATGTGGTTAGTTTACGGATTCGTTAAAAAAATATCCCATAGTTGTCTCTAGATGAGTTTCAGGAGCTAAAATAGACCATATTTTAGTGGGATTGTCTTCAAAAAATATTTGCTTCTAGAAAATGTCAGCTAAATGTTTATGTAAAAATCTAAGTAGGAATGATTCTTGCCACCAGTCCATACATCTTGAGTTAAGTAAAGACGTAATACATGTTCTTATACCTAAAATTGGTATTCCTGCGTGAAAATGTTCAAAAATTTAAAAAAAAATGTTTTCCCTTGTGTTAAGAAAATGAAAACCTATCCCGAGAAATTTTTGAGCGGTTTTTTTTTTCTATTCCACTTTATTGATCTTAATATTTCACACTGGTCGATATATCTCAACAAGCTGTGCAAAAATGCAGTACATTTGTCTAAAGCTAGTACGGATACTTCGGCGTTAAAAAAGCCAACAACCGACTGAACTAGTTTTCTATAGTTTCTAATACTAACAATTTTTTAATACAAAGGTCTATCTAGTAGTTAAGCGTTACTTCCATATTTAAAGAATAATGAAAAAGCAGTCAGCTGTTACAATTTTATACTCAGAGCTGAATCGAGATTCAGTGTATGTTAGTATTTCAATACCATTTTTAAGTTGAAAATGCTGATCGAAGGATGAAAATATAACAGCTTGTGTTATGTGATGGTTTTTTTCAACGCCACCTAATAGATTTCGGTAAACTTGATGAAAATACAATGCATAGCTTTTTGTTTGAAATGAGTAGTGAAACTAGCAGTTTCCGTCGTTTCGGCTCACCTATGTAACAATAGAATGAAAATGACGCAAGCTTTATTCGAACGATATATGTGTATGAGTGAGCTTCTAATTAACTTCAGTCGTAACGCTGAAACGGCCAATATAGAGCTAGTTTCAGAAAAAAAAAATCTAAATGAATTTAAGAGCAAAATGTCAAGGAACATGTATGAATATCCATCGGCAAAAAAATAAAGAAATATTGAAAAATATTTAAGCTTTGGTAATGTCCCAGAAACGGATTTGATAACTATTTATTAACGACAAAATTAACAAGTAAAAGGATTAAGTTTTGGTGACGCTCTAGGAACATATTCATTTAACTAAAACATATAAAATGACTATGAAATGTTCATTATGTTTTCATTATGTTTAACATGCGTAACCGCTTAGTATAAAAATAAAAAAGAAAGATAAAAACTCTCAAGTTTGGGTGACGTTCCAGAAATGAGTTAATCTTCACTTCATATTGTATGCATAAATACTTCTTAAAAAATGTCATGAAAAAAATTAAAAAATCTAATTAACCAAAAGTCTGTATCTATTTCCTTATCGAATCCAATATGACCTTTTAAGGTAATCGGGTTGGGCTGTCTTTTTAATAACTAGAGTTTCATTCCGGAATGATCTGCGCGAAAGAAAAAGTTTGCATTTTTCCACAAAACTTAATGTTATTTGGTTGGGAGTACATTGACGACAGCATCCCCTTTCTGATGGATCTTGTTTAAAAACACTGCCGTACCACCGTTTACAAACATCAAGGCGACCATCAGTATCGTCTGCGTTGACATACCACTAGTGTGAAAACTCTGTTGCGTTAGCAAGTGTAAAAAACTATCCCTATGCTTTATAATGTGTAGTAAAATATAATATGTTATATATTAATGTCTAAACAAGCAAACTGGCGTAAATTGGAGCCCGCGAGTGGCACTCTTGTAGCCGGTTAAGTTCACAAAGGTGTCCGGTATTCATTCAAAGATCGCAATAAGATTTTGTTAACAAAACGTAGCATTTAAGCCTCGAAAGTCGCTTCATCTTACTGAATTTCGCTCCAGAATTTCTATTGTTCGAAACATGCTCTCATGGCACCTAATATACAATAGAATACTATTTTCTGACCGTATAATAGAGTTGAATCTCAGACCTTATCATTTTTGCACAAATGTTTTATTATCAAAGCCTTAAAATTATAGTAGATTTGCAAAATTCAAAATAAATGAGCCAGGATATCATTTTATATTCTATTTATTTAGGCAGTTTTTCCGTACTGAATTACAACACCCCAAGTACACTTATACGTAAGTTGTTATCAATAAATATAATTTTCTGCGCTGGTTTTCTCGTTCATGAGCACTGTGCACACTCTGAACAAAAAATATCAAAGCTCTGAGTTTGTTTTAGTTCACATACCACTAAGCCGTTTTGCTTAGCCGAAACATTGGAACAAACGCATTGTCAGTATAACAATAGGTATTGATAGAAATTCTATGATGTTGAATCATTTTGTTTAGCGTTTTTTCCTGCACAAATCAATTCTTCAGCAACTTTAAGTCGCTGATCCCAGAAAGCAAATTTTCGGTCAATATCAGCCATGATTCGATTGTACGTCTCAAACATTCCCATCACACGGCGAGTCAGATTTTCAACACGCTCAACCTCATTCGCCTGTGTTTCAGCTACAGCTGCTAATTTTGCTGAATGCATTGGAACCGCTGAATAAAAGCAAGATATGTGGTAGGCGAGCATGGAATGAAAAGTACATATGATCGTTAGTATTAGTATAATTATTGTAATGTAGTAACTTTCACCTATGTGATGGACCACTACTTTGTGCACTGGAGTGCATTATAATAGAATGTATTTTTTTACATTAGGGCTGATAGCATTACTTTCAAAGTCTTGCAGTGTACTGCAAATCTCTGTATCAAGATAACCGGTACAGTACCGGTTATCTTGATACAGTACCGGTACGATAACAATTCTTATATCTAAACAAGCCTTCTACTGTTAGGTTGAGGTTTTAACAATAACGTCTATTAAAAAAAATATTTTTTATCATAAAAATATTTATGAATTATCAAACTTACATTTGATGTGTGCGCTCTCGAGAACACTCCTCATTGAGTTAATCTTTTCGAGAATCTCGGCTGCTTCTTGTACTCGGTCTCCGTTGGCTTCTACAAGAGCAAACTTTGCTGAATTATCCAAACCAACACTTCGTTCGAGACAGGGATCCAGCAAAGTATCCAACGCATCTGTTCGTTTTAGAATTCCCAACGTGTCCTTATCTGTATAATAACAATATAAAGCTTTGACAGATATTTTTTAAACAAAAAGCTGCCTACTTTGATGTTTCACCTTTTCTTTTAAGTAATAAGTCGGCTAGAATCAGAATATTTTTCCTTAGACTAACAAATTTCATCTATAACGACTTAATTGCACGGGTGACTCATTTTGTGTATATATTATGCCTATAAGAACTTAGTCAATGATCCTAACTTACGACATTTTTCCATGTAATTGAACGACTCGCCCATTTAAATAAAAAATTATAAGATTTAATGAACAGTAACGGACGAATTATTAAGCAGCCATAAGGAATTAATGTAAGTGTATGCTTTTCTAGAATGTCTTTACCAAACGTACGTTATTGTGGATATTTAATACATCAAAATAATAGCAAAATGATTTGTCTGACGGAACTTTAGTATGATTTTCCGTATACCTTGAATTGCAGAAGTAAGCTTGTTATTGATGATGGCTAGCCTTTGAACGACGCTTTGGTCATGGTCTGGGAAATCACCTTTGACCTTCCGCTCTAGAGCAGAGACTCGCGCCTCCAGTCGTTCAAGAACGCCGGCATCCATTTCTCTTGTTCACGACACTCTGTAACCAAATTAAAACAAAACACGAGTACATAGGAGAGCACGTGAATCACTTTTGGCGCTGTGTTGTAGAAGGAAACAATATGAACTTGCGTTACATATTTGTATATATACAGTGGCCAGTTTAACTTTATATTTTACTGTGCACGAGGCGATTGCAGTGCCGTTTTTCTTACAATGAAGATACGTATTTTTAATTCTCGTGAAATAATTTTAGAACAATTCATTTTAGGGACAAAGTATAGTTGGTAAACACATCGAGGAAGATTTGGTGGTGCCAATTTTTGCTCAATCCTCCAGATTTTATTATTGCCCTCAGTTTGTCCGAAAAGAGCTTCTTTAGATTTCGATTCTAAATAAAACGCTGCTTTGATAGCTACTTTTCCGAATTATGATTTTTTTTCGAAGAATTTTTTCGCGACGAGTGTATTTGATAGCCCTTTCAATGTTCAACCAAACATTGAACCATTTGCGCTGGAGAAGATTACTTACAGCTCCTGTTTCCAACGTCTCATATATATATATATATATACGTTGTGCAAAAATACAGTTGTAAAAGTTTATGCATGTTGTTTCTGCGATGTCATGCGCCAAAAATTCGGTTCGATTAATGATTCATATGCCGTTCGCTTAGTGCTATTGATGTATTAATCAAATTGATTCTATTGTCAATAAAATAAATTATATTGGAGACATTTTGCTTAGAGCCACTTTATTCATCATTGCATTTTTTAAGACCAACATTAAAATTGTAATGGCTGATTGTTTTTTCATCATTCTTTAAACATGGATGTAACGCTTTACTAAAGAGGCTCAAATATTTATTTTGCTTTGTGGGGGTTGACAAATAACTTAGTTCAAGGAAACGACTAACTGTTAAGATAGCCCTAACTATTTGTAGCTTCTAAATCTTCTTCTTTTAATATCTTATTTAAACATCACAATTAGCTGCTAAATAAGTTCGCCCCCACACGAGTGCTAGTTCCTGCTGAGCGAAATCGCACGTTACTGCTAGGATCAGATTTAGGATTGTTAACCTCGTTTGATTCCTGACTGCTTGAGTGGTGACCTGTGTTTATAAAAACCTACTTTGAAGTTATAGTTCTTTCTCTCTTGAGCTATTAGAGCAATCGATTTTGCTGTAATTGAAACAAAAAATAATTATGAACTAAACTTCACTAGGTCAACCTAATAACTGCGAAGAAGTAGCTGTTGCTAATTGCTAATATGTACGCCAGTGTATTAGAAAGAACAACAATGTGATTTTGTGCATGGCCAGGTGCGTTTCTCTGTGAGGGGTCCCGTCGGTTCATTTCACAGCAAGTATGCTACTACCGCCTTGAAAAGGAAGCAGCAGTAACGGAAGTTCTTTTCTAGATATAAAATTTTCTGTTATGAAAATTCTTAATGATGATAGATTTTCCGATAAAATTGAACATGAGAGGTGTAATTTTAGCTTTATTCTTTTCTCGTATTGTTCAAACACTTTCAGGATTTTCCTATAATCTAGCTGAAATATTCACAGCGTAATACCAAGGGTACGTATAATCGCCCACAAAAATATTCAAGAATTCGAGATTAAGTTGATGAATATTTTCATATGTTTTATAACGTATGTTTTTCCGCATACAGTGATATACCGACTGCACTCGTAATAAACGTTTTACTGTGCAAAAGGTATTTCCCTTGAAATAACAAACAAAATTGATAAAAAGGCAATCGTGAAGAACAAAGTAAAGCGCAAAGTGTGTGGACTGAATAGAATTTTGGGCTACCCATCCACAAAAAAAAATGCAAAATGGCGTCTAAGTCTTGATAACAATATTGAGGTCAAATCAAGCATCACAGAAGAGGTATCGCATGTTCGTTGACAGATTACGTTTTTACACTCAATCTCTAGGCATAAACGTATTGAAAGAATCCAGTTGTGCTATTATGATAGCTGAGACAGCCTGCAATATTCACATTTAAAAAGTGTGAAAAAAATATCAAACAAGTGACAGATCATGCTGTGATACAACACAGACGTAGCCCTGTTCTACTTCACTTCTCCATTTAGTGAGAGCATAATGCTAAATAAATTGGCTGTCCATAAGTACCACATACATTTAGATATTTTTGGGAATCAAAAATATGGGTCAGCAAACAATGGAACTCTTGTAATCTTTAAGCTGTTGATGAGCGTTAGGCAAACACATTATTCGATTAATCTAAAAACACGTATCAATCTGAAAACCCAAGTCTGAAAACAACGAGTGAAAATCGATATATAGGCTGATTTATTTCTTTATGTAGGAGCCTTATTTATCCGGGTAATAGAAACGCACCGGGCAGAGCTATAATAGAAGATTAGGTAATTTGAATATACAAAAAGCTGAGTTTAATCTCTGACATAGATAGTCACCCACGTTCAACCATGGTTAACATGTTTCCACTCGAGTAGTTCTAACGGGTGCACTTGGTTTACTTTGAAGAAATTCTTGCCCTTTTAACAAAGTGACACCTTTGTTAATGCACTGTTGAATAGATTCAATTAAAATTGGCATCGGTACGCAAATAGATCAGCCGTTTGGAAACCAGACACGAATTAACTAAAGTACTTACACTAAATAAAATGTTCCTAAAATATGTGAGCATCGCCATTCAACTGCTGAATCCACCATAACAAACAGTGGATAGATTCGAGGGACTGTGGGAAATAACAAATTCCTGGGTGAGAGTTGCACCTCACCCGCAGACTATTTTACGAAAATATCAAAACAGAAGCCCGCATTATAAAGGGAACTAGGGAGAAAGCGTCTGCTAAGCTCCGTCTGTTTGTGTTATGGAGAACCGTCGGTGAACTTTGTTCAACAATATCTGACGTCCAAGTGAGGTAAATTTATACTCGATTTTGCATGCAGTATCTTCTTAGCAGTAAAAACTTATTGGTAAATACACGCTGGTGTATGTAGATTTCATGCTATATGTCATTAGTTCGACGACCACTGTTCTAACAATCGGTGTTCACTGTTTACGAGAGGTAGCAGCTGACATTAAATAATGCGCGAAATGGAATTCTACTACGATAACAACCGCTGGTTTGTGATGTACCACTGGCCAGTAGTTGTCACCGAAAGGAAAGCGCTATGACGCTATTACTGCTCTCAAAGGTCTTTTTAGAAACGTTAAGAGGACATGGGAATCACTTTGGTTGCTATGATTTATTTGTTTATGTGGACGCCTAGTTTTGCAAATGTATTTGGTGCGGCTAGACGCCTCATAAATTGGATATAATTATATGCCATTTGGCAACAAGAAATCAAGCTGATATTCTACTTGTTGTTAAGCATTTCGTTTCCATCGAGTTCTTTTTGAGTTAAACGATACGTCTCATACATCGTCGCTCTAGTGACTCATCAGGGATATTGTTATACATAAAGAAAATACACCATATAATTATATATAAAACATTTTTAGATTAATAACATTTGTGCGTTAGCGACGGGCTAGATGATGCGTTGATGACTATCATGAAGATTATTATACTTAAAGTGTATAATTTGATGAATAATTTAATATTCTTGAAATTTATTTCAGTAGCATAAGCAGTACGTGTAATCGAATCTCAATAAGTTGTCCGTTGAACTTGCACGAATCGTAACTTCTTTTGAGGTGGAGGATCGCGGTCAATAACGCCTGATGCAAATGCATCACCGGCGTATGACGGCTGCGCCTAGTGTAAGATTTGCAAATTTACGAGGCCTAGGTCCCTCCCCCCTTTAATTAACGTTACCATAACCATTTAAATAACGTTAAGCATTATGTTAACAAACTATTATCACCTCCTTTTCAAAATTATACTGCAAAATAAGTACTACATGACATATTCTGTGTCATGATTTTCTACTAACAACCTTGGCTGAAGTTTAATCACAAATAGGGTTCGAATGGCTTTCGTAGTTTAAGCAGTTTGACCCTGTTTAAAATTTACGATCAGCCTGGCTAGAGTCAAATTTTTAACTATACGTCAAAGCAGTTAACCAGGTTACAACGACTCTAGATATTCAGACTATGGATATAACTTGTGTAATTATACACCCACTCATGTAATTGGCATAAGTTTTGTCATCGCAATGTATTTTGGATATTATGGTTACCTATCACCATTCTTTTTATAGGGAGTTATTGAAAGTTATAGATAACTTTCAACAAATAGATTTGTTGTAGCCATTGATAACACTATAATTTAAAAACTTAATACTAAATTTAACAATGACGTATAGCCCATAATCAACACTATGTTGCTTTTGTATCATTTACAAAACTAGTAGTTCACATGTGCGTATGTATATATGTATGTATGGATGTAAATGTAAATTATTAATATATAGGGTTTCTGTACTAAACGGTTCAAATCCTCAACGGTTACAACCAAGAAAACCAACTTTTATTATAATATTATAATTAACATTGTAAGTATATATCTTAAATATTACAATTACTAAATATTAAGGTAGTTGATGAGTGAAAAAGCTAGGCAGTCTATTGCTCAGGCCGTAGCAATGACCTACACTACACGACAAATGCGATTAGATTAAGAAATAAACGAAGCTACGAATGAACTTAAACTGCATATTTATGCTTTGGAAAATTTCGCCTTTGTAGTTGCTCTACCAGTTGTACTGAGTGTAACTGCACGTAAAGCTTTGAAATATACTTACATTTGCTGTTTCTTTCTCTCTTTTAAGGCGCCTACATTGACAATCTTTAGGGACATGTTATCACATTGCCGAAAGCGTACAGAGAATCTGGAAGATATTTATAACTTGCGTTTTACAAAAAATTACATATGCTTTTTTGCACGCAGTACTGTGGGCTTCTTCGTTTGTCTGAGTGTGACATTTTTATTACTGAAACAAAATAGTGACGCAAAAAAGAGAAGACGGTTACTGTGATCATCCTTGCTTTCGTAAACGCGGAGTAGTATCATGATATTTCACATTGTAAGGCGGCAAACTCACACGACATAGCAGAACCAAAGAAGAATTATACATCAGATATCCATAACGCTATGTTTCTTTTTTATTCGTAGTTGTTTTCTGTCGGTGGACGTTTCATAAGCTTTACCACCGTTCGTGGTATAGCTAAGCGCCAAGTAGCGATGTCGTCATCAGAGCCGATGTCATTGGACCGTTTTAAGGTATGTTTCACTTTATTGTAAGTAAAAAAAATATATCCCTTCAATAACTCATAGTTCTCTAACAAGTCCTACAGTTATTAAAATCAAAACGTTTTATAATGTTTATCAAGGCACGAAACAACTTTATTAATTTGCTTTGTTCTACGAAGTTATAATAATAATGCAATGGGAATATTACTATACCTGTCTAAATTGGAAATTTTGCGTTTGTTATAACACTATTTAGATAAAAACAAGTATTTAAAAGCTTTTCAATATGCTAGAAATGTCATGTCGTACGGACATGCACGTCCAATATAACCCGTGTGTCAAGGAATATTGGCAGGCGTATACCCATTAAGTGTCGTTGAAGTATGCTGTATACAAAAAGAAATTCCCAAGAAATCAAACATTTGAGCTAATAGCAGGCCAAAAATCTCAAAAATGCAAAGACTTAAAACGGCCAAAAATTTAAAAGGCTTAAAAAAGCGCAAAAATCTTCAACAGACTAATCATAGTCGCAATTGACAGTTGCTGTTCTTTTTCCTAAAATATTCGTTATTTTCTGCATCAAAAACTTAAATGCACCAAATCGTCTTTGAACTACTTTGATAAATTTTCGAGCCCTTTAAACCTAAACCTTATTGAGGGTCCTCCGGTTTGTTCAATTTTTTTTAGAAGCCGCATGAGAATTGGCAATTACGTAGACTGCCAATTTTGGATGAAAAATATATTTTTTTAAATCTTGATGTAGACCAGGAGGATTGAATGGCTGATTTTCGCTCAATTCCGAAAACTACGCACTGTTTTTTTACCGTGATGAGTTTGCTGTTTTATTCTGAAAGGAACTGGTCCTTATTTAGTACCAGAAGAAGCGGATAAATGCATGCCCGTTACGACAAATAGCTTGCTAGAATTTTCGTCAGTTTCAACGCACTACGCTCCATATAGGAAAAAGCGAGTATAAAAAAGAGATTACATTTCATCAGTTTCCTCTACCATTTTAGTATACGCGTACGAATATTATTAGAGCTTCTTTGCATATATTTTCATACTATTCCTACCGTTTTGCTGTGCCCCCTATTACTAAGATCTTAACGCTCCCATGTTTCGGCTATAGTAAAATAAAGAGCTTGTCTTATTAATCCTTTCTGTTTGGCGTAATAGCATTTTACATAAGATACTAGCACCAGGCATACATATTTGATGAAGAACTCTACAGATGGCTAATCGATCATTTCAAGGAAAGTCAACGTCTTGCCTTTGGCCCTTCTTTCCGCTGATATCGAGTTATACCAAGTAACGATAGCTTTTAGCTATTAGAATCGATAGTGACGATTAGCGCAATATCTTATGTAAGATAAAGCATACTTATTTTACCCTTACTTGTTCCTGTATTAGCTTATCACCGTAGCTATATTACATTATAGTAGTTTTTCCACTTATTCTTCTTGTTCAGATTTATAATTACAAATATCGTACATGTATAATGGATTTGTAAAGTCCCTTGTCCCCATGCGTCGGAGAATAGGTAAAAATTTATAGTAATTGTGAAAGGAATATTAAAAAAATACCGCAATATATGGCCGAAAAGCATTCGCTAAGTGTTGTTTAGCTTTCTTTGGTATGCTCCTCTGAATTATATGCGCAGAGGTAACAGATCTAAAGGTCGATTTCATTTTGTAAAAAGGGCTGTCTTGTCGGAGGCGTAATGGGAGACTGTTTGGGATCACCTTTTGAAGGAGATGCAAGAGTAACCAAATCGGTGCTGGTGCAGTATTTCAAGAATATGAATGACGCCCACACGAACAAAAGTAAGTTGCTTTACGATATTTGTGGGAAGTTAGGAAGGGGATGTGGGTAGCTAGAATTGACGAACAAAAAATGCGCGCGTTTCCGTTTCATTTGCAGGTTGCAAAAGGGGGGAAGGGCTGCTTAAAAATGTCATCGCATTACTATTCTAGCAGATTTCGCCCTTGTCTGCTCCTAAAATAATACTACGAGTAAGTGCACCGAAGTTAAACAGATTCTTTAATATTCGTAAAAAATGGAAAATAGCTGATCACCTTTTCCTGTCCATGGAGTATACATGTAAATTAATTATGCTTGCTATAATTGCAAGCCTATTATTTCTGACAATACTCTTAGTCAGCTTTCCACGAATCATGAACTCACCATTACATACCTGTGCTGTTTGCTAACGTCTACATTTTTCTATTGTTTTGTGTTGATACATTTAGTATCCTTCAAGTGCCATGGAATAGGCAGACTTAAAATGATGCATATCATTTATATTACAGTTTATTGGGTCATTTATCTTCCAGATCTACCTTACAAACGATATACAGATGATACTGCAATGACCTTTGCTCTGTGCAGGTCGTTGTTGGAGAAGAACGCATTGGATTTGCCTAACCTTGCCAAACATTTTGCACAGGAGTTCATCAAAGATCATCGCAGGTAGCAGTACTTCTTTCTGCGAAGCTTTTTCAATATTGCGATTAGAATCTGCTCAAAATTATTTGCGCCATGGTGACGCAAACCCTGGCCACATTTTAGATTAGGTTGACTAGATATAGATGTGCTGCACTGCGCAAGCGCAGAAAAATAATTGATTAATCAAAAGACTCGAACGTCGTTTTATACTGGACAACCCGTTTGTTCAGTTTCATATAACCCACTGGTGACATAGATGAAATCTGTTCGTCTAGAGGATCGTTTAGTTTAGAATCGGGGGATTTCATGCGTATTCACAGAGGTTACGGACAAGCAGCAGGGTATCTTTTGTCGCATCTTAATAAGTACGAGCTGTGGAAGTCGTCGTTGGACGAGGACGTCGTGGGACCCGCGAAAGCTCAGTTTGATGGACAAGGATCATATGGTAATGGAGCCTCCATGCGCGTAGCGCCAACTGCCCTGTTTCATGCGACCGATGACACCGAAACATTGGTAAGCAAAATGGCTGCAGTGTTTTATTAATAATGATTATGAATCGTCTAAAGCATACATATACTTCGGTCTTTTTTAATTTTATGAAACTTTATTACCACACGATAATTTAAAATTTATAAGTGCGCAAGGTTCACTCATATAAGCTTAAAGAAGTTCAGGCACTTACTAACGGTGGGCGTTTCGCCTTGAGCAGGTAAAATCAGCTTATCGTCAATCTTTAATAACTCACAGCAATGGACTGGGTATCCTGGGTGCTATAGTGCAAGCAGCAGCGGTACGTCTAGCATTGCAAGCGGAGGATCAAATCGACACCCAAAACTTTGTAACAGAACTCAAAAAAATAGTGACCGGAGTGGAAGGTATTCAATATGATTATAAAATGTAAGTGAATAAAGGTACCGCATTTTACTACCATATTTCAAAATTTCGTCTTTAGTTGTCTTGAAAGGCACTTATCTGTTATCGGTAGCCATGGCATATCATAATACATGTATAGTATATACTTTATTCAAGGAATGCGGATCAGTACCAGCTCTGAGCCACTCAAAACAAAAGAAAACAAAAAAAAAGTTTGTGAATTGGTCGTCTAACAACATTTTAGGTTGTCTAGATATAGATATGCTGCACTGCGCAAGCGCAGAAAAATAACTGGTTAATCAAAAGACTTGAACGTCGTTTTATACTGAAAAACCCGTTTGTTCAGTTTCATACTACGCCTCGTTGCAGTTCAGCTGACCAGATCGGAGTACTAACATGTGAATTTTTTAGACTCATTACTTGTCAATGAACCAACTACGATGTCTATAAGCAAATAATACGAGTTGTTGGCGAGGTAGTCGTTTCGTCCAATTTCTCTTGTAATGTTCTGAACTAGTCTTTTTAGATGAAGCACAATGCCAGTTACACTGCACATTTTAGTTGTTTCATATGTTCATGTATAAAAGTTTGTCACATAGATATAAAAACATAGATTTTTTTGTATTACAGTATATTTGTAAATAAACTTAACTGCATTTCAACATATCTCACCAAAACATCAATCGACGAAGAGGCATTTCTTGAAGACTTGGGCAATGACATCACAGCTCATGGATCTGTGCCTACTGCAATTTACGCCTTTCTTAAAGCTCTTCAACCGTTGTCCGAGTTTGAGGTGGGTAGTATACTAGCGGTATTTATAGATCAAAAAAACTGCGCAACACTACTGTGGCTGCAAAGTAAGAAACCTAAAAGAGCTAACTTAATTAAGATTGGACATAAACGTTTATTTCATCCATAGGGAAGTTCGCAGACATAAATTCTAATCCTACTTTTCAACCTGTGTCCTTCTGTCTTAAATTTTACCTATTTATACATGTTTAGACGCGTTCCAAGGTAAGGCAAACCAATTAAGTTAGGTGAATACTAAACACAAAAGTGACTTTTGTGTCTGTTTTGTTTTTATATCGCTCAATCTTTTGTTTTTGACAGTCTCAGTCAAGGTCCAAATCACTGTCATCTTAACCAGTTTCAGCCTAAATGAGCATAACTATTTCATTGAACATGGGAAAGTGAAGACTGTAAATTGTCCCCTTTTACTTACCTTCGGTTATACAGATTATCAGTAGCACGCCTACATTTCGCTTCTATGATAAATATTTCAGTTATTGTTTCCTTAGGCGATGCATGACTTTTCAAAAGCTTTTTCCTGAGATATCATAACTTAACAGCTTCTTAGTTTCCAACAAGTAACTTAACAAATAATTGAAGTACTAATTTTTCATGAGTATATTAATTACAAATACCCATAAGGAGGCGTCTCTGACTTAGAGAAACCAATTTAGTTATTTTTTATGCGTTGGTGGCTTCTCCAGCACTACAAGAGTGATGGGTGTAGCTTTGCAAATAAATGTCTAGATATATATCTTTTGAAGTTCCGTTAAGTCGAAAATAGATTCAGTATTGAAGTTATGCTTTTGAAGGAATTATTAATAAGTTCGATAATCGATTTAAATCAGCCAAAATTTTTGGCGAATTATCACGAATTTTTGGTTCGAATCACGTACCTATGCTAGTACCATACAATAAATGAGAAGTCTACATAATAGTTGATTGTCCTTCACTTGTTTGTTATATGCATACATCTACCGTTTTCAAGTTATTTCACTACTCTGGCTCTATTAGTAAAATTAGGTATCTATAAAGGAAACCGGTAAATTTGTGTGTTAGTCTTAGCAACATGTCTTTATTGGAGCAAAAAAGCGTGGACTTAAAACAGAATGAGTTGATAATAAATATTTGACTACCCAATGAATTAAACATAATTCCTCTCAAATTTGGTCTGCAAAAACGCAAAATATCTCGAAAGGAGTCACATTAGAAACACCATCTTGAAAAATCCGATTTTTCAATTTTTTCATTTTTGGAGAAAACTGATTAGTATTTTATATAGGTTGTTTTTAAATCCTAGTATAAATCATATAGTGAGGTTCGGAAGGTTCACTTATTGCTCATGGACTTGATAATTTGATGTTTCGATTATTATTTTTAACTTTATAGACATCCAGTGGTGTTATTCGCTCAATATTCGCAGCTATTCGGATCGGTGGAGATACTGACACAATAGCGTCAATGGCGGGCTCCATTGCCGGTAAGCGGTATTCTGTCCTTACGAGGTAGTGAATATGGATGCTTTGTTACTAAAATAATTCTTGCTATGGGTCAGAAGTTGATTAATTCTCTACGTGCAAAATGAATTCTATTTTCATGCAGATATAATATTCCTTTTAATATTGCTATTATTATGGACTCGAATTAAAATAATTATGACTTATTTGAATTTGATAGATGTAGGCTATGAAAAGACTATGTACACATCTTGAGAATACGTGAGGATTTTAGCACATCAAATGGTGGTGGAAATATTGAAAAATGCTGTCTGTCACTCACTAAAAAAGAGAACCATCTGCAATAGATAATTTGATTTAGCTGATCAGTTGTTGTGTTTAGCTGAGGTTCCCTGTAGTACCACGCTATACTGGTTTATGCCTTGATACCAAAACTGAAAAACAACGGTGACTAAAAACCTACATGTGGGTTTATCCGAAAGAATTGGCATTTTCAACTTAATTGCTCGAAATTAATGAACGTAATTGCTCGTAGGTATAAGAACTTTTTGAGTTTTTGAAGGATATCTCAAAGTAATTCACAGATTAGATAGTAGTGCTAACTTTTCGAGTTGTGGCCCTGTGCTCTTCCAATGCAACCAATAGCAGAATTTTGCTTGTAAATTTACATAATTTTGGTGCCAGTGTTTGGATCTGACAAAAACCTAAAAGCTTTAAGTGAATCGACCTTGCATATAACGTGTTCGTTTGTAAAAAATCAAGGCACTAAATTTTAAGTTGATTTTGACAATATTTTACAAACGAGTATTTTAAGAATTAGAAACTTGCAGCACTAATTATGCTACCCCTCCACATTGAGAATGCTGCCTCTCGATGAAAAAGTGATCTACTCAGTGGAGTTGCTAACAAGCTCCTTGTGGATCTTTTAAATGAAAAAAAAAAGACAAGAACAGGATCTGTATTTTACTTTAATTCGGGATGTTGAACTACTCCAAGGCAACATGCGTTCGACGTGCTGAAGTTCCATATCTCAAATAGATTTCCCATCAAGTAGAAGTCTCCCAAAGCGGTTTTGTGGTCGCACCTGGGATTGTGTGTCGAGCAGTGCATTATTAACCTGCTTCTGTTTTGTTCTAAAGGAGCTTACTACGGCCAGAAAGATATTACTGCAGAATTGTCTAGACACTGTGAGGGCATAACGACAGCAGAAGAATTCGCCATCAAGATGCACGCGAGGATCTCTCCGTGATGGTAGATACAAATAATTAATTTTACCAAAAAAAACATTCACCAATTAAATTATTTTGAACCTATTGCCTTTGGACGCAGATGCTATTCAGAAATATAATTGTAACCTGATCTATGAAATTAACAGAACACTATCTAACATGTTTAATATTATGACGAGCCACATCGCTAAAAACCCGGTGACAGGAAGACCTTTATATATGCTCATTATAAGAAATGCCGTATGTGTGTATAATACGTGCTGAATTATACAACTAAAACCACCAATAAATATAAGGATTTTTAATAACGAAGAACATCTCTTACTTTGTTGCTTATATAGTACTTAAATGTTTCAAACTTCTCTATTAACTGTGGCATGCGCCTACTTTTATCATTTTACGGGCCTGCAAGCACTGTTTATTCGATGATAATATTCTTGTAAGGGTTAAAATATTTAAGCATTACTACCCCTAATATGCGCCATGTTGCAAATTTTTCCACAAAAATTACGAATTACTAGTAAGAGATAGGATGAGATGAAAGTTATGCTAAATATTCAAAGCGAAATATAGGATGTTCCTGTACACACGTGTTATTATGATGCGAGTGCGGTGTTCACAGTTAAGAAGAATCGCGTAAGAATGCTTGAAGTGTGACTTGACTCATCGTCTGTTCTGGTCCAGCACGTTTCTTCTAAAATGCCTGATTATATATTCATACAGTTTCTATTTTCGTGAGTTTCATCAAACAGTATTAAGATAATCACAGGTCGTCCTTATTGGCCAAAGAAGGCATATCGATTATGCGACTTTCTGTGGAGCATTACAATTACTCCATGAAATAAAGTGGGCTTTTTTTATTTTTTTTACGAGCTTCTTTGACGTATCCAGTTTTGAACTGTATGCCAGGCTCAGCAACAGTTGCTTCAGCTTCCGTTCAGTTGACCCGAATAAGGAGCTCTGAAGCATCTTTCACAGAGCCTCAAAGGAAAACAGGGTATGCCAGTGACCTGCGAATATATTTTCTGTTATTCTTATTCTTTGCGACGGCCTTGTGAATACAGCGGCGAATCCGCTTTTTATTGTCGTATATTAACTATCATGTTACGTAGATAATACTTATTATAAAATATAACAACCTTAATAGCACTGCCTACAATAAGCATTAGTTATTAATTTCATATCTTATTTATATTTATTATCGCAAGCTTACCATCACATTCTCACATTCCGATTCAAGTGGAACGATTTCTAGTAAAATAACTCAAATCTCTCGCAATACAATAACATTGGATATTCTGCATCTACATTCAGACGACCCTTTAGGACCTTGAAATCACCGCTTTGAATTTGATGATACGAAAAAAAATTCTTTTAACAGAATACCGAACGAGCTATTCTCAGCATCCTTATATCATGCGGGATATCTTCCGAATTTGGTACAAACTAGTTTTTCATTAAGATAAAGAAACTCTCGTCGAGGCCATGATCCGACGCTTTTCTTCAAGTTTTAGTGGACGACCTAACGCAGGTAATTTAGTTGTTCTACATGATGTAGCAGTTGGGCGTTTAGAGTCCGATAACCGCCTTTTGCATAGCCTCATGCACCTCGACGAGTATCTGTGCCTCCATCTTGGCCCCTTCATCTCCAGCAGAGGCAAGCTGTTGCTGAGCTTTCTGAAGGCCGTCCTGCACAAGCCCGCTATCAAGCCTATCTACAGGCACGGCCTGTTCTGCGAGTACTTGCACCGTTGAATCCTCGTTAATTGTAATGGTTCCCGAAGATACGAAGTATCTAGAAATAAAAAAGCAACCGAATAAAGGTTAATAATAAACATTTTCTGGAGATATATAAATCGAAACTCTGGCCAGTATAATAACAATACTACACGTAATGTTACTAATAAAACCAACGTTCGAGTTTTACGCCCTTACTATCAATAAGAATTGCTTCAGATATCTTACAACCATGCGTAACAAGTGCTTCGCGCAAACTTGCAGTTAAAAATTAAGTTTTTGTAGTTCGTCCAATCTTACAGTGCAAAGATGCTTCTCTTACTCTTCCACGCTTCAAAGGATTGAGCCGATATTCAGAGGACCTGCAAAGCGTTGCCAGAAAGCCCGAGGTCACATCAAAACCTAACTCAAGATCACTCCAATATATTGCTTTTGCCCCTCTAATAAAATAAACGTTAAATATTAAGGCATTTTTTGCATAAAGAAGGCCACAACTATAAAAGTAAATTTTGGGATAAATGACTAGTTCGAATATTACAATATTTTTCTTTGCAAACAGAACCTGGTTGACATGCCAACTATAATATTAATAACAAATATTTGGATGTCGTGTGTTGTTTTAAGCACATTTTTCCAATCAAATTGTGCAAATGGAGCACAATCGTTACCAACATACGACGTAAATTTGTTAACACAACCCCACTTCAAAACATAAGGAACAACTGTGAACAAAAGAAACAGTCTGCGATTTAGCTTTGTGTGCAGGACCTGCTGCGCCTACAAAAACAAATGTTCAGTTAAATTTATTTATTTATATACGGTACCATCAAATGATTGGCCTGATAAAGCACCTACATAAATGTCAAATGATTATAAGCGCTTTTCTTTTAGGCACTTCGGCCTCACATGATTTTATATAATTTTCAGTATATAATTTCTAGGTGCACATTTACATAATGAATATTTGCACCTGTTTGCTATGGTCGTGTACATGTGAATTTAACACAAGGCCCGCAATGCGTCTCGACTAACGAGCAACAATAATTATTACCAACGAATAAAGTGAATCAATGAATCAATTTAATATTAATACAATAAATGTAATTACGAGTATCATGCTCATAAGAAAGCTTCAAAGTCGCTTAGCGCCACACAGCTGAGTCGTCTGTTTGCCTGGCTTGGAATCTTTTAACCTTAACTTCGAAAACAACCTTGTAAATATTCCAAAGCCGAAGTGTTTACGCCATACTCTACATAAGAAAACTGACAATATTTTTAGATTTACCTCTTTAGGTCGCCATCCTTCGGGTAAACAGTCACAACGCCAGGTTTTAGCACGGCCAAGCAAGGGACATGATAAGCAAGGATGCCGAAATCGCCAGAGTAGGATGGGACGTCGACCTGTTTCACATCGGCGTTATGGTAGTACATTTCCGATGGAGAGGCCAGTGTGAAAGCCATTCCTTCACGCGCTGGAGCAGCATCTGCCAGGCTACGCCGGCTTAGCGTGCGGCCAATCTGGCGGCCCATCGAAGCCAAGATTCGCTGGCCGATCATTTTTGATTTCTAACGCACAAACGTAAGGAACAAATCCTTTCTTACGGCAAACCTTTCGTGACACCGATGCAATACCCGTGCACAGAATAACCTTCACGAGATAAGCAGAGCAAGCGCGGCCAGACACAGACCTATCGATGAAAACTTGTGTCTGGGAAATATTGCGGGCGATAGTGATTTGTACTGAAAGTTCTGCGCCTAAAAAGAACTAAGAAGTCCTGGTGTTTTAAATCTTGAATTCTCTATTTATATTTGTATGTAAACATGTGCCCAGCTTAGGATTCAGCCGATGCATGCGTACTGTACTAGTGAACTTAAGCAACCTTTTTTGGGCAAAAAGTGTTCAGGATGATGTAAAAGACGTAGATGTGAATCCTGTATGCGTATATTGTATGTGAGTATGACGGTGGTTTAAATAATGGTAATATTTATATAATAAGTATCGTGACAAATATATAAGGATCTAATTTGTAGACCGAGCACAAAAACGTACCAGATGTACTATATTGGTTCACAGTGTATTACTCAGCCTTCTGCATTACCATAACAGATCATTTAGTAAAAGCTTTAGCAAAATAACTATTCCTTAGATTACAGACACGATTTGCGACTGCAAACAGAAGTTCATTAATATGGATTACGGTGTCGTTAGGTCTGCAAAGCTTACCTTTAAAGGCGACAATAGATCGCATAAGAGTAAAAAGAAGAAAAAGGAAAAACGAAAACGCCCGCATAGTGACGGAAGTGGTTAGTATTAGTCAAAGGATTAATATGAACTGGAGAGATGCATAACGTAGATAAATCGGACTAAATTGGCGAGCATATCCTGTATAACGCAAAACTTATTTGTTTATACTTGACGTAAACGATATCATCATAAAATACAATTCTATCGTAGCTTTTCTAATGGTCGGATGCGCTTGATGTCAAAGGTACGTGTTCGAATAGATATTCTAGGTAATTATTTCTTATTTAAGAAAATTACCTAGAATATCTATTCGATTGACTTGATAAACTGTGAATGGAATTGTACATGTGTTTCAAAGCGCCATTTAAATTTGGAGTTAGAAACCTTTTTTACTATTTTCTTTCACAAAACGTAGTACCCTCAAGAAAATGCGTATTACTTAAGCAACTAGAAATCCAGCAAAAAAAAAGAACATCCGTAAGCATAGCTAGTTTTTCGTTTATTCGAGGCAAGAGATTTTAGAAGTATGTACCTATTTACCATCGTATCAACAATCAATTATTTTCAGATTTGGAATTAGTATATTATCTTAACGGGTTAATTAGATTACATTTTTGGGTCATTTTAAAATAGATGTTCTAAAATATGGAAAACCTGTTGAGTCAAAGTTGTTTGGTCAATTAAGCATAGTTTAATTGGGCTTCTTAGGTGAGGACAAGCCAAGCTCGTCAGATGGCATTAAAGGTTGGAAGATAGCTCATGACATTCTGGATTTACGTGGTTGCGTGGCTATTAGATGGTCCGATGGACGATTCGTTGGCGCACGAAATTCTGGTGCAGTCGAATTATGGACAAGTGAAGATGACCCCGCCCCAGAGCCCGCTCAAATGTTCACGTTATTACGTGCCAGCGACAATCAATTAGCCATTAAGACAGGCTATGGTAAATTTATCTCGCCGGAGGGTGTTGATTGTAAGTTACGCGCGGTTACTGAAGCGGTCGGGCTTCTCGAGCAATGGCAACCTGTGTTCCAAGACGGGAAAACGGCGCTACTTTCTGGAGCGAAGAGTGGGTGCATACATTAATAGTGTTTGAACTAAACAGTAAAATGTGATTGATTTGACGCAATTAATCATTGTCAGTAGCATATATATCCAGTATTTTCTTTGTCTGTACTCAGGAGAGTCTCAGTGTTTCATTCAAGTTTTTTTCTGTTCCAAATATTTACGTCAGCGTAACTATGGGTGCACCTTTTTGTTCACAACATGTATAAATTGATTTAATAGAAATGTAGATGTACAGCTTTGGTTTGAGAAGACTCGATACTAAAATAACAAAGAAGCTAAATTGGGCAGGCCACTTAGGTAATCATTTTACTAATCTTATTAGTTGTCTTTGGTTAGTTTTTGATTAGAGTATATGCATCTTTGTTATCAAATTACATTAAAAAAGAAACATTTCAAATTGACATGAAATATCAGAAACAGTACCTGAATAGCTTGCCGAAGTTGATTTAATTTAAAAAAATAAAATAAAGCAATTCATTGAAAGAATTTACTTGCGAGTTATTATTTGTAACTATTCTTTTTTTGTCTCATTTTAGATAATTTCGTAACAGCTTGCCGCGGCGAGCTGTTTGCGTCTGTTTCCACTGTAAAGGGCGACAACGAAACATGCGAATTCCTCTACGAGGCATCGGGAACTGAAGATCAAGAGGCTATCAAAAAGAGTAAGATCGCTGATCCTAGAAAGGTAAGATCTTACGCAACTTTGTTGCTCCCCAAATTATTTCATCATTGTATCTTTCATTCACATTAACAATGAAAAATTTATATTCGAGTTACAGTAGGCAGCTTACTTTTACAGTGTTTACGAATGTGTGTACATATATATATATATATATATATATATCAGTGAAAAGTGGGTTTTAAAAGTATTAGATTACCTTATTGTTCCACACCTATTAATTTAAATAATCGAATAGAAAGTAATCGTCTAAAATAAAAAGCATTCTGTCAGAATAAAGAATCGTCACACACTACAATTGTGTACAGAATCCAGTAAGAGTCCTTCTATATATTTCTAATAACTTCCATGACTACGAACAGTTAGCATGCTTGAGCGACATCTCGGTGCTCCCGTTGCGAATGGATAAAATAATCAACATGTCGATCGGTCGATGATTAGTTCTTCGCATATTTTAGCGTCCTAAAGCATTATGTTGGATTTTGTCTTTTCTCTTAAGCAAACATTCTATTCAGTTCAACTTGTTTTACAGCCTTTGTAGTATAATTATGAGGTGTTCTAGATTTTTCTTCTGATTTATCATTCAAGCGAACGTGTTCGAAATAACATTTCTTTTGATATTTACTGTATTTTATTTGTTGTGCACAATTGTTCAAAGATCGCCCGAAAAGCCGGACTGAGCAAGGATCGAATTCGGGAGCTGGAAGCTAAAGGCGAAAGCCTCTACGAAGCAATCCTAGACCACCGCGCCAAAGGAAAGAGTGATAAATTCTGCAAGTGAGAACTAAGTCAGAAATGCGAATTCGACATTCAAAACGAAAGAGTTGCTTCGCCTACCAATAAGCGAAGGTGGACGAGTAACACTTATTGATCTAAGTAAGTTCAACGTTACTTCGTTTCTTTCATTTGATCAAATGTAAGGGAAATTCACATCAAACTAACATTCATTGACGGATTCAGACAAATGATCATAAATGCAAACAATCATGTAATATGAATGTATATCTCCATCTCCTGTTTCCTGTATCCATCTCAGTTTTTAATGTGTCTCATTCGATAGAGAAGCTTTATACTTTTAGTAAACATGACTTGTGTATTATTATATAATGTATAAGAAAATAAATTTATGGAGGATAACGATGAATATTTTTTGGAGTTTATTATTCATTATATAATTTTTTACGGCACGTTTTCAGTCTATATTAGATGTAGTATTTCATCTCTTATTTAGTATCTATATATATTTACCGCCAAGAGATCGGCTTTCAACTTCCCTCTTCATGTGATTTGTGAGAGCCTCCCTGAAACGTTGCATGTGCGGTCAGTAGTCATTTGTCTAGACGCTTTCTTTTTGTTGTTATATCGTTTTAATTTAAAGTTCTAATATAATAATGGAACATACCTGTAGTGATAGATTTAGGTATATTTCAGGTGTTAATATTGTATTTATGTTATTTTGAAGAATTTTTAAAGCGCGCCTTGCTTTATTGTCAGAAACACGTCCATGTTGCGTTCTTTAGGGGACGTAAATACGTATGAAAATTTGGGTTGATAATCATATACTTTAAAATCGAATACTATATCTAACTATTATAGTAATAAGTCGTGTGCAAATACTTTTAATCAGCAGGATCAGCTGTATTACAATATTTAAGTTGTGTACCTTGCAGCTTCTAAATCTGTTGGACTACTAGAGCGGTAAAACCTGAAATTCAAGCGAAATAAAACCAGTTTAGCCAAACATGTAGTCTACCACTTGTCAATTAAATTACATCATTCAGTTCTTGCGTTTTAACAATTATTGGTGTGTTCTACATTAAGTAGCACAAGTGCATATAAAAAATCTTGTGTTTTGCCAAATAGTAGAATATGCACGTACCTGGTCGGCCTCTCGAGCATGTTAAATCCGGTCTCGATAGCTTCGGTGTAAGCGCCCTGGTTGTAGAAAAGTAACCACTCGCCTATTTCAAGAGCTGGTAGATTCCACTGTTTGACAATGATGTCTACGCCATCACATGTGGTCCCGTAGATACGTGTGGGTACAAGACCTTCTCCACATGAATCTTCACTATAAACTGTTGACGACTATGATCGAACAAAAGAGGAAACATCAAAATATATGGAAAAAAAAAAACTGAAATTAGTATCTAAGGGCTTTTTGTCCAAAGGGTGTTTCAGTAACTTATTTTTCAATTAATTCGTGTACCGTCCAGGTTAGGTAAACACCATTCGAACAGTTTATCATAAATGACATGGTTACTGGCGACGACACTAATCACAGCTACTATTTTGTAGCTTTCACGTTCAGGCCACAATGCCCGCTATCTGTACTTATATAGATGTTACGTACCCTACTTTTGTGATATAATTTACAACAAGCTTTCGCACGAAAGCGCAAAATCCATTTTGGAAAAGTTTAGCAAATTGATTTTTTTTATATGAAATATAAATAGTACATTTAATTGCTTTCTTCGAACTACTAGTGGATTTAGCAATTTTGATAGTTTCTGTAGTAGCATTATGTATTGAGAAGCCCTACTGCGCGATGAATCCTTAATTAGCCTACCTTTGGTTTTTTAGCCCAGTTTTGAAGCGTTTATATCGCAAAATTTTTAAGATACGTTAGTAGATTATTAAAGACATCAAGAAATATGAAATATGAATAACTAAGCATTTCGAAGCTTGACATATTCTTTTGCGCGGAAGCCCATATTCCTGCCTACTTTTTCTTTCTTTTAAGGGAGCCTATTTTGCTAATATTTGCGTAGCTGTCTTCCCTTAATGGTGGAGTATTAAAATAATTTTGAACGTATTCCAAAACTCAAAATATATTGATTATGTTTTGCGTCGAAACTTTGCATATATATTTGTGTTTTGTGTTTTTCTCCCTTCAAGAAAACGTCTGAGATACATTCCAGGTTATTATTTGAAACTTGTTATTAATTAAAAATCAAAGCACATGGGCACTCGTACGAGTCACTGCGGTAATATACAAAATTAACCATTAAATTTATTGAAACACCTGCATTGGTTGAATTCGAAGATAATAGTCTCCATACAGGGCCGGTAGAAATGACATATAAACGGAGTCGCTGACGTAAATGTGGTTGATTTCTGAAAATTCAGGAGTTCGCATTTTGACATATGCAGAAATATATACATGCAAAATAAATACCGTAACAGCCGTGTACTCATTACATACAATACGCGTGATAGATAAAATGATGACAGGGCTTGTTATTGAATACGTTGTTATTTGGCTGTTAGTGTAAGCAGTTAGTGAAAAACAAGCATCTTCATATACGGGTTTGGTAGAGAAACGTGTATATGGAAGACACAGCTTGTGAGAGAAACGTACACACAATATATGAGTACTCCAATTCTTTGTGTATACAAATATTTTTTAAGCAATGCGAAAGCGAAGAAGGTTTGAATCCTTGAATGCTGAAGACATTGAAGCTGGTTAGCATTCGATTAAACTATGTTAATTATGAATTATTATAATATTTTTTATATTAAGCATGAATTAATGCTATTTAATTTGAAATTTTAAAAAATGCCAATAATAATTGGATTCGCTACTAGATAATGAAAACTCCAATCAAATTGGCTTTTTTTAAGAATTAGGCCAAGGATTTTTACAATTAAATACGATTAACATCTTCACAGGAGTTCATTATTGACGGAATCGAGAGGTGGAAAACTTCCGCAGAAATAAGTGAGGCTATAAGCAGATGAATTGGTGACATAATACAAGCAATATCAAATGAGCAGGTATGCAGAGAAACTCTAACATTTTAATTTTTTTTTTATTAAGACCGTATTACCGTATTTTGGCTCTAACCGGTTTGACTGCAAGAAGGGGATGATTTTAAAATTTGAAAGTAAAAGGCTAAGCCGAAGGAGTCTAAACAAAAAAAAACCCCTAGTAAACAGAAAATTATTTTTAATATATGCAATTTGAATTACGCACGCTATTATTTAATGCAGCTAATATATGATATTCGATTTATTGTGATTAGTTTAATTAAATTAAAATTGTTTCATCTTTAGTATCATAAAGTATGAAACTTAGTCTAGCAAACTTGATAATTAGGTGTTAGTTTTTAAAATGAAAACGTTTTAAGTATTACCTTAGTGCGCAGGTTATTTTTCGAACAAGAGTATAGACATTGGCAAACGCCTACAAGCGTCTTTTATCCTGGTCTGCATCGAGTTTTGAATGCACACATGTGATGATGCTTCTTAAAAATGCAGTAACAGGAGGAATAATTTGTCGCAAATAAGCATGATAACCCCCATAGATTATAAGCCTTGTTTTTCTGATGTGGGCGGTGTCATTGTTTGTGATTATTTAGCCTGTAGATGTGTAGAAAATAATTATAAAGCCGGTTCTTGATCCGTTTCTAAGTGGAGTAAAGGTCCCATAACCAATGCAAAAATTACGTTTTGACAAAATAAGGAAACTTCGCGCACAATTCAGAAACGACCTTCTATTTAAGGCATTTCAAATAGACTCAACTCATCTGATTTGAAAGCTGGCGATACCTTCTCATTGATACCTATTCTAAACTTCAACAAGTGAAGTATAATAAATGATTGCGCCTGCGCCTCCATGAAGGCTACACGATAAAAATATATTGTAATACTATTGTAAATACTTGTTTTATGCGATATTAGGTAAATTTATAAGATACTTTGTTGAGAGGCTTCTGCCGTTTAAAGGAGTATATCAGTATTAATATGTTACTCTTAGCGTATTGAGTGTAACACCACGTCGGTAACAGGCTAGAAGTACGCGCGACGTTTCACGCGTACAGCCAATAATACAGCAGCGTCTCACTTACTCTTATAACTTCCAGAACGCTGGTTACGAGGATCACCGGTTAATCAACTATACGAATTACGTACGACTGTGATAAAACCAATACCTAAAGCTCCTTACTGCTATTATATAATAGAGGCTGGTAAGCGGGCCATCAAAATATGGTCTGCTAGAAAAAATTAGATGTTGCTGGTTTAAGCTCGGCTGTGCGTGATCACATATTGATCAAATAAATGCGGCATCAAAGGATGCGTTTGAAGTGCGCACTAAACCTTACGATGTGGTTCTCAAAAAGATACATGTGTTAAGATATAAATATAAAATACTCTCGAAGATATATAATACCACTACTTTCGTGTAACTCACATATTTGGCAAACTAAGAAGAACCGTATCTTTCATCGAACCCTTGTCCAAGACCTGATATTATTAGTTGATTGCATCTAGCATAGGCTTATTATTGTAGCAATAGTACATTATGTGACAAAGATGATGGTGAACAATATATGATGCGATGAAATATGAATGTTTATTTAAGAAGTTGGTATTTTTTTTTATATAACTCACCCTTGTAGTTCCTTTTGCCAACCACTCGACAAATGAGAGTAAGTGCTGAACCAACAAAGAAGGTACCGGGCTCTGAGATTAGCTGGTAGCCTGCATCCGAAGGGAATAGTAAATCACTTTCTTTACGGATGCTTTCTGCTATCTGAAAAGAAGGCAAGTGAATGTTTCCCGAATCCTGTTCCAGGAGTTTTAATGCATGAGTATTTTTTATTCTTTCTGGTGTACGCAATGTATCTGCTTTGCTTTATTTCCTTTACGAAATCCTTTATGTTCCAGATTTTGTCATTTGTAAGGATAAAAGAGAACGAAGAAAAAAACATGTACTAGTGTAATCCTTGTGCACCTTGCGAAAATTGACTTCTTGCCCTCGAAACCCTTCGAAGCCGCCTCCAATGTCAATCAGTTTCGGGGAGTATCCAAGCTGGATGGCTTCTTGTTCCGCTTGTTTGCACAGACGAAGCGCGTTTCTATATACGTCGGAACCTTGATTCTGACACCCGACGTGAAAACTATGCTTGCAAGAATATTCCCAAAACGAATGTCAACGTTTATGGTGCTTTACTGTTATAAATCAGTCGTGGTCTTTTAGTAAGAGGTGTTAACACTAGTACGAACGCAACGGTGATAACCCCAAATGAGGTTACGACATAGTAATAATAATACAGGTCTATACTGTTTGCTATATAATAATATATTAACCTGAGATCTTGGCACGTGGAATATTTTCATGTACAATCGGTGTTAATGAAAGCTGTATAATCCAGAAGCCTAATACCTATGAAACATTGAACATAATAATTTCTAAAGTTGTAATTGCTAAGTTTTGGATTTTTTTAATTGTATATTGTTGCAATATTTAATAATTTGTACACAAAGCCAAAGGGTTCGGTAAACATTTACTGACACAGATCTGCTACCTGAACCCAATAACTTTTAACGATAAAGCTCGAGCTTTTTTTAGAAGCTTTTCTGCTTCTTCGGGTAGACATCCGAACTTTTCCGACATTTTGTAGCGGTCCGTATTTATAACTTTTAGTCGAAGAATCAGCTCTGCCTCAGAGTAGAATTGTTTAATCTGGAAATATATACAGGTATTAAATAGCATTTGGATGAAGAGAAATGATGCAAATTAAGTTTTTATTTGTTACTGGAATAAGCTTAATTTGAAGAATATTGATATGAAGCTATTTTCTACGCATACTATCTGCGTACTTCTGCATACACTGATTACTCTAAAACTATTTAACAATAGAATATTACTTCGACCTACGATCTACTTTTTGTACTTACTTATTTAGATTTGCTTGTTGTAAAATACAAGATGATTTCGACCAAAGTTCTATGTTTTAGACGAAATAGCATTGAAGCACACGTTACGTGTATCGGTGTGAAAGTCTTCCAAACCTTATCTAGTTCAGCAGAGTTGTCGAAGGTCATCCTAGCTACTCCATTATTCTTGGCGTATTGAAGATACGAAGGTGACTTCACTGTGTGCGCATAGACGATACGGTTAGGAGAAATTCCCATCGAAAGAACTAAGTTGATCTCATTACGAGTAGCACAATCAAATCCAAGCCCATGTTGCTGGAAGATACTTAGAATTGCCACATTCGCATTACATTTCACCGCTGCGTACGACAAATCGAGCCGCAATGCATAACAAACAAACAAACAGATCAAATAATAACATAAATGAGAAACGAGTTAATAGCATTCATGGACCTCGACTAGTAATTGCGAGTAAATTAGATGCAACAAATAATAGAAAAAATAAGGACATATTTGATGATGATAAATTTTCCGCAGATGTGTTAGTGTATTTTAATAGTTATTTTTTTTTATATTTGCATTATAATTATTATGAGAGTTTGCGGCACGTTCTTGTTGCTGCACATATGTATAGTAGTTTTAAAGCTAGCCTTTGTCTATTGAAAGCTGTTAATTGTTGGCTCTAAATTTTTTTTGTTCTTTATTTTTTTGCTAGCCTAAAAGCGTCGCGCCTTAGACATCGAAAAATCTTAGGCAAGAAAATAAAAAATCGATTAACCTTGAACTAGCTACGCTTTTAACCGACCCTCACCTCGCCGTTTACGTACGTTGGTAAACTATATAACTCACTTCAACTACCGCCCGGTCTATAACTACCAGAGATGGTGCCGTTCTATGGGTGCTGAATCGCTTCGCCGTTACTATTGGTGAACCCGTAAAATCGTCGTCGATTACACCGACGGGATTTCAGTGTAGCTTCAAAGTCTGCTTGTTTGAACCCCTAGCCAAACCGTCGTTAATTGGCCTTTTGACAACCCAGCAAGTTTAGAGGAACTCATTTGGCTCGAACTCGTTCTCCTCTTCGTCAACTAGCTATAGCTCTTTTCCCAATATACTTTGAGCCAGCTTCGGTTTTCGGTAAGAGCCATTCCAACAAAAGAGAAGACTGGTAAAGATATCAAAATTAACAGTCCATACATACAGCTTGCTAAGTTACGTACCAACTTTAAAAGTGACAGCATCCGGCTCGAATAGATGTTGCAAGGAAATAAGCACTGTAAAGAAGCATATCGCTCTTCCAATCGAAGATTCATAGTGAACAGACACTTCACAAATCTGCTTACCGTAATGCGGTCGTACTCTCGGCAGCACTTCGTTCCACAGTTTAATTTTATATCTGAGATCATCGAAATCAATTATGTAGAATGGTGTCTCTGCGTCTGATCTCTCAGCCGTAATTTTACGGCTAAGAGTGACTATTGGATCCATTGAAGAATTACACGTTGGCCATAAGGCGAATTGTGGAACACTCTCCATTGCCTTATTATTAGCACACGCAGAATGTACACGTTTATCAGAGATATATATAGTCTTCAGATGAATTTTTATTAACCGGAAGATTATTTGGGCACGGCCTCCGTATGCACTTTGCACGACCTACGGACAAATCGAAATAAAGACTGATATTATGATTTCGTCAAATATAAAAATTTTAGTAAGGCGTTTTTGAAAAGCCTATTTTCAACTATTAGTGCACGGGCAATCAAACAGGTATGACAAAAATAAGCCTGTGTTAAATTTGAGGCGCGCTACATTTCGACGTATCGGCAATACCACCCGTTAGAACTCGACAATATCACTCGATAAAACTTATTAAGTCCGCTAAGCTGTACATTTATCCCACAAGCGCGTCGTTTCTAATGTGATAGCACCTGTTTAGATAAGCTATCTTAAGAATAATATCGTAATAAAAAACGATAGTAAAATTAATCAAAACGAGGTAAGAAAACGCACAGTAGATTTAGCAAAAGAAAACAAGTCTGGACATGGCGGTGAAAAGCAACGTACTATTATTAAACCAACGATTTCAAATTATTGCGGCAATCAAAAAGTCCTAGCAGAGGTCCCTTAACAACCCGCGTAAAGCTATGTAAGCTTCAGAAAGATTAAAATGATTAATTAAAAAAGAGTCGCATCGTCATTTTGTGTCTACTGGCACAAGGCCTCCTTCCATTTATACAAATAAAATTGTGTATGGTTTTGGACCCAGATTTCTGTAACTTATGTGTCTCATTTATTTGAACTGCACAATCGAATACCTCGAATAATAAAATGAGGATAATTTAAAGAATTTTCTGTAGATACTTGTGCTATGAAGTCCTAAACAGTTGGATTGACAACATCAAGATTGCATACTGCACCTATCTTAACTTGAAAGATGTCAGGCGATGGTGAATTAAGTTTTCAGGTAAAATGAATATAAAACCCTTTTTAGCTTCGTCTTTTGTTATGTAATATATGTATTCTATACAACAAATAATCTTAAACGTATTACAGTGCCTGCAGACCAGATCTAGTTCATTCGTTTCACAGTCTTATAATGCAATCGTTCAAAGGAATGTTTTCCAGTGCTGATCGGAACGTCTTGGCAATTCTGGCACGACAGAATCGGATTGATCGCCCTGTAGAATAAACTACGCTTCAATAAACATGGATTTTTGTCTCTGCATTAGAAGCTTCAGAATAAAAATCGTAACGAATAAAGAAAGAGTAGAGCGCCAATAACGCAAACAGAAAGAAACCGCAGCTGTGGCACGCTGGCATAATATTCAACGCGCTAATACCGTTTCTAGAATTCCAACCGTTTTTAACCCCACCAAACGACACTAAGTTGAACTGCATTACTTTTGGTATGGCACTAACAATATGTTCAACATCATGTTTGTACTTGCAGTAATTCTCATTTTGTTTTCTATTGATTGTTATAATAAGTGTACTAATTATTGCAATTGTTACGTTTTTACTAAACAATCATGCCAGATTATAGCAATGCGTATAGTGCATATCTGTGATGCCAACATGTGCAAGAGTTTCAACAAGAGATTTCGTGTTTTTATATAGAGAAGTTGTAATGGAGGATATCTAGTTGTCCGATATAGGAACTCATCAGACGAATCCGAACGTCCGGTAAAAGGCAGGCTCAACAAGAGCAAATTTTTTTGTCTTCAAACCGTTTACTACTGACCAGTAGATTTAATGAATGAGCCGTCTCCCTGTTATAATACGTTTTTTTGAAACGTAATGAGAATATGTGGGCCATTTCCACCCCTGGCATAATTGACGATCATCACATCTGTCATGCTTAGACTTCTTTTTAAGAAACCGAATCTCAGCCGGCAAACTCTAAGGTAGCGCAAGAAGTTGACAAGGCCATGTTATAGCAGAGATAATAAATTAAAAGCTGCTGGGGAATTCTAAGTGGCAAAATCTACTACGCAACGCATATTAGGCCCATTTCATGTAACAAGTTCCGTTGGTTGAGCTCAGAAATTAGTAGTCTCTAAAGATCTTTCTACTTCTTCTACGCTCTGTGTGAAATTTACCTGTCACTATTTAGAAATTTATAGAGCCAATGCTAGTATATTAATCAAAAGTCAGCGATTAACATTGTATAGACTGTAGGGTGTAATAACTAAAACCTTAACTTTTTGCTTCGTTAAACAGAATTTATTCAATTTCTAATATTAGGAACACATTTTCACTTTAGGCATTCTCATAGAAGGGCTCATTTTAGTTAAACTAAATTGAAAGTTCATGAGAGTCGGAGTTACAACTGCTGCTAACATTAAGAATGCTTTTCGCATAGAACTTACCGGTTTGATGACAACGAACTAAAAGACTTTGCAACGAATTATATATAAAACAATGGCCAAGCAGAATCATAGACGATATTGTCAATCGACCATCGACAGCAGTGTACAGTGACGAAAGTATCTATCCTTGTTACACCTTCGATTTGCTGTGGAAAGAGTAAATCCTTTTGAAAAGAATTAAGTTAACCAGGCGTCTGATAGCATGCGCCACAGATCGTATCTCATGTCGTCGAACCCCATTGTCTTACCTAACGTATCTCCATCAAAATGTTAACGATGGCATTTTCAAAAAAATGTTGACAAATGGTGCGTCGAAAAAAAAGATAATGGTGTCGTTGGGTGGCGTGACATTAAATTTATTTCAAGCACGCTTATTCTTAGCCGGATAAGCAGCACCGTTTAGTTAAAGATTTATTTAACTGACTATGATTATGTTTAATTACTACTAGTATTATTATGTAACGAAATAGGGTGCTATCTAAAAGACTGATTGACGTACATGAGAGCGACGTCGGGCACTTAGTTGAAGAAGCGACCGATTACTGAAAGGAAAAATATTTCGAGCGCCGAGTATCACTAACGAGAACGTGAGTGAGTTATTTAAATAAAATAACTGCATGCTCTTGCTCATATATATATATATATATATATATATATATATATATATATATATATATATATATATATATATATATATATTACAAAGGCGGATAGAAAAACAACAAAAAAATAAGCGAAGTATTTTCCTGAAAGTCCAGTGTTTCAAACTTCTACTGAAACCTCCTTAGTCAGCTTGAATAATTAACAATTGCGTCTCATGGCTCTATTACTCCAGCAGTTCTATAAGTTTTAAAATTCGGCCCTATAAATTTTGCAGTAATACGTGCGGGACTATAAGATGCTGATAAATAATGCTGAATGACCAAATTTAGCGTTTATATAGAAACAGCAGTCTTTATATTTAACTATTTTCACTGTGTATAGCACTGTCGATATTTGAACCTGAATGGATGCTTGTGTTTGTTTCTATACACGATGGTCACGCACGCCAGTATGATTTTTTACATATGCGAGGGCTCGATATGTGGTGAGTACGATGATCACAAAAGTTGCTGCTTTCGCCTGGCCGTTGATTCTCGGTTGATAAAATCGAAGACGGCAACGCGTTTTGAGAAGATTACTCCGCCTGTATCCGCTGTCGCTTCCTAAAAAGATAACTAAACTCATCAGTTCGATCATCTGGTTACTGGCCATTCTTGGCATATCGTTGTCGTCGTATCCGTCGAGCCTCGCTCTTAATCGTTCGAATCTGGAGCAACCGTCTTTAACTAAAATAATAATTAAGCATAGAAGTCCATAATCTCGTAATTTTATGTCGAAGATATTCATATTAAACAGCGAACATTTCTAACGTTTGCTGTATATCCTTTACATGTTGTTTTATGCATTTAGCTACGTAGTTTGCTTGTCCTATAAATGAAAAAAAAATAGCTTTTATTAATCAATAAACATAAACATTTTCAATAAACAGTATAACTTTTAGTCATTAGCTCGCAATAAATCTGTGAATTTGCGTACGTTGATGCTGCTTATAAACATATTCTGTAAACACACTGTTTTCATTAACATATATGTACGTGTAGAACTTTATGAGAACTCCGCATGGCTTTGACTTCACATATACTACAAACTACTATAAAGTAGTTTGAGATTGCAGGGTATAGTTGATGACAATGTAGCTGATATCATAAGTTGAGTACTATCGATATTTCTAAATATATATGTACCTTTTTTTCGTTAGTATTAAGCGCATGTCTAAATTTTGAAAAGATGTCCTGCTATTGCCGGATAAAGCGCTTTTTGAGTTCGAGCATGATGCGCAATTTTACGGCATTTAGTGATAAAATTATGTTTCGACGCCTCACGATCCATTGCGCCCCCCTGAAATATTTGCAATTGGTTTTAAAACGTTCCGTGTAGCTCTGGAAGCAAATAACGCAATTTGTCTTTAGGCAATCTGTAATAACTGTTAACCGCTTATTGCAAGCCTTGGCGAATGATACTATCCTTAAAACATAATATGTAATATCTAATCTAAAACATAATTTATTGGCCATTGATAGCAGTGCTAGTATTAATATTATTGGATAGGAAAATAAAATTGAGAGCGATTCATGTTCGTGGGCAGTTTTTTTCGAAAACGAAGTTCGACTGGCGCACCATTATTCAACAATTTATTTGCAAAAAATTTCAACGTGAGAGCTAAACTTTCACGAAGCCATCTTTTTTCATTTAGAAAGCTATTGTCTTAGCGCTTCAGCAATGCCATCTAGCGAGAAACAATTTTATTTATATATATATATATATATATATAAATATTTTAAACAACGACGGAAGTCCGGACTGAACTCCGGTGCCGCATCGTAGTGATTAAGATTAAATGACGATGTATGTGTCGATTAACTTGTTAATAAACTATTGGTTTATTAAATAATAACTTTCCACCGTTCTCCATCTAGCGCAACTTGCGAAAGGACAGATTAGTAAAATGTGCGACTATGCACCTCATACAAGGTCCACAATTAACACTTTTTAGCCAACACAAACATGCTATATGCATTGACAGAGTAGTAACGTAAATAGATAGTAGTATTATACATGGTAACGCAAAGATATGAAGCGAAGATATGATTATGGAGTTATCTAGACGCCTGCAAAAGCTAAATAGCGGACTTTGCCCAGCACGCGTATATTGAGACGAGGATATTGATGGTGTGCCTAGTTATTGGGGGCAAAGAACATCAACTGCACTCTTGTTGCTAGGTGTCCGCTGAAAAATAATGAAAAATATTATATAAATATATACTCTACTGATTATTACATATATACATTTCCCTGTGCGAACATGAACTGTGCTCGACTAGCTTCTAACGTTCTCAGATCAGCCACGCTGAAGTTCAGCACTGTTGTCTTGCAATGTTAACCTAATAGTCACAAATCATACTGAAATAAAAAAACTACTGCGTACTAAAACATATCAGACTTATGCGTAGAAAAAAATGAAAAGCACGTATCTCTGAACACATTTGTTTGCATGCTTATTTGGTATCTATTTTCCCGTTTCCCATTGATATACCTTGGGTCAATAAAAATTAGAATGGACCTGTAATAACAAGCACAGATTGAAATTATGTAGGTCATTTGTTTAATGCCAGGATGCTCGTATGATTCCACTTTTTTATTTGAAGTCAAAATTTTTCGTTATGAAGAGTGTTTGAATGCGAAATTCGTTAAATAAATACGCTTTTCGCATGACCACCTGAACGCCCCTATTCGCTACGTGTGATTAAGCGCGGAACGACAGGAATGATATCTTTTAATAAAATAAATTTACGGGTTCTATCTTGTGAGCCATGCCTAAAGGGAAGCCGGAAGCATTTGGCAATGTATCAAAGTGGAGTTCAAGTACAAATGCTTTAAAGGAAGTGACAATTCATGTTCTCCAAAGCGAATCGAAACAAATGGTAGCAGGATAGCTACTTCTCTGAGTCATCACAGGCGGTATAGGGAAAAAAGCCAAACCAAAGAATAAAGGTAAACTGAAGGCGGCGTTGAAGCTCTTTTTAAAGGCATGTCATGTTTTCGCGATTGAATAAAGGCCAAACGCCAAATCTCCACAATAGAACATTCTAAAAGCATTTTAAAAAATAAGGTTTTCACACTTGTAAACCGTCATCTAGTCGTAGCTTTTCTTCCTGTCAGTAGGTCATGGAGGGTGTATTTAATCAGGTATCGAAAAGTTTCTGGCTGTTTGTACTGAAACATGGAACATTTTCAAAACCGCCGTAAAGCGGTGAAGTTTGAAGACTCAAGTTAGTCGATTGTCTGGTACTGACGATGTTGTGTCACCGTTTCACTTTTGCTTCTCATAGAAAACTTTATTGTCTTTCACTAAAAGAAAGCTTCATTTTTGTAAAAACTTCATAAAAGCACATTGTTGCATCGGATTATTGTAAACCCCCATCGATTCTAGCCATTATCTTCATGCTACAGAATTCTGATATCGGCCTAATTTCTTAATATTCGGTTGTCAGAAACGAATTCGACGGACTTTGAAGTCGAATGACTTCTAAACCGGTTAGGTTAAAATGAGGACTTTTCAATACGTGTTAAAGGCACTCTCCTTTATTCCTTACATTATTATTCCAGTGCTTTGGCAGCTTATACAACAGGCACATACCTATAGTTCTCCTCCGTCCGTGGCTTCAGGAGATAGATCTAAAGTGAAATATGCTCGCCTATCAGTTGTCATCACGCGAACTTAGATCAGGAAAATAGGTGGGTTAAAACTAACAGTGAGTGTCTTTTTGTTCAATACAGAAAGTAATTAAATCATGCCGATGAGATCTGGCATTGCCGTCAAATAACCAGACTGCGTGTTTTCAACTGCGGTTAAGATCTTGATGACTTCGAGATAGGAAGCTGTATTTATTGTTTTATCTCCGGCTAATGTCTCATAACAACAAATGCCCCTAGTTTCTATTGCAAAGACTATCGTCACTTTACGTTCGAACCCAATATGGCTCCTTTCCAGCTGACAATGGAGTTTGAACCCTGCCTGGTTTATAGCAACGGCATGCTCCGGGCCATTTTTTTGTTAATTTAGGATCCGCCAGTTGCACATAAAATACATTACACGCAATTCACGGGCTACCCATTTCTTATTCAGTTCTCGCGTTTTCAGTATTTGAGTTTTAACTCTATAGTGCTACATGCGAAATGCCAGTTTTGACTGACAGAGCGTTTAGATTTCAAGGTGTGCTTTCGTAACAAGCCTCCTCGATTGTGGTAGTGTATTCGTGTTTTTCTGTTCCTGAAATCTGGTTACTTCCTCGCAGTCTTTGTTCTTGAAAAAAAGCCTGTACCATTTGCGTACTGTGCTAATCTCTTCACCAATCTTCAATAAATTTCCGTAGCACTGTGATTTTCGAATGACAAAAACTTGGCCACTAAACGTTGATTCTCGAGATTTGAAAGTGTTTCTCTTTCGGAGCTCATTTCTTTTGCAGAACACTCAACTGTTTTTCATCTGCGAGCTTCCTGAAAACCAACTGTTTAACAAAACAACTGTCGTCTGCTAACGGCACGTAGCTCAAAAGTTATTCCGTCTCAAAGCCTGTCAGATTTGCTTATAATAACCTATTATAGTCTTACAATATTCACGATCAAAAGATAAAGCATCTCATCAATTTATATTCTTTAATACTAGCATGTTTCATTGTTAGCAGAAGCGGTGCCCTACTGACCACCAGATTAATGCCAGGAACATTCAATTGAATCTCGTTAATTATATCCCTTCAAAAATAGGAATAATATTCTAAATTTAAACTTTCGTTACTTTCTTATTTATCAATTTAATTTTTTTATTAACTCTTAATTTTATTTTAACGTAACAACATCAGATATCGAATACAAAATACCATGAATTACACAGACGTTTTTTTTATTCTGGCACTCTTGTCGTCAAAATTTAAAGACATGCGCACAGGTCATACCTGTTAATTTTAATTAGGAAGACTAGAGTAGTTTGAATGAAGTCTATTATGAATGCTGACGCTTAAGTTCAATGAGGTAATTGAGATTTGCGGAAAAACTGTAGTGATCAAAATTAACGTTGCACGGATGTCAGAGCAGTTTTAGCCCTCAGTCGAGGATGATCTACAGAATAACTGAGAACCTGAAGGAAAAACAGCATAAATTCTCGAAGGTAGTGTTAACAAGCAATGTACGCCGAAAACAATTATGTAGAAAGCTTGCTGTCTCACACCAGGGAGAGCAAAATACCAAATAGTGGTATATGCATTTTGCGGATAAAGACAATCACTTTTGCCTGGCACAGTTTGTTATATATGTATATAACAAAAAATGAATGAATGAAAAAAAAATGAAGTTCTAGTCATTATGAGGACTATTGTATGTTTTGCAGCTTCAGCGTTTCGCACATCTGCCGATAAAGCAGAAGTTGTGCTTTGAGTCACGATCATGGGTGCTGCTATAACTGGCTGCTAAGGGGCTATAAGAGGGCAGTATGAAGCCTCTGTAGTAAAGCAAGTTTATTGGATTGCGACTATCAGAATTTTTCAACAGTTGTCTACCATCAGGTAATAAAATTATGACAAATGAATATTTTGTTTACACATTGTAGATTTATTTCTTGACATTTACAACAGTGTCCTACGCATTTGATGTCGTGTGGTCCACCATCAAAAGTGTTTATTGTCGTTGGATCGACAGAGTTTCTATTCCTCTGAAGTGCCTCAGCTGTCGCTACGAGCAGCTGCAGCTACCGTTCCGAACTGCAGATGGCGCAACTGGCATCGTTTGAATCATGGATAATAAAGCCGCCGCTGGGTAAATGCCATCAAATGATATCGACGATTCAACATGCGGAACGGGTTTTGGATTTGACGTATTGCAGAACTGGTCGACCGAATTGGATGTTGACAGAAAAGTGTGCCACGAATGATATATTAGGTAATGTATCAACAATTTAATGTAGCCACCATGTACCAAATGATCGCTCCGAGACGACGGTCCTAATCGAAGTCAAAAAACTGTCAGAGCAAAAGAGAGAGGAACAGGGTTATGAATTTAAGTTGTATTGATTTGTCAATCTAGTAGTGGACATTTAAAAAAATGATGCAGGCAATTTCATTCGGTTGGACACGAATCGTGGGAAAACGACACGATAGAATCAACTTTGCGAGCTTATAGCGGGTTAGTTGATAACAGACAACTGGGCGGGTGCCGTACGGCTATGTGGGTTGTCAAAGGCAGCTAGAAGAGGCAAAATACAAACGCTTGACGTGAGATTAGAGACAACAATCGAGCGTGAGGCTGGGGTAGAAAACGCGCTTACGACTAGAGGACCAGCGAGCTCATTCAACAATATTATCGATAAAAATACGTACATTTATTTACACGGGCGAGCTCTGGATCTCATAAGGCTTCCCGTTAAGAGTAACGACGTGTACGTTGTTCGCGGAATCTAGATAGTGAGCCACCCCCATACGACCTGTCAAACAAATTTAATTGAAAAAGTTCATTATTGCTGCTATTACGAACAAATGATCGATTTCATAACGGATTCCGTTCCAAGCCAACATGTCGGCTAAACGATTTATCGTTATAAAATAGAAAATTTACATGTTCCGTTTTGCGTGCTTACGGTGAAACTGTCGACGAAAATTGTTCCTAAGATATCATTTTCTTTACGCAGCTTAAATGTAGTACGGTGCTGTGTATAGTGGATTAGACGACAGCGCCAGCCCGACGCACATAAAACTACGTGACCCGAATTGGAACATATTTCGGTGGGCTGTTTGTCGTAACAGGCACACATTTATAGGTTATTCTCAATACCACACGAAAGCCAGTTCTCTCTATAACGAAACAATAAGCTCGTTATAGCAAAACAATCTGTGTAGTTTTCGGAATTTTCGTGCAGATCGCCTACTATCAAGTTCGAACATGATGGACGAGCTCCCACCGAGACTTCTTAGGTTGGCCAATAGATCCGGGCAGACAGGTTGACCGGTTCTGTTTTTTTTACCCAATTTTCACAAGAATATCAATGCAGATTTTCGACTTTCCTTTTAGGGGCAATTTTCATCCTCGATGCCAAAATGAACTGCCGAAATAATCGCTGGTGTGCTGACGTTTCAGAGGGGATGAGCTTATTGGAACGAAGCGAACTCTGGTTCAATGTTCCACATGCCATTTCAAACAAAGCGAACGCATAATTAAAAAAGCTTCTTGCGTGTTCTACAAATTGGTCGTAGCACCGTACATAGCTGAAGTGTCTGAAACGAAATGGTGTCTTACTGATGATATTGGCGTCCAACAAGATGGCACACGGGCTTTTACAAAGCAATTTGCACAGGGTTGACTGCCTGATAATACAGACATGCTCTGGAATGATCTACCAAGCAGCCCAGAATTAAGTCCGTTGGATTACTATGTATAGATCGAAATTCGAACAAGTTCTAACATGACAACGTCTGTTCGTGCACCTAAGATAATCAAGAAGATGTTTGCGAAATTATAAAAGGAATATTAAAATGAATCAAAACTGTAATTGCGGTAAATGAGGGTTCATGGCCGTGGAAAACCACACTTTATAGCACAAGCAGAAAAATTTCATTGAATAATTTGTATCTATCAATTTAAAGCAAAAACATGACAAATAGACACCCCGCCCTGTTGAAAAAGTGTTGGTCATCTTTAAGTTAAAACTAAAATAAATACTGTTCATACACTAAAAGACAACAATAGCACATAACTAAATATGTGCCGTCTTAATCGATGACCTTCTGTTATTTTTCTAGTGACACCGTAATATCATCACTGAAAAAATTCCAAAGTAGATAGTAATCTGATGGTACAAGATCCGGGCTAGTGGGTGAAAGCATTAAAATTTCCCATTAATAGTCTCTCGATGTGGTTAAATATTTATATAGTAACTAATTATTTCAACAGTTTAGAATTGCTCGGTGGTAGATGCCTAGCTCGTTAGAGATATCATGGCTACGTACGTGCCGGTCTTGCTCGACTTTTAGAGCAATTTCAACATCTCTGATCATAGTTAGTCCACTATTATACGGAGCTTTTCTCACATCAAAATTTACAGGAGGGCAGCGATATAATCACCTTTTCGCCGTTTCTCTTTACTGTCCATAAAGGGCAGAATTTTTCTTATGGGTCTGAAAAACACTATCATAAAAAGAAATCTATTTTGCAGAAATCTCATCTATCTTCAAGTCACTCTATTTTAAGGCTGAATAAGGTCATTTCAACAATTTACTATATATATATATATATATATATATATATATATACTGCTCCCAGATCTCAGTTTTCAAACCATACCAACGCCGACTTAACACGATTGATATAACCTGACCTAACTTGGAAAACGACCAATATTTTTTTCGATAATTCTATATATATATATATATATATATATAACCGTTTAAAATTGTGGCATTTATCCATCTAATTTTGGCTTCACAAAGTAGACCTTATTTACGAGTGATTTAGAAATTATCCACAGTTAAAAAAAAGCTCATCAACAAATCGTAAGATTTTCACAGCTTCCGATTTGACGAATGACAGCCCTTGTTGATATTCGACAAGCATTAAATTTAGTGAGTCCGCCAGAACATCGGAGCGTCATTTTGTGCCCGTGGGTCGTGTCTTACAGCATTGACTTGGCCGTTGTTTGGTTAAAATGAAGGCTAACAGGTAATAGTACTAGAGACACACCTGTCTCAAAAGCTTGACGTGTTGTACACGGTAACCGTCGTGCAAATCGAGCACCGATCAAGATGGGTGGATCTGTGTATTTACGATCATTTGCTAATCAAAATAGCTATAGCTTGAGAAAATTATTCATTATGGTTGCAATATTCAGGGAAAATAGAACCGGCATCATTCAGATATTATTATTATCGAAAATTGCCGCTGAATTTATTATAATCGTATTATCAAAAAACGTTTTCTATTCTATTGAAAAGAACATTAACACTGAAGTGAGTAAAATTCGGTCAAGTTTCACCAGGAAGCGGATCTGTCATTTATATACGTGTAGCTTTGGCCAATGCAAAATATTTAGAACGATGATCCGCATTTTCATTATAAACAGTATTTAATAGACGTATTGTTATTCTAATAGTCATTATTATTATTATTATTGCTTTTTCGGTGCAGTACAAGTTTCTGTATCTGTGTGTCTCTACAAGCTGCTAGCGTATGTTTTGTAAACGTAGTGGCGGCTCGCTATATAAGGTTTCGCCCTATACGACGAACTGCTATCTAAATACCGGAAAACTCACCTAGCAGTTGCATCAGTAAGTTGCTATCCACCTTCCCAGTTCGAATGTAGCTATTTAACACATGGACGTCAATGGGCAGCTCGACTTTGTCGTCCCTTGAATCACCGATAGTCAGCGTATAGACTTTATTCCCTTCAGGACCACGCACGTTGAGCCGCAAACGGGAACCAACCTTTTGCTGATGAACGTTAAGCGGGACTGGAATTCTAGAGTCGAGCAAGTTATAGTCAGACGTTGTCGCACCATATTTTATCGTCTTCAGTTGTCTATGTCTAGAGCTATCTGAATCCCTGGGCAATCCTGCCTTATAAAAAGATATATGCTTTCAATCAGGTTCGTTGCTTTACTATTACGTAATAAAGCACTGTTGTCTCTTGTCTATGTCCACCTATTTATACAGAGCACTATTAAATTTTCAGTTTAAAGAAATAGATCTCGTTTGAAAGTATTGATCCCGTGGGATCGACTTTAGGCTGAAGATACTGCTTGCAGCTATTTGTAATTAATATCTCCTATATTCGTGTGCTGTCAAAGCCAATCATTTAGTTAACCTAAATCAATTGATGCGGAGGGATTCATCTTGGATTTTGAAAAATAAATTGCAAAATAAATTCGAAACCTGTTTCGCAAAACTTAAGCTCAAATTTCTCAAAAACTCGATAGTTGTCCGTACTACTGCTCGTATACATATTGAAGAAAGCTGCGATCTGGCCGAGCCACCCTGACATAAATCAGTCAGCTAAAACGTTAAAAATATTGACCTTTCCGACCCTTAAGCGTATTAAAGTCCATTCATATGAGACTCATTATAGAAGACAAGCTGTCAGACTATTTTCAATATAAGTAACTTTATAACCTACTTAATAGTGCCTGATGAAAGATTGACCGTCATTTGTTGTTGATTGATGTCCATTTCAGAAGAAATGCCTATCGCATTAAAGGCATCTACCAAGGTACGAGGAAGGATCTTCTTTTCTGCAATAGCGCGCTCAAGGGTTCTGGTATCCGAGGGAAGGTTATACGTATCTGAATCAACGATTACTGAAAAACAAATTCGGAATATTAAACGGTATCGATTTCCGAAACGATAAAAGGAAAACGAAGCAATACATGTAAATTGTTACTGTCTGTTTTATACTTTTTGTACCAAGTCTAAATACAAATATCTAGAATGATATGATACCGCTCTAGTATTAAGTTCAGAACTCAACTAGTTGGGTGTGTTGGAACCATCGTGTAGAAGATAGATAGTATTTTTAGGTAACTGAGAGTTCCGAAAAAAGTTTCTGCCTAATTTATACGAACTCTTCACATGCCTAAGGACTAACGTGGATTGGAAACGTTGAATATCTAATAAGTGTCAAATTAATTAAGACTCACTTTTAACCGTACCAACGCCCGGCTCAATTTTGTATTGGTATTGTTTAGTCACTGGTAATCCACTAAGATAGGCTTCTCCACCAGGCAATAATACACGTAAACCTGTGCTTCCCACGCGTCGGGTGTCAATACCAATGCGCAGGAGTGAATCGCGTATCAGTTCAATTGGGAACTCATTTTCCCGTAATGCCTTCTCTAATTCACGATCGTCTTTCGGTAATTTGAAAGTCTGCGACCCTAATTCGACTGTAACATTATCTCCGTAACGCATCACCCTCACCTAAAGTCATACAGGTGCACGATCATATTTTATAATTTGTCTAAATGGTTCAAAAAGCCACAGCGTATACCGATTCTATTTATTTAACAAACAAAGCTACTATGGCCGGCAGCTACTACTAACGCTACAACATCCAGTAGCCAAAAAAAATTTGCATAATATGCCTTGTGGGCGAACCTTTCCAACCGATGTACTGATACGCGTGCGTATGATAGATACAATATCGCCCGGTGCTGCAATGTGCTCCATGTCTAGGATGTCCATGACACTCGTAGCTGAGATGCGACCATCCTGTAGGTCTTCTCTAAGTCGATCCCAATCCTCAGGTAGGTAGTAGGATAGGGATCCTATGCGAACGACCTTAGGGGAAGATGCGGTAGGTCTGACTAGGCCGCCACTTGGGCTTGTAATACTGCCACCTCGGTTAGGACTAGAAGTTCGTGAAGTGATGTAGTCATCTTCGGAGGTAAGCGTTGTTTTAAGCGTCTTCGTTTGGGCATCATACTCGACAGGTACTCCGTGAGCACTCAGGATGCGCAAAATATGATAGGCGACTTCCGGCTCACGACCTAAGTAGCGGTTAAGGCTATACTCGTCACCAGGAAGTACGTACTTGTCATTGTTGGCCGTGATAGTGACACTGCTTGGTTTGTCATCAATCTTTTTGATTGAGACGCGCAGTCTTAGATCTTGAGGACTTGTGGGGCTTCCGACGGTTACTTTATTGCCTTCGTGGTTAATAGGGACGCCTAGCTCCCGAAGCTGGCGGACGATATCCTATAAAAGAAAAAAGAAAGTGAGCAGCAAAAGAGCACAACTCATATATTTAAGCCTTGTCTTATATAGCGTATAAGGTCCCTGAAACACTCCCATCCAGTAAAGCTCGACCGTATAAAGTCCGTCTATGTAGCAGTGTGAAGATACGTATATTTAGTTCGCATTGTCTTTCCGGGTCTGAAGGAAGGGTTTCTTTGATTGCGAATCCCCGATACGTCCAACAACACCCACCATTATATTGACGTCCTATAAAATTGCAATAATAATAATAATAATAAAAGGCAGAAGCTAGTTATGATAAGTACCTTCTGTCTTAGATTATCTTTTCTACAACTCATATACTTAAGCGTCTGTTAATACGAATTGCCCGCGCAGGTTTCAAACAATCCCAATCAGGTGATGTATACTTATGTTTAGATAAACTCGCCGATTTGAAGACACGTAGTGCCTAGGAACATTTTGTAGTTATCCATCATCGGCGCGACTAATTGCCATCCCTTGCAGCCACATAAGCATATTCAAGAATAAGGACCTTCATATGTAGAAATGAATCTTCATCCAACATTAGCGGTAAGAGTGACTATATCTAAATATATGTATTTATAGATTACTGCTATATAACTGCATATCTACGGATACGTCTGCTCAATATAAACGTGGTAAAAATAAATATGCTAGACGCATTGCATGCTAGCTTAATAATTGGCAGCCAATTGCACCGATAGGTAACAGATATTGTGGAAAATGAATGATCTAGCAACAAGCGACAAGTAAATTACGACGTACCTTTTTACCCTGCCAATGGCTCACGAAGTCCTAATATTATATAACTTGTTATTTTTGCGATAACGTAGATTGCGATCGTGCTCTTGTACAGAAACGTTTAAATGGCGTGTAATGTATCGTCTAGCCGATAGTACTACGGAAATTTTTGAATTTGGCATTGAAGAATTGACTAAAAGTTGTGCAAAAGGAGGAAGATGGCTTAGAAAGAGATTAGGTTTTCCACCGCGGAGATCGCATAAATTTCGTAGTTTGCAAAAACAGCTATTAGTCAATTAGTATGCGAGGCATTTCTAGAATCAATAAGGAAGATTTCTAACAAATTAGGTTTTTAGTTGGGTGAGACGTAAGTTAACAATCCTTATCTTCTCGTACGTCTGTTAGCCCAGTTTTGCTCGTCTCCATTCTATATTTGGTTGCAATACATCTTGTGTAACGTTTTGGGCCCAATGTTCCGTCCGAAGAAAAATATATGCTACTCAGTAATGAAGATATGGGACACTACTTGAACTTTTTTCTTCGTTCTTGGACTTTTTTGTTCTGTAAATGTATATTTAAATAGAAAAACGTGTTTGAAAATAAAACCGAGGGTGAATAAATTCACAAACTTATTTTTGTGGAATGTAAAAATAAACTAAAAACCCAATGCGAAGTTATTCAACTTCGTATTAGGTTTTAAGTTTATTTTGCTCTTTGTAAGTTCTAAAAAATAAGCTACTATCAAAATAGTTGAAATCATTAAATTTTGATTAATTTCAAGTTGAATAGTACTTCATAGGATACCGCAAAAATGTAACTTCTAGTAAAAGACGGCCCGAACAAATAACATGTTCGTAAAATATAGCCAAGGTTACAAGTTATGTTTTTGAAGTTATTTTTTGACCTCTATGCGGAACATGATGTCTATGATGAGACTGAAGAGACTATTTGGCAATTCTCTTAAGAGGTGGTGGACCGTGCCACAACTTACAATGAGGGTGTCCTGGTCAACAATATGTGGCAGGCGTGTGAGGTCATCGGGCACCTTCAATGTCTGCCCATTAAGTTCAATGTTGATATCTCCATTTCTTCGGGTGTAAATTCGATATTGACCTTGTGAAGTTTCTAAGCCTGGGCGTCGTTCACGAACAGGTTCAGGTCGGAATGGTCTCTCTATTGTTTGCTGAGTTGTCTGCTTAGGACATCCACAATCAAATACAACAAGCGAATCATATATAGGACAAATTAATCGAACGCGAAATTAAGATATTCTCATCTACATCTTGGTCAGGTTTTACGCGCTTGTATAGCATACTTACCTCGTGGATATAAAACTTACTTCTCTACAGTATAGTCTTTTCATACTGTACACGACCCTCAAGCGTTCTAAACTAAAGAAATGGTTAATTAACCAATGCAATAAAGAAGCAATACGCAACAGATGTATTTAGCAAGCTATCCCTTTGCGGCTACGAGTGGTCGACTGAAAATTAGTTGTCACAATCAGTTAGATGTTGCCGATTTTTGGATCGGATCCGAGAAAATATGACGCGGTTAGCCGTGTAGAATGCGTCTCCGCTCGTGTTTCTATTCGGTTTCATTTATAGAAGCGGCGATCGACATAAGAGATACAGCTTTTCTTTCTTTTTTTTTTTCTTTTAATAGACTAAGCAAATATTGTTTCTTAAAGAAGTTGGCGATCGACCTCTATCGTGGATGAATAGTTATGTGCATATATATTAGGCTGTTACAAGCAAGTTTAGCAAATCTAGCGCCCTGCCACTTTCTGGCAACTTCTGGGCAGCCATAAACCCACCATCAGTTTTCCCATATGTAATTGTCCTACCTGGGGCTTCTCCAAATAAGTGGTTAGTAAGATAACATGGACCATTGTTTTTTGGACTTTTTAGCGTACGAAAAGCCCCGTAATCACACGGATTTAGATAGGAGGAGTAAACGGGTTGAAGCTAACGTCAGGTATTCCTTTCAATCCAAGACGTATTTAAGATATGGCGATTAGGTCTAGCGTTTCATTACGTGCTACTACGTGCAAACGAATGCCGTGCCAACGGTCTATAAGAATTTTAGCAAGCCGAAATAGTGGGCTAAATTCACTGTTTCATTTTCCACGAGTATTTCATTGCAGCAGATGCTCTTGACGTTCGCTGAAACTACTACCATGGCCTTACATCCTAATCTACTAGACACTGCCACCGAACTCGACGTGTCCCCCCCCCCCCACGGCAACGCTATGCTTTTGTCTGGCTTCTCTCCTTCTGCCACTACTATCAATTAGAGCGGAACCATGTCTTGCCTATAACAACGCTCCAAGCGGGTATTTCTTGATTAATTAGAGGTCTGCCAATTGCACGTGAGACACACGGCATGCATGTCCAATTGACCTGAGGTCAATTCACGAGAAACTCATCTTTTCTCAATTTTATGACACTTTACATGTGAAGTATCAGTTTTGGCTAACAGCACTCTTAATCTCCAGGCTCTTGTGCTTTTGTAAAAAAAATCCTATATTGTGGCAATAAGTTCTTTTGCTCTTTGGGTCCCGACATCTGATCACCTCCTCGCTTGTCTGCAACGCTTCAATCTTTGTGCTTGAAACGTTTGCGCCATTCGCGTACTCTGTTTCTGCTTAACACCTCCTATTTAATGCTTTTGTCAATTTTCAATAAATTTCCGCGGCACTATAACTTTTAAGGAATAAGAGCCTGACTACTGAATGTTGATTTTCGGTACTGAAAGATAATTTATCTTTTCTCTTGCAGTAATCTCAACCAGTTTTCAACCAGAAGATTGGAATATTCACTAGTTAAGGTGCGTCCGCAGGTAACGCGTAGTTTAAAAGTTATTAAATTCAAAGTCTGCCGGACGCTCTTATGTGTTAGGCGGCGATGAGTAAGGTAGTTTGTGCGCACGTATTTATCGAGGTAATCAGATAGAGAGCCTGAGTAGGCCAAGACAAAGAGCATTACAAAAAAAAAGCTGATAGTGAAATCAATACACAAGAAAAGGACCCTAATTAGCCAGTTGACTTACCCTGGATGAGATTGGAGTTAAAGAAGACGACGGACCTACTGGAACTATGGCTGCGTCGTCCAGAATACCTTCAATGACGCTTTCCCGGACCCCCTTGCGGATAGCATTCTGGATAAGATTCTTTTTAGTTGGGGAGACCTCATAAGTTTGTCCGTTCACATCTACAGAACTCTGCGAATAGCAGAACATCAACGTTAATCTCCATTTCAAAATGGGGACGTTCTCATACATTCTATACAATTAACAAAAGTAAGACTACGAATGTATTTTAATGTAAGGAGTGACAGTTAAAGATCTACAAATACATGAAGATGCCTAGAAATGGTGGTGAAAAAGAATTGCCTGAACTCTCATTAATACTCTGTGCCTTAATTAATGGCTAGCACAAAATATAGCAAGGCCTCATGTGTCTCTCATGTCATCTTTATTTCGCCAACAGGTAATGAGTGTAACGGCCTGAAAAATCGTATGTTGCTTTGGAAACCTATCTCACTGGCCGTAATGAACATTGAAAGACAGTGTCAATAAAAAGTAAACGACGTCCCTAAACTATAGACTATAGGATAGAGATATATAGCATTGAGCAAGTGATCAAGATTTTTTTTTTTTTTTGTTAACTGAAGGCAATTTTAACAAACAAGAAGACGTATTATGAATTTATCGTTGTCAACTACCCGAGTCAGCTTGATTTCTAGCTCGTCACGTGGTGATGATTCGAATATGGCCAGCGTGAAACCATAAAGGGTACAATCCAGTAATAGTAGCTATGGAAGGTACTCAGGTAAACTCTGGTCTGTTTTGTATCGCGTAATTAGTATTGAAATCATATAGAAATTGCTGTTTCTAATTGAGTCTAGTAGATAACACTCCAATATCTTAGTGATACGTTCATTTGTTGTTCGAATCACCGTTTCTCCTTACCGTAGTTGAAACACTACGAGAAATAAAAAGTGTTGATGCAATTAAGCTTTGGAATAAACGACTATTGGGGGTATTTCTATTGGGGGACTATTGGGGGATGTGTATGAGCGTAAACCCTGTACCGAACAACTATGACAAGTTAGGAAAAGAAAGCTGTCTGTGTGGCCCTTTAAGCGAGCTGAATTTTCCCATTCGATTTTACTCTCGATGAGCTCTCGGGTATTATCTATACATAACGATATAGATATATTGTTATATCTAAAGACGGTGACTCCGAAGAAACATAAGCTGGTATAAGTTAAGTACAATTAATAGACAGGCGTTGATTGGCCAACGAGGGCTATTGATAGCTTTGCAATTTTAACACTAGAATCTGCCATGAAGCTGCCCCAGTTTACACTACTAGAATTACATGGAAACAATGATTATGAAGTTGCATTTTGTGACGGAACGTTTGCTCTTAAAAATTCTTCTATCTTAGAAGGCATGCACATGCTAAAAGTACGGATGGCTATAGGTTGTTCGGGATAGATCGGACTGAAGTTGTATTTTTTTTTTGTGAATTTAAATAGAAGTGACATTTTTTACAGGTAGCAATAAAAACATTTCTGACGGATGTAAATATCCTAATTAACTGCCGTCCGATTTGGTTATGGTGTTAATTTGGAACAAAAACCGCTCACAAGTCATTTATAAAAAAAAAAACTACGTTTCTAAATTCGCGATAATAGTCGTGAGTGAAATGCAAAGTTAGCATGTTTAAACTCTGATGTTCCGCGTTTATACGACACACATATAATAACATGATGGACTTTGAAGCTGAAGGTTATTAAAATCGCCAACAAAGCTTAACAAATCGAGAAAAGACTAATCGCTATAAATTATATGGACGACCCTTTAGACGACAGATGGTCTTACTTCGCCAGCAGCGTATACATTCATATGAACATTTTAGAATTTAGAAAAAGTTTTTTGTATGTTCTTTTGATGTCGACTTTTTCAGTCTGAACTCTGGCGAATGTAAATCTCCTGTACCGCGACCGGAAAAGTTGGACCATACATTTCATGAACGTATGGTCTCAGCGGAGATAACACATTAGACGATAGCTAAAGTTTAGCTCGTATTCTAAAAGGGAAAATCGCGCCTGACCCTCGATAAGCTCGTAGTAATGAACTGGTTTTCATTTTGTTGTTTACAAATGCGTACCTGCTAGAACAGTCATCCAGCCAAGATATGTGCCAGTTCAAACCAAATATTTAATATAATTGCGGTGATAAAGGTGAAATAAATGAAAACGGACTTACCAACGATCCCGTATCTTGTTTGAGTAATTCTTTATACAGGCGAAGAATTTTAGGTCCAGAGGCATCACTCAAAATATATTGAATGCATTCCTCTGAGCATTGTCCTGAACTGCTGGAAAAAGCAGCACCAAGGCAAAGGCTGACCAATGGGCTTAGTATCCCTAGTGCACACAAAAAGCGCATCCTAGAAACATAACATAACGGTATAAAAGCAATTGTCACAAATTATATGCTATACTTAGACAGTTATAGCTAGTTCGCGGAGCGTAATTTTTACACGATCTTTTTGAAGGTGGAAATTATATGCACCTAGTATGGAGGCAGTTAGAACGGGAACTATTGTTACATGTACAACTTACGAGAAAGTTCAAATACTTGGTTATTAAAAACTGAGTAATTCATATATAGAGAAAGGTGGTTAATGGAGGCGACCTATCTAGTAGTATCAACGAGTACCAGGCACAATAATAGATGAATTATCTTTTGAATTCGGTTTTTAAGACCCTCGATATTTCTGCCGGTTGGCTTTAAGACCTGCGTTGAAATACACACACATTATGTGATTTTTCGTTGTTAACCCCTTTTGAAAAAAGTCTTATTACCTGTATATACAGGTATGCATCGATTGTTCTAAATATTATTTCCCTTATTATCTTAAATGTTTAGAAATATAGAAGATTAATTGTTTCTCAAGTTTTAATAAACAATTGAGGAGCTATCCAAATTGAATCCTTAATTCATTTTTTTACTTTTCTTTATCAACTTCGTGCTTTCGTAAATTCGAAATGAGTTTTCCGGCAAGTGGAGCATCATAGGACATGGAAGTACAAGGTAAATCTAATTTGTAAAAAAGCGCATCTTTGACATGTAGATACATTTGTGGAGAAGGGCACTCTTATATAAAAGTAAAAAGAAATGAAAAATAAATGCTTAGAAAAAGCGGAAAAAGATATAAATTATTTTTAACTTAACAAAACAAGTAATTAACGGTCGTATTATCGTACTCATCTTTTCGAAATGTACCTGTCTATCGTAGAATTTTTTTAGCGCTAGAGGTCAACAAAATTGTGTAGCGCAGTGTAATGCAACTAGCAGGCTCGCTCAGGCCAAGCCAGGTTAAAACAAATAAGAAGGTGGTTACTTCAACAGCATATCCATAATAACTCCTTTACTATAGGAACTCGGTTTCTGGATTTATCGAGCAGTATAATTGATCTTTAATTCTTCCGCGAAACAATATTTAGTTGGATTTCTTTAACACATCTGGAAATTACCTGCTTCAGTGACCCACGTCTGAGTTGACTTTACCATAAACAAACGCACGATACGTCGATGCGTGCTGAGTCGATTCTATGGGGGCAAGTGACCCAATCCGCGTGGCTCCTAAAATGATCAGCCGGCCGTTTGGCGACCAGAGGATTGAGAGTCGAAATACGCCGCCCTGCTGCAGCTATACAGAAGTTCGCGCCGTGGTGGTCGAACTTTTTGGAGAGAAGGGATTTTTCGGTGGAGATGGAAACCGACCGGTTCGTTCGAAGGCTACGAGCAAATCCAGATATACAGAAACGATCACGTCATAATTTAAATGTGTACACATACGTTTTCCCAGAAATAAAACGTTTGCTTTAAATCGGAATAGCAATATTAATGTATCTGCTGTTTCAACCATTGACGATGCAATCACAGTGGGCATTACTTTTTCAGTGCTGATGCCTATAGAAGCCACTTTGTTGGTACCATCGGCCTACTTGAGGCCAAACCCGGCCACATACACCTATTGGTCACTTTTTTTTTGAATCTTCAAAAGAAGAGAAAAGAGACCGATGACTATACGAAAAATTAAAAGAAAGAGAACAGAACTCAGCAAAAAAGGTCTTTCTTATTTGAATCGGAATCAAGCTGTGATAACCAAATACAATAACTTATACTACCCTACCAGTTATTTACTCCCCTTTTCAAACTTCATCCTCGCCTTTAAAAGCCTTTCATATAAACAGAGTAGTTCCTTCTTCTCCGGCGAAAACCCGGTACCCAGACCGTCGATAGGGAAGCTGACTGCGATTTTTAGTTCTATTGCTTGTGCTTTACTTAGTTCCTTTTGCTGTAGTTTCACGTTTTTACCAGATTTGATTTAAGTGAATTAAAGTAGAAAAAATGCTGATATGTTTTTGTACTCATTTTATGTTGTCACTGTTGTTATACCCTTATGAATTTACATTGTGAGTATAGTTCGTTTTTCTATGTAAAACGAATTAAGCTTTAATTCGAAAATTCAGTGGAAGATCCGCTATGTGCTTCATTCAGTTGGTCAATTAGTCCCTTAATTTTGGCAGAAATTACGATTCTTGCCGCTTAGTTCATAAATTGGAAAATATAAATCTATCACACGAATGATCTTGAGAGATGCCTCTGTAGGGGCAGCTGTGCTGCCTGTTTTGTCTTCCAGTGGATAATTTTTTTTAAGAATTTTAAAAGAGGCAATAGACCAAATATATGTACTCTACTTAAGAGTAAGCAAAACCATATACATTATAGAAGTAAATCAATATTGGCCATTGATTCGACATTTGTTTTTAGAAGTAGGTTAGGTTAGGTCACCTAGTTCGTGACGATTATTCATAGAGTTCGAACACGTCTATGTCTATAGAGATAGCGGTTTGGTACAGATACCGGCTAGGGTGCTCGATACTGAGGCAGACTAGCACCCTTTGCTACTGCTTCTATTTTTCAATTAGCGTTATTATACTCGAGGGAAGGCTGAAGTTCATAATATCACTTCACTGAATTGTTGAATAATTTCATAATTATCACAAATATATCATCCGTAAACTTGAAGAGGAGCTCGTCACAAATAACCCTATTATCCTGCTATATGCCTGTCTCTAATTGCTTCTGGAGCCCGATATACTCGTTTATATATGCTAACCTAATAGACGCAAAAGCGTCACTGCGGGATTAGATAGCATAGATTTCTCAGTAACCTCATGTTACCTCAATAATCAAATAGTTATAGTTTCACTTACATAATAAAAAGATAACCCACCTAATATATATACTTTTAAAGTACACGTTATTGCTTGTTTAGTTTATTTACATTCTGGATGATAAGACATTCACCATCTGAGGTAAGGTTCTACCCACGTTTAAGTTCTCTAAAATCTCCTTGACCACATACAACAACTAGAACTTCTATATCTCTAATTAGGCTTAGGCTGACATGCAATTTTTCCTTCAATGTTAGCATAATCACGTATGAGTTTATTGCTTCGAACATTATACCATTTGTATAGTTGTGCATCGTTGTAGGATGAGACAGAGAGGCATAGCCCGCCGTGCAGTGGCGCATTCGCGTATTACGTTATATGTACAATGGAAGTAATTTTCTTGAAAAATAACACTCACGCTCTGGGATACGTTCTTTTATGGACATTTGAACAGCCAAAGAGGAGCCATTCGAGCTCATTATTTTTTAGCAATTGTTCCGTCAATAGTAAATCGTAAAGTTAACTCTAAGGTAAAGCCTTCCTTCTACCGATTCTGATCGTTGGCCAAACGAAACGTGAGAAGCTAACGGGTACGTGAACAAAGAGTTTCGCTTACCTTAGCAGTTCTTCAGGTTCTTTAAACCTCCAAGAGTGTACGCTGGAAACCAAATCCTTTATAAGATCGTACGCCCTCACCCCGGCCTTGCCAATCAAAGCCTCTTGCAAGTCCTATCTAAGCCAAGCTGCAGCAGCATCTCTTCCATCCGTTAGGTTTTGGTAGCGTTCTCTGCTCCCGCAGTGCGCGTTACAGTTTTCATTTGTTATTTGGGAGTGGCTGCGGCCTTGAGCTTGAAAAAAGTTCCAAAGTCTTTGGCGTCCTCGCCGCTTTCCAGGACGACAGGCGTTCGCCAATAGGCAGCAGAGGTGGGTCACGAGTGAAGCGGAAAGACAACGAAGCGTTGACCAGCCGTTCGGTCTTTTCATCAGCCATTGGCTTGGCTGCAGTCTGCTGATTATCTTCTTGAGCGCCTCTCGAAATAACACGTCATTCGAAGAAACGAAAAATACGAGGCGACCCGTATAAGGGAAAAGCAAGGAACTGTTTTGTGTTGGCGCCCAATGGTAAAGGTACAGACTAGGTGAGTTGACGGTGAGTATCAAACCGTAGGGCCAGCTGTTTTAATAACAGATTATTTATATAGAAGCAAGTCGGAAAATTGACTTCTGACTAGGATGCGATCAGTCCCCAAGGAAATCCAAAACGATATACTCGAACAATGAGATCTGAAAATAAAAACAGGTGACACAAAACAGTCAAGGACGAAATTAACTCAACTGGCTTTTTAATGTCAGAGCCATTCTTACCAGTCGCCACTTCGAGTCGGAAAAAGCTACTCCTTCTAGTTTTGATTTAGCAGCCCTTTTATCTGTCCTTGTATCACGGTGTATGGCTCCGATGGATGCGGGCTACACCGTACAAGACCCGTACGAGATTTCGACCTGTGATTGCATAAATCAAATATAGCAGTTCTATCTATAATCAAAGTTAGCGTACAACGTATACTACGTAATAAACTTGTGCGTCCGTAGTCGGCGTCACGGTTATATGGCGACACATTTGTTCCACTTCTCTCTTCATCGTAACATCAACAAATCTATCTCATCTATATATTGTATTCGACATTATCTCAGATAGTTTTATTCGGCTCGAGTGCTGCCTTTGTTTCTATTTTGCTTGATAAGGACCGAAACACGATATGAGGTGAAACTATAGTTTTGTTAAATAAAGTTAGCTATGATATTTCGGTACCATATGGGCCATCTAGTCTAAGAAATGTTCTTAATATATGTTTTTCATCCTAGAGGACATTTTTAATTATCTACGCAAATCAGCCGTTGTCGCTGCTTCTTTCGACGAGTAATCAGCAATCAGATACTGGGTTGCTTTCATTTTTGCTGAACAGAAGAGGCCCAGGCCTACTTAATCTATTCGGAAGCCAGTGTTTGTGCGTTTCTCTTTAAGGTAACGATGACGTAAGTTATCCATCGAAGCAACCTTGAACCGACAAACGTATCATACAATAGGTAAATCGTGTACAATCAAAAATGGCAATAAATGATGAGCAGAAAAGAAAAACCAGCTAAAATAATAGAATAAGCTCAACTGAATTTCATTATTCTGTCGGTATGTTATTTGGCTTATCGATAACAATCTGAGGATTTAGCCATTTTCGATTGGGAAAAACCGGATCAATATAGAACTTTGCCAGTATCAACTGATACGATGAGGCAGTACTGATTAATCATGCTGCCGTACATGGTTTCCTGTACATATTTTGCTATAATACGATGCTTACAGGATAAAAGGTGTTTTGCAGATGTTTCGGAGGCATCCGAACGAGCAAAGTGAGGTAACAACTAAAACAGATTTACTGCAGCGTCGAAAGGAGTGGCATTGGCTTTATAGGGGCTGTGAGCGGAAGGTCGTCTATTCTTCAACGAAGTAGCGCGTGTCGTTTACTTTTTAGCTGAATGATGTCTTTTTGTTCAGATATGCGCTGTATATAGTACGAAAGGCACATATTCTTCTCTTTAATATGTGTGTGTGTGTGTGTGTGTGTGTATATATATATATATCTACTCAGTAGTGCTAGAGTGCTATCTAGGGATGCCTCTAGGATATTTCCTGAATCTGCCCGATTCGTAGAATTACAAATCCGGAATTATCAATGGAGTGTTGCTTGCAGTTTTACGTAGCGCAAACACTGTCCAGTATACCTTATTTTCTACAAGATCGTTTGGCCGTACGTTCGACTGCACGGCCACATTAATATTGTTCGCATCACGTAGCATCACAGCGTAGATCAGCGTTGAGAGGATGTAGAAATACGTAGAGCCACTTGCCGTCTGATGAACACGTGCATAGCGGTTTCCCCTTTGGCAAAGGCATCTTTTAATAGAGTTTCCATAGGGGATAAATTTCGGTTTCCCTTGACAAAGCTCCATAAGCCTATCATATGGATTGATTTCAGCAGTATGATTAAGCGCCTCGAGTGAGTCACGCGTTCACGCAGAATTGAAACACGTGTAAACGAAGAACTCGGCAAGCTAGTAAGCACAACAATTTTTCAAGTTGATCATGTTGACTGTTAAGGAAAACTTTTGAACTTTCCGTATCTACCACCACCACTTCATTTCAATGGTATCGATGTTGTACAACGAAATTTAAATAGCAGAACTGCGAGCTAGACTTTTCAGCTTGTTTTAGCCGTTGCTTGTTGTCGACATTCGATTTTAAGCGAAAGCATGCACTGTAACCAAGGTTTACATGTAGACTTATAAATTACTCACAAGTTAATGTTCGGATATGGCTGCAGAAGCTGGAGTCGTTTACATGTATACATCCGTAATATCTCTGAAATGGCATTGTATCAGAGATAACATATACAAGTCGTAGGTTGACAGAATAAAAATTTAGATATGTATTAGCTATGCTCATACTAAAAGCTAATCAAGATCAACTTACCTATGGTAGTCAATAAAATTTGTGAAACTTTTACGCTAAACCTAATAATTACTATCAAAACTCAGAGGCCAAACTGGAAAACATTTTTCTCTTTGCCGCCTCATAGTCATCATAGGCTCGTTCATCAGAACAGATACGCTGATATTTGGGCCGCGTCCACAGAGCAGCCTGCTGAAAGCTATCTTGTTCGAACGCCAATGTGTTGCTTGGAACGCTGATATTATGATCCGAGTTGATTTATCTTAGTAAGACTAGATTAATAAAACAAACCAAAACGCGCTGGAACGTATCAATAAACGAAAACACCAAACATCTTTTTTTCTCAAACTCATACCTTGGCCTTGGTAATAAGAGCAAACGGATTATAGAAAATCTCGCAAAATATTAGAAAGAAAGAGTTAAAACATTGAGTACTATTGGAAATAAAACAATTAGTAAAGCAGTCAGTTAGGCAAGAAGCCAATAGAGCGGGCATGTGTTTCAATAAAAAAACAACATTATAAAAAACCTATCTGTTTCTTTTCAGTTTATTCTTTGTTTGCCCCTGTTCATCAGTGTAGACGCCACTGAACAATTATTTAGCACTTCAGCTCAGCTTTTCTCGGAAAATTTCACGCGTTCTTTAGTGTTCCAAAGCTCTCACAAACAGAAGTACAGGATGAATAATACACTAGCACTATTTTCGGGTGTAGATGGGAAATAATATTTCTTTCTCACTAATTGCATTATAACCGATACTGTTTACGGGCGGTACTAATAAGCGCCTCCAGGTATTTCTAATTGGGGTCACACTAATTTAACGTTTATTTAGCCCGACAGCATTCTTCAAGATCGGCGTCACTACTATATACCAAGCTGCAAATTTTGCCTGATCAGAAAATCTATCGTATAGCGTTGGTAATAGTGTAACTATGCGCAGGCATTTCACAATCTTTCAACATGTTCAATCTGTCTTCCTAAGTGCTACTAGAACCCTGTTTGTCAAATACATTTTTGAAGATAGTTACATCTGGCTAGTTTTTGGCGGATCGCCAAGGTACCATCCGGTGAACGGTGCATACGATGGAGCCAATACAATGAACACTTTTTTTTTTCGACGATAGTTTGTGGTTTCATTGCATAGAACATAATGTTATACTGGCCAAATCGGTTTCTGCAATTCCCGATTTTTTGACGGTTTAATGCAGGTTCTTGTGCAGCATGAGCAATTTGTAAGGCCTAAAGTGTGCTATTATTTGGTAGGGTTCTTAATGAAAAATTCTCTCTTCTGGCAAAATTATAACGAAATATTTACTTAGAAGTTGCTATACGATACAAAGTTGAAAATTCTCGCGGAGCTAAACTAATACGCTATTCACAATCCGATACCTAAAATCGATATTTCGGCGTGAAAGCAGTCAAAAGTCTATTGAGGGGTTCGTCTCGCATATGTGGTAGTAAGGTAAAAATGCATTTCTGGGTGATTCTAGAGCGAATTTCTAACAAGGGTGAATTCAAAAGTAGTGGCTAATATGGCGAGTATTTTTTTTTCTAAAAGATTTTTGAAAGAAATGTTACCTCATTAAAAACGTTTCTTCTACCCGAAGTATCACAGCGCGTTGACGCAAGTTTTTTTGATTAACCGATAGACTTCGACAAACTGACTAAAAATAAAATATAGCTTCCTGTAGCTAAAATTAATATTTTGGCTTAAAAAAACAGTAGAAATCAAATGTGATAGTTTTTTTTTTTTTTTTTCTACATGAAAGTCTATTTATGAGAGAAATGCAATAGATGCTCGTATACCTAATTTTCAACGAAAGATATAGAACTGCGCAGTCTGGACGGCAAATGCGTATCCGTTTGTTTACATTGCCATGGTAAGCGTGAATATGTGGCTATCGTTGGTTTAGGTGCCAGAATTGACAAATGCCCCTTCACAGATCTCTTCGAAGAACGCAGATCAGTTCAGCATCTAATGTAATGCCTGAGTATCGAACATAAAAAAGCTAACAATCAAAAATAAAGAGGCGAAATGCTATATAAACGAATGTCAATGAGCAATAGGTGTACCTATAAATGGAACAGGTAAGGCAACTTACCGAGTTAACACTGCCATGAGGTCATTTTACGAATATTCTACATATCGACATGTACACAAAACGCTCAAAACTGCATTGGATAAAAATTTTTAATAGTTACCTAGGTAAGTATTTCCTTGACGACTCGTTCGCTAAAGGTTAGTATGATTGTTCGAGAAGAGCTTAATTTGTCTTGGTAAATTTCCAGCGTATTGCCTGGATGACCGCTTCCTGGATACCGATCCAGGTATGTGTTTGTGTAACCTTACCAAGCAAACACACTTTAGACATTTTTCTAGTGTTTCTAATTACTTATTATATGTTGCTTCATTAATAAATAGAGACCCTTGTTTGTCCTTGTGTTACTTGTAATACACGGTTTTGCTGAAACTGATAGTAGTTCTGGTGATGGTTCGTAGTTTGTATATTGGCTCCGGAGTTTAGCGAAATAAATCTAAGGTGTGGCCTGGCCTCACCTGACAACATTTCGAAACAGCTAACAGAAAACAGCTATTGAATTCAGATAAGCGGAATAGATGTGAAGCTTTTTTTCTTCCGTCCTACCTACGGGCTAGCTTAATGTTTCGTTTAACTCAACGCTGACGTCTGTTCGCGTTAAGCGTTGAAGAATGTGTTTCAAACAAAGATCAATATTTGTTAGAAAAATCCGTTAGTGAATTAGACAGCTGACTTCTTTGGTCTATTTGTACTTAGATCTTAGATGTTTGTATTTGAACTTACATTAAATTACGATCATCGTTGATAGCGCAATTAGACAGTGTCAACTGAAGGAGTTCACAATCCATTTTCGACCTGTTGTGTGACATGACCGAGCCCCAGAGGGGCAATTCCGCGAGTGGCCTTCCGAGGTCCACAACAATTTCTGCTAATCCTCGTTCACAGATAATGGCATTTGGAGAAATCTTTTATTCGTATCGCTTTTAAACTTGACAAAGCACAGCTTTATATTAAGTTAAGTGTGTATATATAAACATTTTTCATTGTATAATAAGATAAAATTACCAGCATCACCATAATTACGAAACACTATATGCATGCAAGTACATTTATTTCACCATTTTGTATTCTTACAATTTTCAGAATGTTTTCAACTTTTATTCTTTCAAATAACCGGCACTCAAGCTTAAAGTCTCTCCACGTCCTCAGAAAGGGTATCCACCGTTCTATCATAAAATCAATCAACCAATGAAGTGTTGCCATCTTCATAATTCCCAGCACTAAGTTTATCGTATAAGCAAATCATAGATTTAGCTCATTTTTTTTTTTATTTGCTCAAGCTAGTATTTGGGTAGTTGGTATTTGCCGGTGTACGACGCCAGGACCAATTATTCATTCACAAATTTTTGTCGAAATCCATCAATTTTTTTCACTGAACTTGAAGACATTTTTAACGCGATATAATTTTTTTGTCAACGGCCAAACCAGTTGAACTTGTTCGACAGCAAGTGCCCACGAGGACACGTCTACCTTTATAAATCATTTGAGTCATTTTGAACCTGCAGCTCAATGAGCACCAATATAAGAATAGAATTAAGCGTCTGCTTCGTTGAAAAAAAACCCTACCTACATTATATTTTAGGAACACCGAAGCCTGCGAGACAAGGTTTTCAAATCTCCATTGAATAATTGACTTTTCAATTCACCATGCTACTACATAAATCGTTAAGTTATACACGTTAACACGTTCTAGCAACCCATAAATAATATCAGCTCTTCGTGCAGCTTTTCGTATAACGAAAACGATTCTTGACAGAATCATCAGCTCACAGAAACGAAATACCCTCACATCAGCTGGCTCATGCAGGAACTGCTCAACGAGCTATAATTCGTTCTGTTGTTACAAATTAAATACTGGTGATTAGGGGTTAAATGGCCTGGCTGGGTGATGGCAAGAGGGCGTTGCAAGGCTCTCCAAGAAGCTTTAGTTCTGCCGTGATTCCGTTCTCTGTAGGGATCTGGCACGAATCCTCATCGAGTTGATTCCTTCAAGCGATCTTCCTGAAGCTCACTATATATTTGTCCCAGAGACGCATATCCTTTGGAATGCAGCTGTCGTCTGCTACGATCTGGGCACGAAACGCAATACGAAACTTTTTTTTTTAGCACTGCTTTTTATGTAGGTAGATAGATAGATAGATAGATAATATTTGGATCCGCTAATATTTACTAAACGGGTTACTCACCTTGCCCTCGCCGGTCTGAACAACAATTTTCCAGGCGCCCTGCGCGCTGTTGGGTTTCGACTCTCCAATTCTTGATACTCCGAAGCAACCGCGTTGCGCATTATTCCAATAGCGGATAAGATCGCCGTACTTTCGTAAAACAACTTTTCGAAACTGAAACATGCCAGAAAGATTTGAGTAAACATATAAAACAGCATCTATGCATTGTGAAAAGTCTGGGAAATACGCTTGCGGACTAATAAAAAAAAAACACGCTGTTCATGGACTTGTTCGCGGATTCGTTTAACGACTGATTGAGGCATGTAAAAATAGTTCCCTCCCAGGTCGAACAAGCCACACCCGTGAAAACGCAATGGTTCATGGGTTGGATGAAATAATTTCAAGAGAATTAAGCGTTATTACTATTAGGATTGAACTCTAACCACAATTTTATCGTGTCCATAGGATGTAATGGAATTTTTCTAACTATCCGTGAAGCAGCAGAACACTCACTCACCTCCATGACAAAATGAACGATCGTATCTGTACTGAGGGGCATGAATTCCTCGGGAATCAATTGTTGGCCAGTTGCATCCATTATTCGAAACCGTACGCCCTAAAAGGCAAATACGTCGATAAGTTTTGGTACTTGTCAATCAGTGCATTGAGAACTGAGCTAAAACAGCCTATTAAGCTTCACTCGAATGAAGAGATCCGTCCTTCAACTTATTCATAGGTGCTGCAATGTGGCCTCTGTTTTTTTTAGACGAATATTGAAGTCATAGTAGTTTATATTGCTAAACTATGATTATAAACGTACTAATCTTGAAGGATGTAAACTTTTTCGGCTGGGTCCTGCCCGATGTGGGGGCATGTGTCTCTTCATTAGAGGATGAATATAAAGGAAGCACGTGAACGTTTTAGTCAAAAGTATAATACTGATAGAATTCTAATGAACGATCAACACTTTTCGAGCTGAGAATGAATCGAAGGTTCCCGGGCTAAGCACATTCAAAAACCGTTGTAAGCAAACTACTGAGATATGCAACTATGAAGACAAAAAGTTCTTCAACGATGTCGTCAAGGGAGAAAATGGTGAATTTATAAAGGGAGCGCAATCATTCAAAAGATAGCAAACTTGAATTGAAAACGATTAGATACAGGCAAGCATGGCTAACTTCGTTGAGTTTAACTATCCAAACCTTAATAGATACAATAAAGGATCTAATTGAAATAAAGTATGTAAGTTGAACAGTAATAATAATAATAATAATAAAAGTAAGTAGGTATTTGATCAACGTTGTTGCGGATATACTTACAGGGACCTGATTGCCGTCACTTTCTGAATAGTCGCTCGAATCACTCTGAAGCAACTAAACAAGAACAAAAAAGCTGGACGTTATTATTAACTAGATTATCTTATATAATAATTGCGCATTTCTATTTAGCTTTGAAGTATGACTTTTTTTCGTTCGTCGCTCGCGTTCAGTCGCGCTAAGTGCGGTTTGCATGGACAAGATTGGACGAGAACATAACGGTTTTTGAAATTAACGTCCAGCCTCGAAGCGCAAAAATTGCTTTTCGAAAAAAAAAAAAAACTTTGCTCGTGGCCATAGCAGACAGGTCACTAATCAGTCGTATCAGGGAGAAGTTCTGCTTTACGGGCCGTGCAAGTTAACTGTAATGCGCTACATAACGCTTTGCGTTTACGTATCTTAATTCAACACAAATACATGTAGTGGCTGAAAGAAACTAGAGCTGGCCGCTGCGGGTTCTGCCAGCGATATACAGCCCTCGTGAACAGATAAACTTGTTTCTTTAATTATTAATGCAATGTAAGTTAATTTCTAAAAAAATTGACTCAGCGCATTAAGAGGATGACATACGAATCACTACCCAGATCTTTGTTAGGTAGATTGCTCAAGATCGCTATTTTATCACTGCTGCAGCTTTTCGTTTCTGCTAGTAGCTATATAACAGTAACTGTAGGTACAAGAACAATGTTATCAAGTGTCTCTAATTTATCTATCTTTCTAATTTGGTCCGGCCAGTACATTCATAGAAGGTTGGCTTATATGTACCCTTGGATGAGTCAATAACTTAGGAGCAGGGCTCTCATGTACTCTGACCCTCCACAGAGCCGTGCATACACATGAAGAATACGGCGATAATTAGAACAAGATTCAATTTGACACACGGGCACAGACTAGAGACTGTTGGAAAAATGAGATTTTATTAATTACAACTGCATCTAATATCTAGGCGTGTATCTATACTTGGGTTGGTCTTCATGCACCAGCATGTTTCTATGCATAGTGGAATATTGGTTGGTCGAAGCACTCCTGATACAGTCATGTATCAGTCCTACCTTTGTAAGGTGTCGTTTTAGCACCTGTTCCTCCTTTAAGACTGACATTGGAAGCAGCAGTAGTTCTGCTCAGTAATCAATGTACTGAACTATGTGTACGCCTTTGCTTGTGAACTAGACAGTGTGTTCAGTCTGTGAGATAGTCATCGGCGTGACAAAGTTAAGCCCACTTTAACTTACCAAGATCTTCCTATCTGCTCTCCGCAAAATCGATCTACCTAACGGGACCGAAGGAACCCACTGTGCTGAGAAGCGCATAGTGACTTCGTTGTATAATCGTCGCCAGGCCAACTAAGCGATTTCCAACGTAACCGACTTCGCTATGGATAACACTAGCTAAATTACACAAAGTGCATCGTGTTCATCGAACCCAACAGAAGGGAGCAGATTTAGATTGATCCACAGTTTAAATAGGTGAACTTAACGATTGTGTTCTATTGATTTGGAATGTACGCTGCTGAGGCTAGCCCCTAGACGTTTGCGTATTTATTATAAAGCGCTTACGAAATCTTAGAAAGCAATAGAATCGTAATCGTCTGCTGTTGAGGCATCGAAAAAAAACCCCCGAAATTTTCGGTAAGCACTATGAGGATGTCTAACCCTATCATGAAATGTATTCTGGACACAAACATAGAATGGCCATATAATTCTTACGGTGAGAAGTTTAACGCGTTTATAGACGTCTATGTCAGTCACTCCGTATGATTATACCTCCATTGACTGTTAGGAGCGGCGGCTCTGTATTGTCTACTCGACACACAGAGACGGTGGTAATAGTTACAAATCTCTAAAGCGTGGCTCAGTTATACCTAACAAGCGTTCATAATGCTTTCACACTCTTGCATCTAGGATTTGGGTCAGTTATGTATGCCTTTTAAAGGATACCTATGTTTTATAAAGCAAAAAAAAGTATGTAAAATAATGAGGTGGGATGGCAAGACCTTTTTTTTTCCATATACTAGTATTTCCATTCGTATTTGCCGCTTCTAAGTCTGCCTATTTTCGACAGCTTAACCCAATCGCAGTGCGGTACCAATAGCTCTTCGTAGATTTCCACATTTTTTTCTAAATAGTAACATAATTATTAATTATCAAGGTCGTATACTTGAAATGAGACGTATTAGGATGAAAATATTCGTATTGTTTCCCCGCTCGTTCGAAGTTTGGCCTGCATCTGATCCTGATTTAAAAAAAGTACAGGATGTAGATAGACTCCTTGTTCGATGACTACAGTGAGCGAGCGAGCGCGCGCGCGCGCGGCCTAACTAATTCGCAAACTACGACGGCTTCTATCTTGCACGGACATAAAGAACTATCCTAGGCCGCAAATTCTTGTTCATCTATTCGAACAGATTTCAAACCAAGGAACAGCCAGTGAAGACGGGTAAGTGCTTACTCTCTATATTTAATTTATAATGATTATAATTGTCTTT